AGATGTCCAGTTGTTTTCACAGATTATGAGCATATGCGTCTTGAGTTATATTACAACTTTGATTTGTGAACCGATACTGTATATTTTTGGAAGAGTATGTGAAAAATCCCTGTAGGGGCTGTCTAAAGCTCCCTCTCATGGAGCCCTTTCACGGAGTGGCATGAGCAAGTAACTTCGGTGCTCCAACCTTCTTAAGATGATACACACTAGACGAGGGGCTTGAGAGAGTGGTAGGTTAAGGGGGGTTTGTATTAAGATGGAAGTTTGTGCATTACAGTGCCTGGTTTATGCAATTCAATCGCCGCCTTTAACATAATATGCAGCTTTAAGAAACGTCTCCAAGTGCTTTACGCGACATCCCCTTTATCTATCTGCTGAATACACCGAGATCTGTAACCGAGCACCATACGCTAAAACAGAGAGCTCTTTCACCAAGAAGCCAAAGCGAAGAGGAAATGTCCCTTGATTTTGTTTGCCAAATAAGACTAGCTATTGGCATTCCGTGCTGGCAAAGGGCCACGTAATTTGATATTTTCATGCATTCAGCCTGGAGTACCTAACAAGAACATTGACCAACACAGTCTACAGCAAACACATTGTTCCCGCAGACATTCGTTTCGCTGTGCCGCGCCGCTTTAATTGAAGGGGCTTTTTATACAAATGTTTATAGAGCTTGGCAGGTGCCCATGGGCAAACGTTGAAGCTGGCCATCCATGCTGTTGAAATGTGAACTACGGTCCTTGCCGGCCCTGGAAAAAAAAACGCCGTGTTGACATAACTGTATAGATGAAACCGCTGGTTCGCTATTTTAAGCCATGGCCCCTTGCATTGTGGAGGTTTCTTTGGCCAACTATAGTAATAGGATTATTTTAATTACATGCTTGGCGATTTGCGAATTAAAGTGTGTGTGTGGTGCGTGTTAACGGTGGTGGCGCACCCGGCCAACGGGTTGCTTACATCTAGCAGCTGATAGGGGAGCAGCCCTTGAGTTATGTGTTCAATCTCATTGTGTGAACACGTAAAAGACTTTTCTCATTTCATTGCCGGATGAAGGCCTCCCAATGCTTTGTTAGTCGTGGGAATAGTTTGACCATATGTCGCCTCGCTGGTCAATCAATGCGGGTTGGTGAAGGCAGGGAGCATAGACGTGGGAGCGCACATTTAAGTACAACAATGGATTTCCCTGCACTGCCCTCCACGTATTTCTGCACGTAGAGTGCATAGTGGTCACCTATCCAAGCTCAACACTGCTTATCCCGTGAGATGAGCAGTGTGATAACCTGCTTAGTAAGGGAGTAATTCTGCATTAATTCACAGGGTTAATATCGATTCTGTAAGCTAAAAAAACGTGCATCAAATCATGCGTTGTAGGAATCGATGCTTTTCAATGCGTATATATTGTAAGTAATGGGTTCACGTCAGCACTACAACCACTATAGACCGCTACAGCCACCGCAATGTTCTACGTTGGCCTACAGTACGCTCGCTGCACACAAATAAGCACCGTACCGTTCCTGTGCCGGGGCCATAACTTGAGAAATTAATGTATTATTTAACTCTAAAAGTGGGGAGAGTGGAACCCTGTCCCGTCTCACATGATGAAAAAAAAGGATTGATCCTTTAATCAAATTTCAACCTTGAATTGCACCAATCTATGAATGACCGGGGTGAGTTTTAACACCTCCTGTTGCTGAGTACATGGTTGAGGCCTTGTATTTCAATGACCTTTTAAGATTAGGACTGTAGTTATAACATACTAGTTTTGTAACTTGTTAACGGTGGCATTGCTAATGTTGTTCTTGCCCAGTCTTAGTGTTTTTTTTCCCTTCTGAACTTGAAAAAGTAGCAGAGTAAAGTGTTTCCATAACACCCTGGTTTCGTCATTGTTGAAAAAAGAAATTCCTTTATCCAAACCCATCCTGCGTCCAAAGGTCTGGCTTTATTCCATACGCGCTCTAAGGAAGCGTGAATAATTTGTGTTTCCATGGCTCCATTTAATTTAGAAATGTCTTGCTTTGAGAGCCGGACTTACTTAGTACAGCTGATGATTAATTCACGGCAGATTTGGCTGGTAAATGCACAGCAAATGCATGCTGTACTTGGTATAATGTGTCATGGCATGCTGAGCGTCCTTAATGATACAGAGCCCATGGACAGAAAAGGATTTGCACATGCAATATGAATACAGTACATTCAAGTTGCATTTATATTAAATCTAAATATTTGAATTGTTGGATTCTTGAGTGCAGATCTTATTCTCTGACCAGCACGACCACGTGATATTATCTACGACTATGTGACAGAATGAGATCCAATTATGTGCTAACCGTGATCTAATTGGTATTTTCCTCTGATTAATGAGTAGCCTTGATCCCCACTCCGTAATGAAAACGAAGGCTCCTGTAGTGCACTTGCAGGAGCAGCCGATGCGATATTTGCTCTCTAATCGTGTGGTTTGTCCACAGTGTGACAGCGCTGTTATTGTTGTGCACGTTTAGGTATTTTAGAAAGTATTGTACACGGTCCAATGCAGTTTTTGTATACAGCAGATGGTGTATGAAGTTATTGACCAATTTGTGCAGCTTGTGTGGCTTTTTCCATATGTGTTTTTTCCCCCTGGGAACTTTGATTTCCCCTTGCATGCAGTAATATGCAAACCAAAACATGTGCATGTACAGCCCTTTTTGTCACTCCACTGCTAGATGAAGGCTTCCCCACACCATACGGGTCGTGGGGAGGAGTTATTTGACCATATATCACCCCGCTGGTCAATGCTGGACAATGCGGGGAGCAGAGATGAGCAGTGCAGCTGTCGATCTTGTTGTACTGCCCTGTCCGCCACATATCTCTACAGCCTATCACAACGTTTTCGTTGCACGGTGGTCATCCATTCACTCACTATCCAAGCTCAAACCTGTTTAGCTTCTGAGACCTGATGAGATCGGGTGCATTTATTCCGTAGGCATTTTACACGCGGTAATCAGTGCTTATCCCAAGCTTCGCTTAGGCACCGGGAGATTAAAAAAAATCCTGTTATTTGCGACTATACACAGATGGGAATCGCCTGCAAGTGGTCTCCCGAAACTACTCAAGTCATCCCATTATCTGAGCTTTTGCACCTGCTTTGACATAACTGCTTTGACATAACATGGACACTGACAAGGGGACATAGAACAAAAGCTTATAAGTGAATAAAGAAGTATAGATAGGTGCAAGCTTGGAACTACACTGAGATACAGGATTGGAGAACATACGCGAGTTATAAAAAAAAACAGCATTTTGACCGTTGAGACAATTTAAATGGCTTGAGCAACATATGTCGCTGAAAGGAATGATGGCCGGTGTTCGAGATTAATGAGAGTGGCACCAAAGTAGGGGACTTTTTATTTAACCAGGTGAAGCCCACTGAGTTATACAGCCCTTTTTCAGACGTGACCTGGCAACAAATGATAGCTCAACGAAGTAGCCTAGGTGGACATTCATAGCAGCCAAATACTCTAAACGCATGTTTCTAAATGTCGAGGGGTAAACCAGAGTACCCGGAGAAAAATCCACACGACCACGGGGAGAACACACAAACTCCAAATATACAGGCGTTAGGCTCGCGAACGAACCCACGACCTCCTGCATACCAGGTCAGGGAGTTAATGTCTGGTCGCTGTGGAATGTCCCCTCAAGGACTTGTACAAAGGGTGTGGAGCGTTTAACTCGTTTGCCGGAGATAGATGGAGTGTTGCATTGCGAGATCATGAAGCTTGGAGGCGATTGGGGAAAGCCTTAATTCAACAGTGGATGGATCATGGCTACTGATGAAGATCTGCACGGATAACAGATGTTACTTCAGCAGATAATTGTATCTGCCACTAGCATCATCCCCCACATCGCCACGGATTACAGGAATTTCGCCATGTTATTTCCTTGCCAACTCTGTTCGCTGAAAGGCTTATAATAATTTACAGCCGATGTCAGACTATTGTCATTACCCTCTAACAGTTGACAGTGTGAGGTGCTCTGTAAGCACTTGCTTTGATTTATTTGGAAAAATAATGCATTGCTTCAAAAGCAATCTTTCAAGCACTATTGAAAAAGTGTCATTTGCATGCAGCAAATGGGAGTGCTTTCTTGAGATGCCACTGTCTGGTAGAAATGGATATTTAAAAAATGAAAGCTCTAACTTTTTCATTATACAGTGTCTTGGAGGATTCAATTAAAAATAATTACGACTGCGCCATCGTTTCTCGCCTTTGGAAGGTTGTGGACAATAAAATAATTATAAACGTGCAATAATGTGTTTCTCCCGAAATGAAATAACGCTCGTGTTAATCGACCAATGCATTTTTTTCTCCATTATTTTCCAGCAGTGTTGTTTGAAGTTAGGCAAAAAAAAATCAACTAGTTTTTACTTCCCCGAGTCTCATCCGCAGGGATGCGGCCTTTATAAAGAAAAATGCTGCTGGGTTGGCGAATGCAAGAGGCAAGAGCCCTCTACGAATACTGTGTGGAGGCTGTTCAGTGTAGTGCAGCAACGTTTTACAGATGATGCAATGCCTTAGTGATTTTTGCGAGTAATAACAAGTAAATGTACAGCCCTTTTTTCAGATATAGGTGTCCCCTATGCAGTGTTGGATCATGGGGGTTGTTTAATCATACTTAGCCATTCGGGTCAGTGTGGTTTGGTGAACGGGAAGGGTTGGCAGTCGGGGGGGGGGGGGAGGGAGATGGGTTAGCACTAGTTCAGATATCACTGGCAAAAGATGGCCAGGAATCGAACTCGGATTGCCACATTCTTAGTACAGTATGCTAACCACTGCACCACCACCACTCCATCACCTAGTAAAAGAAGTTATGTTATAGATCTCGTCATGAAAATGAAATTAAACAACATAGACTCGTCAACCAATGTCATCTTTGGACCAATGTTATCCAGAAGAAGGCGCTATGTATGTTGAAGATGGTTATTTATTGGTGCATGACGCTGAGCCTTTGTTTGTGGCTTACAGAGATCCGCCTGCAGCTGGTCGAGCAGCTCAAGTGCCTGGAGCAGCAGACAGAGCTGCGGCAGCAGCTGCTGCAGGACTTCCAGGACTTCTTCCGTCGCCGCTCGGAGCTGGAGTTGGAGTACGCGCGGGGCCTGGACCGCCTGGCCGAGCGCTTCCTTGGCCGCGCCCGCGCCGCTCGCGATCATCCCCAACTCAGGTGAAGCCTCCACCCCGTCCCCCAGTGCCCTCGCCTCGTGACCTCCGTGACTACTCGTGTCATCGCACTCGTTGCTAAGCTGCTAGACGAAGGGAAATAATCAGGTCGTTAGCACACTTGGCATTCACACCTTTCTTAGAGCAAAAGGGTGTTGCAAATGGGCTGTGTTTCGTAGGCGAGTGTCGTCTGCAGTGGTTTCACCAGTCGGAGACAATGTTGTTATGTGGCATTACCCAGTTGAGTAATTTGAGAGTAATTTTTCAAATTTGGCACCTTTGGACCAAGGTGGCGCAGTGGTCTGTAGAGAGTTGGAAATCCGGCGGTCCTGAGTTTGATCTCGGGGCCCTGGATTTATTGTGCAGTACACTAATCATCGTGCCAACCATTCCACCCAAAATATATTCCGTGTGTATATTATATCTAGATTTGAAGCTTTCGTGACTGCAAGGATTCATACTCTTAGGTTTTTTCGGTAAAGTCACGTAGGTAAAAACAATAAATAAATAATAAAATGCCCTTTTCCCTAATAGAAATAAAATATTAAATCACGACGTTTCGGGCGCAACACAAGCGTCCGTCATCAGGTGGGACTTGGAGTATATATTATATCTTATGCACCGTTTAACCAAGTATTTTAGCTGAATATTCAATCTATCTCTCCAGTGCAAGGCCATGGCCAGACTGAGAAATTATAATCATGGGAGCAGGGCTTGCATTTCTAGAGCTACCCTGGTGTGACATTGACAACCACACCGCTTGGCCCGAGTTCCCTGCTGCCAAGCACCCAGCCCTCATTTAGGATCCCCCTTCCTCCGTGCTTGTTTTTTGGCACGGCATCAGAAAGTCACTCTGCTTGCCCAGTACTCGGTGAAGATCCTCCACGACATTGCTTAGCAGAACTGGTTGTGCCGAAGCAGCGCATTGTTTACTATAAGAGCTGCCCGGTTAAACCGGTTAAGCAAAGAACATGGAGTGTCGTTACTGCAGCCAAATGAATTGCTTCCATTGGTCATTAAGTTGGTGTTCTTTAGAATAACAAATCGTATTTCTTTTTGAAAAAACAAAATACACGCGTGCCTTACTGTCGCCATTTTAACCTTTTAAAAAAAAAGCTATCAACGCAGAACTATTTTCACTGCCATTGGAAACCGGATCGACAGCCCTTTATGGTACTGCATTACAGGAAATGTAAACATCTTCCTTGTTGTGCAATGAGTATTACAATTTACAGCCTTTGGCATAAAAAAACAACATACAGTGCGTAATTATGTGGGCTCAGAAAGATTTTTTTATAGTTACAGTGAGACACTGTGGTAAGTTGCCTAAAGCCATAATTTAAATCATGGAACTCTTGAGTTAAGTTTTCCACGTGTGTTACTTCACAGCGCTTGCATTGTGGTTACCGGTTCCATGCGCTGCCTGCCCTTAGTGAAAATAAATAGTGCTCAAAATTTTTGCCGGTTTCTGGCTTTAATTATTGTGGATGGGCCCCCCCCCTGAGATTTCCTCGTGAGTTGTAGCGTCAAAAGCTTTTCTCTGTTGATATTATCTCTCCCTTTAAGGTTTTTGAAAACGCGTATCGTCTTCATTTTTTAAGTTGTCTTGCCATCTTGTAAAATCGTATCTCTGGGTATGTTTGTGTACATGTGTAGGATGTTTGTTACGTGCACTATTTGTTCACGGTGCATGAATTCTGTTTGGGCCAGTCTTCATTTTAAACTTAATATTCCATCATATACATGAATGTAAATGTTCATGTAAATGTATGTAATTTAAATGTATACTATTGCATCTAAATAAATAAGATACCATTTTCTTTTTAATCTTTCACCTTTATTTAAGTGCATTTCTAAACCTGCTTTGTGTCAACAATGTGCCGCACATGTTAACAAATTAAACGGGTTTCTTTAAACCACGGTTACTGAACACAAGCCCAAAGGCCCAAAATGCCAAGTGGCCAGCAACAAGCGGCACTCTTGAGGGTTTACGAGTGAATACGTATTAAATTGAGCAAGGTTATACAATCTCGGGGAAAATAGACGATGGGAGGAAATTCCTTACATCGAGCAGAATATGGGAAAAGGCAAAGAGAGAAGCGTTGTGAAAAAAACAGGAATCAATGAGTGAATGTTGTGGAAACAGTTACCATTCTAGTAGCGATAAGGAGGCTACTGCGCAGCAGTGAGTGAGTGACTGGAGTGAATTAGGAGTGCTGGATCATCAATCAATCTTACTGCTTTACATCGAATTATATTAAGTACAGTGAGGCAGGGCCCTGGGTGCCTCACCCCAGTTATAAATGCAGAAGAAAATACACTCCTGAGTACAAGATTGTAGACAATGCCCTCTGCCTTACATCGCACACAAACAACTTTGATAATTGTTTTTTGACCCTTTTATCTGGCAACAAAATTGACACATTTTTTACAAGGAGTCATGTTTGCATAGACCACAATACTTGCAGTCATAATGCAAACAAAAAACATAACTCTGATAATGTATGCACTGTCCTTGAAGTTGATTGGTCCACACCCGAGACAGCTTTCCTTAGAGTCTAGTCTCACATGGTGTTGGACCAGATGACGCCAAAAGGCTCGGGTGTGGACCAATCAACTTCAAGGACAGTGCATACATTATCAGAGTTATGTTTTTTTTTTTGCATTATGACTGCAGGTATTGTGGTCTATGCAAAACATGACTCCTTGTAAAAAAAAAGGTGTCAGTTTTGTTGCCAGATTAAAGGGTAAAAAACCAATTATCATATTTTTTCTTCTGGCAAATGAGGTTCCAATGGTACAAACAACTTTGTTTTGAAAAGGGCCTGCGGAACCATATTCTAAACACCATCATGAGCTCCATCCGCTCATGTTAGCAAGTCCTTAAGATTATAAAACCTACAGCAATGTCATCAAGCACTCTTGGCAAACTGCATACATTAAAAGGCCCTTGGTCTGATGTTGGAGGGATCTTCGGAGAATGCAAGTTGGGGCAAATAAGAACCTGGAATATGCGTGAGCCAGGTGTTTTTGTTGCATTGCATGTTGAGCCAAGTGTAACATGCCCTCTGGACGAACATCGTATACATTAGGGCATGCATGGGCTTAGATAACACGAGGCACCACATATTATACAGTATTATTGAACGATATGGTTTTACCTTTCTGTTGTTGGCTTTATGTGCATACATTTCTATCTTGCTGCCTTTCCATGACTCATTGAGAAGGGTTCCAGCGCGGTTCATAAACTAAGCTAGGCTCGCCGACTCGGCCCAGGTGCTCATGACAATTCGACTGTACCGACGCAGTGCCCAAGGATACTCGGTGAACGATCTTAAGAGCTCGCTCGCGTAACTTTCATAGCTGAGAGAGAGTGCATCTCCCTTCAGACGTCACGGAGCTGCACACGTTTACCACCGATTACATTCGGAGCTGGTCGTGACGTTTAGGGGTCAATGTGGAAACAGGATGCTGCACAGTCAATGGTGCTCCTCACTTAGCTGAACTCTACGGATGAATAGGAGATTTTCATTTGGTGTAATAACCACAATGTAACCTAAACCTGGGTTAAGTGTTTTTTTTTTTAAGATCACTTCCTTCCAGCCGCAAAGAAGTCTGGAGAGGGAAAGAGCCCTCGCAGAATCTGTACTTCTGTTCCTGAAACACTTAATAGGGTCGTCCTGGGCCGCCGGGCACATGTAAAATAAAAATAAAACATTTAATGAATTGATGCAATCACTGTACTTGAAGTTGTGCTCAAGTTATTTGGATGTAATTGTCGTTGATTTTTCAGCTGTATAATACATTCTAATATAAAAGTATAAGAACAAGTAATGCAATACAATGGCTTTGAATATTTAATCCTCCAGCAGTTGAGGAAATGGTTGTGAATTAGATGAATAGCCGATAATTAATTGAGTAGATATTGTTACATTTTTACTGTCCCGTTTATTTACTTGTTTGTTTTCACGGTGTTTGTACAGTTTTAGATTTGAAGCTTTCGTGACTGCAAGGATTCAAACTCTTAGGTTTTTTCAGTAAACTCACGTAGGTAAAAGTAAAAAATAAAAATAATAGAAATTATTTAATTTTTATTATTTCTATTATTTTTATTGTTCATTTTTACCTACGTGACTTTACCGAAAAAACCTAAGAGTTTGTACAGTTTTGTCTGCTCCTTTAGCCGGGATGTAACATTAATCACAAAAAAAATATTATTGACTGTACAAACCCTTCATTCCCCTCTATTTTAGGCAGAGGATTTAATTTAAATCGATGGCTCGACCTATTGCAAAATGGCTACTATATTTACATCACATCAATCCATCGTAGGATTAAGGTTTCACTGCGTTGGTCATAGGAGTTGTTTGACCATACTTCACCATGCTGGTCAAAGCGTGTTCTTGAAGGGTGAGGCCAAAACCAGTGTATATCACACTCTGATGTTAGCCATGGCTGGGAATCAAACTCAGGTCTCCAGGTTCATAGTGCGACATGCTGACTATGTATGTATGTTGAACTTCTTTCGCACACCGTGCATAGCCAACCATGCTCACCTATGAAGCTAACACATCTGACTCAACTTACTACATACAGAGCACTATTATAATTTAGCCAATTCTCCTAATACGGTTTTAATAAGAAGTGCATTTGACATTTGCATTAACACCGCGAAAGCAATGTTCGGCACGTGCTGGGGGGAGTTATGTGGTGCCTTTGCTGTCTTGCTTGGATTCCCCATATCACAGCCTGCAGCAAAGGCGGAACTTTGGGAATTAAACTGTGTGCCCATGGTCAATTGTGAATTACTCCCGAGCTGACAATATAATTGACAAACCACAGGAGCGTCGCTTTACCTCGCTATGATGAGCGTTGACTCCTACTGCGTAAAAACAGCTCTCCAATGCATTTCTCTTTAATCGTGAATTTCCAAACACTAGACCCGTCATTACTCACTTTTATGTACTGCTGCATTTTTATTTTCCTTTCCTCTCATTTAATCGCGAAAGCATAATATGCTTAATAGCAAGTAATATTGAAGCTTAATATTACTGTGATTGTTAGTAATGTCTGGTCTTGTGGCGGCCTTAACTTATGTAAAATGCAGCATTTCACAGTTGAAAGCAGATAGGTTCAGTGTGCATGTCCAAGTTTATTTGTTTATATATTATAATTATTTCATATCTTGCAAACCAGACACACAAAGGAGTCATCTGTGGAGTTTAATTTCAAATTCCACGTGGACCATGAAAATACTGTCACATTGCCTTTTTCTCTCCATGCCTTGGCTGGCAATTTTCTATGAAAATGAATCGCCAGTACAGATTATCATGTTGATTTTAATTTGGTGTCAATTGTTATGCTCATTGTGAGTGGTGTGCATTGTCCTTTATTAAAGTTTGCAAATGGTACATTTTCCCGCCCTTCACCATTTAGCCAACTTTACAGAAAAGAAATTACAAATTAGAATGTGCTTAATATTAATCTATATAACACAGAAATAAAAATGTGTAGAGCTTACACGGCTAGTGTGAATATTGAGCAACATCCAGAATTCCACCTACATCTACGCCTCCCCCTCCCTTCACCAACCCATTTTTACCAGCGTGGTGAAGTATGGTCAATTAAACTCCCGAAGGCCCCCATCCTGCAGGGGATTGACAAAGGGCTGTCTATACATGTACATCCCTTGGAGCGGCGAGCACTGAGTGTGTGTACTTTACGCCGTAACACCTTTGTATTTGTGCTGGACAGGCGCGAGCAGAGCGTGCTGTCACCTGTCAACTGCTGGTACCTGCTGCTGAACCAGACGCGGCGTGAGAGCCGAGACCACTCGGCCATCAGCGACATCTACATCAACAACCTGGTCCTGCGCTTCAGCCAGATAGGGGAAGATTCCACGCGGCTGCTCAAGAAGGTACTGTGCTCGTCCCATAATTCCAGCTGCTAAAGTTCCCGCCGAGTGGCTGGGTGGGTCAGGGGTCAGATGACTGAGCTGGCACCACTGATCCTGGGTTTTTATTCTGGGATTCGGCAGCCTGTGATTAAAATGGCTTCTTACGTGTGAACTACTGTTTCTGTTTAGTTTGTTGTCCTTCCTCCGCACCTCCGATTAGCACGGTTGGCTATGCAGAGTGCCAAAGTTCAACATACATACATGAAGAGATAATGGTCTCAGCCTGCCTTCGTAATTTGTTAAAATTTCAGCTCTGAGAATTAAGCAAAAATATTGGTTTGACTGCCATGTGGTGAACATGCACTTTGGCAGTAAGGTAAGTAGGAAACTGCCCACTAGTGTGGGTAAAAAGGTCACTTGAGATCACAGAAAAAGTTTTGTGATGTCACCTTTTTCAGGCTGCTATCCAACTTGGAGGGTGATGTTTCTGCTCTGCAAGAGGGTCCGAATTGACTTATCTCCTGATATGGCAAAATTTAGGAAAAGTATAATCTTCTTTGGTTAAATTTATCAGGTGATCGTGCACCACTCGGTTCCTGGTCCTCCCTTTTATTTGTACATGACAAGTACCCGCCTAATTGTCCTATTTTTCTATGAGCACAATTGTATTTCCCATTGTATTTAGTCCATTTGTCGTTTGAATTCCATTCATTGTTCAAGCATTGCCTCAACCGTATCACTTTAGACGTGAGAAAACGTGGGTCAGATTGATACAACCGCTGTGACCAACACCTATGTTTTAAAAACATTAACTATGCTGGCCAAGGTTCATTCTTATTTGCAATGTTTTGAGAAATAACTTAACGTGGATTTGCATGAATTGTTTTGTCAAACTGTTTGCTTTAAACTGTTTATTTTTCTCGTTACAAGGGCTAATAAAATAACACGAGTTTTCTTATTCTAAGCATGAGATACTAATTATACATGCCAAGTGTCCTTATTTTTTCAAGCATTTGCGTCTTGCAATAGGATTGATGTCCTTTGCTTTGTCGTTGCATTCTTAAATATGTTCCACGTAACTGATGGCTCGCTGCAGTAATGTGCATCTGCCAAGTTTGCATTCTCGCAGACTGAGACGATACCCTCTTGTCCATACCACTAATTTCATGAACACTTCAGAAGGCTTTATTCTTTTCCTAAATTTACTATTTCATTATCTTTATTCCCTAGGTGCTTTTCATTAAAACAGATCTTATGGGCGCAGCTGGCTACTCCAGTCATGCTCACAGGGATGTAGCAACAAATGATATACTACTACTGTACGTAATTTGCAGGAAGGCCAATGAGAACAATGTCACTCGCTGATGTCCCAGATAATTTTGGGTCACGCCATGCGGATTGAAAAGCACGAAGTGAACCTGGCTAGGCTTCTACTGCCTCCAGCTCTCCCCAAGGACAAACTACTTTACCTTTTGTGAGCTCACTTTTGAGTAAAAATTGTACTCCTGATTTATTCTTTTCAGTGATTGTGACCAGAACAATAAGATCGGTCATCCGCGCACACACACACACACACATCTACTTTCCACCTTTATTATAGCCCAGCGAAATGGGTCAGAGGCTTGATAGATTGCGATCTGATGCTTTGGGACATTTTGACCCAGGAGTACCGTTTAAGGTTGCCCTGTCCTGCAACGTTGTTAACATCCAAGAATTATTTGGCAGCGACGGCAATGATCACAATAATACACGAATAATGAGTTCTACCTTCATGTTTGCACAGACTTCAGGCTCATGCATTTTGGTGAAGGTGCCTTTTTTGTTGAGTGCTGCTCTCTCTGTAAGAGGGAAATAATGCAAACCGAGTCCACAAGGGGAAAATAATTACGATAGGGACCACACGATGTGCTGTCAGAAGCAGAATGCTACTCGGGCTCTGTTTTGCTTGGGGGGTTTTGGCTGCATACGAAACTGGAAACATTTTCTGCCTGGGCGCGTTCACAGAGTTGGCATGCATGCATGGCCAGGACATCTGCACAGCTAAGGGTAAATACGAGGCAGCGTTTGAACGCGACATATTGTGAGGTAGCCGCCATCGTTACCTTTGCTTTTTTTGGATGCCAAGACACGGAACGGCTGAGCCGCCTTGGTGCTGTGAAACGTTGTAGGAATTTTGAGTAAAGCATTGAAATACAGCTGCATCCCATCTTGCATTGAAGGGTGCATCCTTTCCTCTTGACCTTTTCGCTATGAAAACTTGACTTTTGTTTGTAGTGTGCGTCGTCCAACATTTAAGGCGACTGTAAACAATTCTTATGACCTCTCCACTTAGGGTGTGTTATCCTTTTCATTTTATCCAAACAAAATAAGAAAAATCCCAGCTTGGGTTAAGTGCTCTTATCTGGTTGCTTTCCATAGCAGTTTAAATATAAAAAAAATTATAAACAAAACCGATGTTATTATGCCCTTTTTGCTTTTTCGTATTCCATTTCCTGATCGCCCTAGTCACGTACTGTGAATGGCATTTGTGCTCCAATTTACGTCAAGTCTAATGGAAATGTAATAACAATTCTAGGTTAATCAAAATCCACATCTATAGCATCTCAACATTAAGCCAATCGAACGCAAAACCTAAACGCGGCTCGCCCAAGTCGCACATTTTAAAATAGTGTCAAGCTGAATTATGGGCAAATACTCCCTCACTGCACCCCATATGAATGTATGCGGTGGTGGTCACTACATTTATACAGTATAATAGCTTACATTTTTACTTGCAAGCTATATAAATACAAATGAAATTGCAATTTCACATTTATAAATACAAATTGTATTTTGCTGCTATACGAAAGAAACAAATCCTGGTATTTAAATGATTTCTTTGCTGCCAAAATACAAATCTTTTCTATTAAGATGCTGAGTTAATTAATTGCCATGATAATCATTAATTCGGCTTGTGAGCAGCTGTCTTACGTTCAGTTCTGATCATCACAGTAGAATACAATTCTACAGCTCGGGACAGGCTAAGACTGTATCAATTGTTCTGGCATTTTACATATGTGCTCTACCCTTTAATCCTAACAATTATACCAACTGCTTAATTGTACCAGGAGCAGCGTATATGTATTTGCATGCTTCCCCCAGAGGGGCTGAGTGAGGTCCGCTGCTAGTGCATGCAATGTCTATCGCAGCAACTAAATCACCATAAAGGTACACATTCTAGACACATCTCATAAACTAAAGCGTGTTTTAGCCAGGTTGGTTACGAAAAGGGATGACCAACCAGGGTTTACCGGGTGTTGTAAGTCTGGGGCGGCGAGGTGACGAGGAGATGGCAGTGTTGCGTGTCACCTCCTTATGTGTGAGTTTTCCCCGACTAATCCTGTCTCTTAGCACATAAAGCCAAACACTCATCAATGGAAATGGCCAAACACCCTGGTGCCAAGTCCTTCCCGAAAGAGCCATCTTTAAGATTCAGTGAGGCTTTCCTGGGTAATTGAATGATTGGCATTGCTAATTGTTTTATAACTGGCTGTTTAATTCTGAGGTTTTTTTGCAGTCATTAGTGATCAATTAGAGATTGTCGTCAGGTGCACCTGAGAATGTTTTGCCACTGAGGAGGCGGCGTTAATGCGTGAGGCTGTGAGCCACCTGCACTGTGTAGAATGTAGCGAAACCGTTAGCATCCAGATTTCTATCTGCTTTCGAGGATGGGAGCAACATCTTGCAAACAGCAGATTTATTTTACTGAAATATATTTTTTAAGTGAAGCATTCTTGTTCTGTCATCAAGGAAAGAATATGCAGTTACAAGCACGTTTGTGTAAAATGCTAGCTTCACCGATTAAGTATTGAGGTGTACGAGGTGACCGAGTGGTTTGTAGAGGCCGGAGTACTAAACTGGCATCACTGAGATTAACCTAAATCCTAGGGTTTGAGAATTAAATTTTCGTTTGAATGTCATGTGTCGCAGAGTGGGTGAGAAAATGGTGCTCACTACTGTGTGGAGTAACCAAGCTCATTCGAAGGGATATCAAGAGGTGTCTTTGTGATATCTGCTTTCCAAATGCCTTTCTGTGACACGGAGGGCTTTGCTGCCCATTGAGAGATCTGAACACATACTTTCGTCTCGTGATACGACACCAATGAAGCACGAATTAGGATACAATTTTTGGGGAGATTTCACGTAATTTATTGAGTTGTAAAGTGTCGTTGCTTTTGTTACTGCTGATTCTCACCATCCTTTTCACTCGGGGGTTGTCTTTGTGGGTTATTTGATAAAGCGGAAATGACCTTCAAGCTTATCACATATCATCCTTGTCCATTGTGATGCCCTAGCATTATGAACGTGAGAGCTTCCATGCCGGGCTTTCAGCATGTATATCTCTCCGTCTCTGCCCAGGGCACCGCCGCTCTGCTTCTCAACAATTTGTCATTGGGTCAGAAGTACAGGGACTTATATGGGGCTGCTATTTTTTTTTACTAAGAACTCGTGCGGTTGATGCTGCCATTGTGTAGCTGTCCCTTCTAATTTGGATAACGTTGTAGATGGCCGGGTAATATCATGGGCCAGTTTGCTCACCCTTAAGCCAGCGTTCTTGGAGTTAAAAACGCGATCGCCCCAACGCAGAAAGCAAATGCAAGAGAGACTACACCGTTTCTGAGCCTTAGGTGAGTGAGCAGTTCATCTTCCGTGTTGGCTGTGATTGAGCTTTGGAACGAACATGCAATTTAGACAAATATCACTGAAGGGAATGGAGTAGCATCTGCACCACGTGTTGTGAAGGCTCAGCATTGCTTTGTCACGCATTTCTGGCTTAATGGAGGTTCTTTGTATGCCTTGTTGTTTTCCTATGTTGAACATGTATATATGTTGGACTTCTTTCGACCTGTACGTAGCCAAGCGTGCTCCGATGAGTGACAATCTTTAGGGAATATCATGGTGTCTTAAGCCTCATTGATTCTTGAGGGTTTTTTATATATATAAAGGTCCTGCATTGCTACATTTGGCCAACTACATTCATGGTTTCACATGGGAGTGCTAAACCTGATTACCTGGCGAAATGTCATGCATACACTTGAATCACACTCAAAGCTCCACACAGATTCAAGGATCCATTGCTCTACTGCCATCATCTGGTTACCTTAAGCCAATATGACAGTATTTGGTATTTCCAGTCCATTTCTCATACAATAACAGTGTTAACCAGGCTCAAGGCTGCTTGCCTTCTGAGAACTGGGTTAAATTGGACACATTCAGGGTAATTTGTTTTCTGGCCTATTTGGCCCTGTTGTGTGCATGCACAAGATTTAGGTGCTCCTCTATACTACACTCACAGCACACAGGGCAGACATAGCTTTAACCATTGAGTGATGGGCTGGGCATCGAAAAACAAATATGCAGACTCGTGCATGTCAACAATGGGCCTCATTTTTTTGTTAATAATAATAATAAAAATGCTGTTACGACTAACCCGCTTTTCTTTATTAATGCCAGGAATGCATACATCACATTCTGGAGAGGGAAGCATAGCATTGCTGAGAGGCTCGGTGTGACCCAACGCAACGCTAGGAATGCACCACTGAAGGCTGCAGTGGCACAGCTGTATGTTGACAAAGCAATTATTGCACTGGCAGGAGGCTCTTGTTAATGGAGCAGGCACTAATGGCACGTGTATTATTAAACAGCAGCTGGTGTGCACACTCAATATTACAGTAATCAGAAACCTTAGAAAACACTAAGCAAACTTTGTAATGTCGAGGCACTTAAGAAAAATATTTGGGATTGAACAATTCCACTACAAGGCACGCACCTGGTGAGAGTGTTGCTCACAGCTGCAATAACTTCTTTCTGGAATAATGTGGTTGGATACACTTTTGTTTTCAGGTTTCAAAGGCCAACAACATCTGCATTGCAAGCTCATATTCACAATCTTCTTCAGTAATGACCGTAAAACGCTATCAAGTTGGCTACGGTTATTACGGCGATGCAGGCTAGAATACAGCGATGTGTGCTGATTTGAAAGTCAAGTACATTTTAAGTATATCCATTACGGTGTAATTGTAAATGTTAGCTGGTTTAGAGCCAATAGGCTGTGCTGCTTAAAAGGTCATTATCATGTTCATTACTGTCATAATCATTGCACAGGGCTCAATTCGCACGATTGGAAAAATCTCTGAGTATCGCAATCAATCCGTGAAGAATCTAAATTTTAGCATTCCAATTATGGGATTGTAAACCGTTATTTGTTTTCTTTTTCACGCATGCTTATTTATTTTTACAGTGCAGTTAATTATTCCTCACAACCTATAATCACACTCGTAAAGTTTTACGTGGTTTTTAAAGCGAAGGAGTAATTACTTTTCGTCATGTTGGAATGCACTTTTCGCTCTGCAGTGTGTTTATATTTTAAATGTGTGCACGCTGACACACTGACACATGCGTGCAGTAATACTTTGTTGTGAACAACCTTATGGGGGTAGCCTTGTAAATGACAAAAAAAATTATTTTAATTAAATCAGCTTGACCAATTATATTCACCTTACTACATCACCTCAAAGTTGCCCGTTCTTGTCAGATCTTAGAAGCTAAGCATAGTTCAACATGAATAGTGGATGGTGACCGGCAAGTTTTTATATCCTGTGGAGCTACGTGGCGAGGAGCAGAGGGCAGTGCGGAAATGTTCATTGTTCTGTACTTTTATGTGCTAACATCTATGATCGCCACCTTCAATCCACAATGACCATCATGGTGCAGTATGGTTAAATAAGCCCCGTGACTTGCATGGTGTGGGGAGGCCCTCATCCAGCAGTGGATTAACAAAGGGCTGTAGAATGTGCATGTGCACATATTTTGTTTCTGTTCAATAATATAAATTTGCTTAATTTTGTTTGCATTGCATGTTGTGTTTTGAAGATAACATTTATAGGAAGTCAAATCTGAAATAGATGACACTTTCACTCCTATATTTATCACCATTGTTGAAGTCTCTGGCACGGAATCGAGATATTCCTATCATGCAAATCTCCGAGTGACAAATAGCCAGCATGCACTAATGCTTGTTTGCGTGCGTGCGTGTGTGTGCACGTGCCCGTGTGTATTTTGTGCAAAAGAGCCGGGAGATTGGCCAGCAAGTGCAAGAAGAGGTCCTGAAAGTGTTCACAGATGTCAGCACGGTAAATGTTCCTCCAACGCACTGCACCACGACACCTGCCAACACACCATTTATCAGCGGCGGTGAGGTTAACCCCTTCATTGCTGCTTCTGTCTCGAGTGTTGCGGTGCTTTGGAAAGCTCTGCATTCATGGGCAAGGGGTCCTACAGGAGAGAATCGAGCATTTGTTTTGTGGTTGAGGTACCAGGATAAACAACAATTATTATAAATTTAACTTGTAACACACCGCACTGTTTTCATTCACTCTCGACGAAAGGGAACGGCTCCAGAGGCGGGAGGAATCACATGATAGGGAAAGGCAGCCAGGCGTTGAGCCAACACTAACGATTGCCCAAGCGCCACTATCCTCTATATATTAAGATATTTTCAACCAGTTAATGAATGTGTATGCATGTGGGAGGAAACCGGAGCACCCAGCAAAAACTCACAGGTGCAAGGGGGAAACACTTTATCCCATACTTTCTGATTTCCCCCCAATTGGACGTCTGAAAAAGAACTTAACATCTCATTGGATTCCTCTGGTCTGAATAAAGAGTTTGATTTTAATTTCATACAAAAGTGACGAAATATTAGTCCACATTTTGCTCTGCCGCCTTCTGGCAAGCCAGGGTATAGCACCTCGATGCCCTTGGGAAAATTCTGGGAAGATCTCCCTTGTCTATCAAATTAATCCTTTAAAATGCGAAGTGACTTCACTGCATTCCAAAAAACTGACTTAAGTTGGCTGTTCCGCAAAAGCAAATAAAGATATGTCACTTGTGCGAGAAAATGTGGTTGGCTCGATGCCAATTCCAGAAGCCACATTGTGCTTTCCACCTGTGATATTTACTAAAGTTGCGGCTGCACCTGGGACCTTTTTGAGGAAATTCTAGCGAGTGATGTGCAGAAATTCCATTTGCATGTGTATATATTTAGCTGCTCTGAGAAAAGCAAACACAAAGCAGCCTTATTACAATTTGTTATTAAATTCAAGATTGAAGGGATCTTCAAATGTTTTCTTTGAGGCCGAGTTTGACCCCAGAAAACATGGATTGGCAAATAACAACGGTGGTTAAATAATGTGCATGTACTTTATACAGTACTCCAGATAGTGTTTTGGAGTAAATTACCCTGCCAATTTTATCTCAATGTTAGTCAAATGTATTTCCAGGGGATAAGATGCAACATTACCTTGAAGTTATGAGTATTCACGATAAATGTTGTAACAAAATATTCACTTTGAAATACTCTTACAAATTTAGACTTAAAGCTTTCGTGACTGCAGGATTCATTTTCTTGGGTCTTTGGGTACAGTCACGTAGATAGGTTCAAAGAAAATATCAAAAAATAACAAAAACTACCACTTTTCGATCACAACACAAGCAATCGTCGTCAGGATAAAAAATATAGCGGGGAAGCTGCTGAGGCAGGATGTTTTAAAGGTTTTAAATGTGTGTATCCCAAGGGTCATAAGCGAAGTGGGTGGGGCTTGTGATGTTAAAGTGAGAGATTAGCATGTCAATGTAAGATCGCAGAGCCACCGCCACATCGAAGAAAACGAGCAACGGTGGCTACGTTAGTGAGACATTTAACCTGTTCATGTAAAACCAGAGAGTCGAAAATAATTACTAACATCGGAAGGTAGGATGGAAACACCACCATCCATCCCAGAAGAATTCCCTCATCAAAACTCTACACCATAGAGCTCGATGTATTTCCGACCGTGCTCATTGGGAAGGACAACAAACGAAACACACACAAAAAAAAGCAAATGCACCTTTGCCCTAATTTTTCTGAATGGTGGTCACGCCAGCCTCGCGGAGTTGTTGGCGTGCCAGCCTAAGCGGAGTCTGGAGTCCCCTCTGGGTTGTATGATTGGTCCCGCAAGGTACAGAGTGTTGTGTGTGTAGTACTAGTTTTCCACAAAACGAGCAGCTACGTGACTGTCAGAATGACGGGGCAGCCTCTTAGTCTCGCACACGTAGACACGTGCCTAACGTGTCCCTGTATGCGGCCAGATAAAACCTGACAATGTTATTCAACTTTCCGCTATTTAAATCACTGGTTGGCTTCAACTAATGTGCATATTGTGGATGCAAAAGCTAAACTTGCTAATTTTGACAGAATTACATCTCAGCCCAGTCACCAATGACAACACTGGAAATCCATCATGTTAAATTAGGCTTTGTGCTCAATTTGGATAAATTCTATATATGACTATTAAATATGTTGGGGTTGGCTGTAATGTGACGAACATTCATATCAGTGGTAGAATGGTTGGGAAAGCGTCAACCTTGATTGTGTCAAACAGGAGTCATTTGAAGGAATCTCAGATGTTGTTGATCTGTGCAGAGTAATGCACCGCTCTGAGAGCTATTTTTCGATTGTACTATCAGTATAGTACACTCGAAAATAATTTTTTTGGAAAACATACAAATAAAATAAATAAAGATCATCGTTGAGTTTAGAAATTTCTTTCACGTTTGTGAGTTTCGGCTCACAAAGCTCCACTTAAACTGCAGTTAAGTCGGGCACGGTGGAGGGATAGGGCGTTGCCAGCTTAACAAACTTCTGTCCTGTTTATATGTGCCGTCTAATCTGATTCAAACACAAAGCTGCAGGCAGAGTCATGTGCCAAAAGCCACGACTGTGAATGCTTGCATGTGACTTCACTTTGAGGTGGAAGTGGGTACGAGAGGTTCATGTTTGAGTTTGTCATTCCATGCCTGCATGTATAACCTGTCATTTAAAGCCAGGTCTTTCTTTAAAACAGATGGCCTTTGATCAGATTTAAAGTAAGAGGATGATCGTTAATTATAAATGAAGACGTCATGATTTGAAATCGAGTTATTTGCCGAAATAAGAAAGATGTTAATCAGTGTAATATTACATGTTATGACATATGGATTGGTAACATGGACAATGAACAAAGGAAATGGGGAATAGAACGCTGAAAATGCACCAGTATGCATGGAGAGAGCAACACATGGATTTGGGACAGACATGAGTTAAAAACGTTATCTTGGCTATTAAAATAGTAAGTAAGCTTGGGCAGGAAATGTCACTAGAAGTGATGATGACCAATGGCAGCTAAAGGAGGGAAAATGCCAGAGGGGTACATCCATTGTGGAGTTGGCGAAAGAAAATCTTGACTTAAAGCTTTCGTTATTGCAGGAATTCATATTCGTTGGGTCTTTCGGTAATGTCACGTAGACAGGTTCAACACAAGCGGGTCGTCATCAGGTGATGACGGCCGCTTGTGTTGCGATCGAAACGTCTTGAGTTTTTTTTTGTTATTTTCTTTGAACCTATATACGTGACTTTACCGAAAGACCCAAAGAATATTGGAGAAAGAACACCAACTCGTATGCAGGTACAAGAATTAATTATTATAGCGTGTGAGGGAGGCCTGCAACCAGCAGTTGAATGATCTTGGCTGATGATGATTGCTGATTGCTGATTATATGTAGGTCTATCTTGCAACACTTTTTATTGTGCCCGAATAGTTTTTGGCCTGTTTATATTGCATGGTAGGGCCATGCCGCTTAAAATAAGGAAATAAAATGAAGAAGTATGAATTGTTCAAGCAGACTTCTGTAGGTTCAAAGTTCAAAGTTAATTTATTAGGTATAGCCCTGTGAGCCATTCAGCTCTTGAATCGGGTGCAACCGCAACAAACAAAAAACAAAAACATGAACAAGAAAACATCTTTTACATGCTGTGATAATGATAATTTAAAAACATCCCTTTGTGAAGCTGCTGCTTGATCTATACCTTTCCACACTGCATCTGGTCATGGGAGTAGTTTTACTTTACTTCACCATACTGGTTAGTGTGGGGTGGTGAAGGTGTGGGGGGAAGGGGGGAGATAGGGGACTGGTTCCACTGATGTGAGCTGTGGTTGGGTGCAAAGCACAATGCTCTCATCACTGCACTGTGGCTCCACCCTCAATATGAAAAATTGATAGTATATAACATAAAATCTAAATACAGACTACATAACATACATTTTTCAGGATGTAACATTGCTCCTTTCTAATGCGTGTCTTGTTAAAGAGTAATTTCATCTCATTGGGGCTCTGGCCTAGTTATTCAACAATCGTTAATACTCACTGTGTCATGCACACTTTCGCACAAGTAGGATGAAAACATTAATATTTTCCCACAGCAGTGTTGTGTCGATGGGCCCTCGCCTGGTTTAATGAATAAGTGCCAATCGTAAAATGTGACCGGCTGGCCAAGCGTCCCAGCGGTGATGAATTAACAAGGTTTGGACTTGGCTCGTGCAGGCAATGAAGACGTACCACATGTACAACACGGAGAGCATGAGCGCGGCGGGGAAGCTTCGCGAGGCTGAGCGCCAGGAAGAGAAGCAGATGGGGAAGACGGGCGACACCGGCGCCATCGGCCTGGGGCTGGCACGGCCCGATGAGCGTGGGGCACGGCGCAGCTCCGTGCGCAAGATTGAGAAGCTCAAGGAGAAGGTGCCTCGCTTCATGCTCGAACCTGCACATGCTCCTACCTCCCCAACCAAGATCCTGTCCGCACAAATACTCTGCCATCCAGACAGACAGCTACTTAGCTGCCCATACAGACAGCTACCTGGCTGCCCATTCAGACAGCTATCCAGCTGCCCAGCATCTAGTCAACACAGCTGCCCAATTAGCCTACCAGTTTTTCACACAATCAGTCACCCACATACCCAGGCACAAAGGCGATTAGCAGCCACCAAGCCATCCAAATACTGAGGCACTCAGCCACGGAGCCACCCAGTATCTCATTCTGCTTCTTTTCCCAGGCACCAGCCAGCCAGCATCCATTCCACTCAGCCACCCAGCTACACAAACAATGTCCCACCCAGCCCAGCACACTGGTCACTCAATCAACTAGCCTCCCAGGCACCCAGCCACCCAATACACCAAACCAGTCATGTATAACTACTCTTAATTGTTACTTGCCATGGTATCTGAGCATTGTTATCAATGCTTGTGCGTAAGCCTATACATTGCCCCACCTACCCAGCATCCCATCTACACAGCTACTCTGTCATACATACAGACAGCTACCCGACTGCCCAGTATCCAATCAACACAGTTGCCCAACTACCCTAATAGTATTCAATGCAGCCACCTAGCTATCAAGCCACTCAGCCACCCAGCATCCATTCTATTTCATCAGCCAGTCCAGTTAATCAGTCACCCTGTCACTTAGTTGCCTTGTCACTCAGTCATATAGCCATTTTACCACTTAATCATCCATCCCCAAAAACATAATTGACTTGTCACCCAGCCATCCATCTATCCAACCACCCAGCCATGCATAACTGCAGTTAATCATGGCTTGTTGTGATGTCTGGATAATCTTATCAACACAACAATACACATTTTTGCATTGAAAGGAGACTTCACACGATAGTGTGGTCACAAGTGACGTCATTATGGCATTTCCTGGCTTGGGAGAAAATAATGCCAAGCTGTTCCTGACTTTACTGATAACATATGGAGCCGAGGCATTTCACATGGTGATAATCATTTTCCCAGCACGTTTATAGGGCACCCACAACCCTGAGGTTTGAGAGAAGTTGATGTAAACGATAGGTGTTTGCGTGTTTATAGGGTCTGAGTTGCTTCCACGTTTTTATGGCTGTGCCTACCTTAATGTCTAATTTCCACCATGCAGGAATTGACCAACCTACTGATTGCAGTGCTCAGTGTGTAGCCATGTGGGTGGTTGGCTGGCTGGCTGTTTGAGGTCATGCGTAGTAGCCAGCTTGAGCCAGAGTATTGTATTTATCTACATACTTTATTAGTACAAAATGTCATTATATTTTGTCCAAATGCGATGTCTAGGCAATTGTTGACCGGTATTAATAAGCAATTTTGTATAAAAACTCATGTGTTATGAAGCGCTATGGGTAAAAGCAATTATAAGTAAACTGTCCTATATCTCCACATAGAACTTAACATGTGTTTTAATCGATCACGCTTGGACTTTCCGGATGAATATTATTGAGCAGAATTTGTTTAAGCAAGCGAACTTTGTACCAGTTTTGACCCTCTGGGTCTCAGGCTTGTTAAACATATGCTTCTGGGTTACCAGATGTTATTGGGAAACCCAAAGTTCAATGTAAAGGCTCATTTAACATGTCTTAATTTTTTGAAAAGATTACCCTGTTTGTGTCTTCAATTTATCTTTTACACAGAAAATATATTCTGTGGATACTTAACATATGTGTACGTTTTTTAAGATTTGGTAATACATAATAAACAGGCATGAGTTTTGTTTACAGTTCATCATAAACAGGCAGGACGTCGATTTAGATTGTATAATGACCTGGCAGGAAGTTATTTTCAAATACACAGTGTTTCACTTATATATACCCTATTCAAAGTCACTCCATAATCCCCAACCAAATTCAATGCATATTTTCATGAAACCAAAATGATGGATTCTAACACGAACTTTGATGCATGTATTGTGAGCAAAACAACACATGTTTAATCAAAGTTTATCATATTATGGCTAATGGTCATGTACTTTTTCCGCCATTATATATTTTTTATCTTCTTTAACCCCCATTTTATCCTGATACTGCTCTCAGTGGCATGTCCTCAGGTGAAGAAGAATCCATTCGGAACTCTTGCAGAGCAGTGGCTCTGGAGGTCAGGGCACTGAGCAGGCAACTGCTGAGTTCCTCGGATCAAATCAAGCACGGGTTCTCAAGTGTAATGCGTTCATGGCCTTAGCACAGCCGTCAATGACTGCACAAAAATATCACGTTGAATTTGGCTCTGCGCTTGATTGATATAAATTCCAAATCTGTCTTGAGAAGGCAAAATATCGGTTTGACTGCCGTGCGATGATTATTACTCTTTTGACGGCAGGGTGTGTAGGAAAGTGCAGAGGCCTAAAGTATGTGGATAGCAGGTCACTTGGAAGGATCTCAGAAAAGTTATCTGACATTCTAGATTTGAAGCTTTCGTGACTGCAAGGATTCATACTCTTAGTTCTTTGGGTAAAGTCACGTAGGTAAAAAAATGAAATTAATAAAAATAAAACAATAAAAGACGGAAGCTTGTGTTGCCTCCGAAACGTGTCGTGATTTTTATTGTTTTATTTTTATTAATTTTATTTCATTTTTTTACCTACGTGACTTTATCTGACATTCACTTTCTATGGGCCACTTTTTAAAACGAAGGGTTTGCACCGCTGTAGTTTTCTACGCCACAATTTGCATCTGGTTGAGCCGTGGTGTGGGGTAGCGTGGGGGAGATTGACATCTCACTCCACGTGTCTTCTGTCCTTTTCCAGCGTCAGCAGAAGTACGCCGAGTGTAAGCTGAAGGCCACCAAGGCACGGAACGAGTACCTCCTCCACCTGGAGGCCACCAACTCGGCTCTGCACAAGTACTACGTGTACGACCTCTCCGACCTCATCGACGTGAGTGGTGCTGGACAAAGTCCGGGCTCTGGAAAGCCTATCGTTGAATGCCTCCTTGTCTTTGTCTGTGATGCGTAGTTAAATTGTTGGCAAGCGCTCTTCTATGTCAGGAATATTCACGCTTGCCAGCCTTGGTTTTTTTGTTGGTTGCATCAACGTCTCTGACGGTGTACCATCCACTGAAGCTTCATGCGGCTCATGGCAATCTTGTTACTCGTGGCTTGAGTGATTAAAAAGAAAGGCCGATACAATGTGTCCTTGGCCTGTGTTCCTGATTCAAGAGTGCTGCTTTTGTCAGTCTCTTCCCTCGATGCACACATATTGCATAGATTTGTGCTACAAAGCCAAGGGTCTTAAGTTCAGAAAGTTTTGTCTGTGCACGCCATATTATTTACATAGTCTCAACATTCTTTGAGTAAGTCGTGTTCTGTTCATTGCTAATGATGCAGTCTGTTTACCCAGAGAATGTTCCTTGGAGAAATTAGTTAGTTGACGCTACAATGAATTTCCTAATTGAACAAGGCTTCATATTTTCTGTTGCACGTCCGCACTGTCTGTGTGGGTAGTGGGGTGCCTCTGTGATTTCAATTTAACCATGTCCTACCATCAACTTGTTATTTAATTTCTTACTAATGTGATATGCAAGCTTCAGAAAGGCTCACATTTGTTGAACAGATGGGAGCTTTTAAAGAGTATGGAAATAATTAAATAAATATCAAGGTTGAGCATTAGGCTAATTTATCCTTTGTTAAGCACTCTTTTTACAGTTGTTTTCTTTGTACAAAATCTAAGGCATTTTCTTTCATCCCCAGGGAAAGCTTGATACAACGGTGAATAGATACTGACAACTGTTGATGACTAATGATATTGGCACATCATTGCCAGAAATAGCCTATTTCCAAATCTCTTGAGGCTTTGTATTACTTGATTATTGAACATGCAACTTGGCTTGTGCTGTGAGCGCGCTGAAAACCTCAACCAACTTGTACTTTATTCAATAATATCCCCTACAATTTAGTAAGAACTAGTATGTCCTTTTCATAGGAACATTATTACCTCCGCCTGCCAAATTCAATTAAATACATTTACAGCCCATTACCTTTCGATTTAAAGATTTCGTGACTGCAGGGATTCATCTTCTTGGTTCTTTCGGTAAAGTCACGTAGAAGCGAAATAATAAAATAAAAAAATAAACATAAAATAATTCTCACAATTATTTTGAGAATGATTTTATTATGTTTTATTTTTATTATTTTATTATTTCCATTCTACGTGACTTTACCGAAAGAACCAAGCAGATGAAGCCCATTACCTGTCAGCTGCAGGATGAAGGCCTCCCCACACGGGGTCGGTCAACAGGTTCGTTTGGCCATGCTTCACCATGCTGCTCAACAATGAGCGGAGCACCAGGCTGGTAAAATACAGCAAGTTGGCACAGTAGGTGGTTCATCTGCCTGTCATCTCGGTCAACCCATGACACCTGGGTCTGTCCCGTGACCTGCCAGCGGGCGTTCGACACATCACATGGCCTTAAAGTGCACAGCCTGGCACATGTGCTATGGTGATGTCACCGCCACTTATCGGCAAATGGAGGTTGTTGTTGTTGTGCTGCTCAGTGCGGGTTGGTGAATGGGGTGACTCAAGAACAGTTGAGATATCACTCACCACTGGGTGACCAGGTCCATTTTAGATATGACTCTAAACCGATGTTAGCCATGGTCGGGATTTCAATATAGGTTACCGATTTTATAGCGTAGTACGCTAACCAATGTACCACCCACCATGACCCTCTGTGTGACAAGAAAAATAAACAAGCTCGCAAGCAAGTTGATTAAGGGAGCCCCATTATGCTCGGGGGTTCGACTTTGGAATAATACGCGCACAGAAACACGCACATGCAAATTAATGTACACATTACCCACACAACCTCACAATCATGCGCACATGCCAATCATTCTCCTATGCTGAATTTAAATTATGACCAGTCATACAAAAAACCTGTAGAGATCTGGTCACTAGTATTAACAAGCTGTTTGGTAAGCTTATAATGATTGGTTTTGTAATTTTCATGAAAACACAAGTGTCTTTGGATGGATGGGCAGACATGGTATTTCCCTGAGTATAGCAATTAGTAACCTATTGGCTCCTTGAAAAAAAAAACACTTGAGATATTCCTTGGGGAAAGAAAAATATTTTTCTATTTTTACCTGGTAGTTTTTTTTTATCAGGGGCCACAGTGCATGTCGATTCATTTGAGTTGATGATTGCGCACAGTAGCTTTCAGACAGACCGTTGCCTGCCTGCTCTACTCATAATTAAGGGTATTACTTAGAGCAGACAGCCAGGGAATTAGGCTGGAGGCGAAAGGGTTTAACCCTTCTCGGTGAGCGTGGCCTTCCGAGAACCAAAAATAGGAGATTTAGCACCAAGAAGATTGGCACTGCGCATGCTGAACACATTTCCTTGGACCTTGCAACCAAACTCCCAATTCTGTTTGTGCATGTACAAAGGTTTTACACGTCGCCCGCATGGACGGTCGGGACGACTGTTGTTAATGACTACCAATTAACGCCCACACTGTCTACAGAGAAGTGGGATAGCCAGCACCATGCCTTTGTGTCTCAATAATATATATTTTCTTGGTTTCGATCACGTTCATAATAATGTTGTTAAACCCGCCACCACCCGACACAGCCAATTAGTAAGGTTTGTCACGTAAACAGAACGTGGCCAATTCGTTACTAGTACAGCACACCGGTGTGTTGGAAAGCCAATCCACGACATTTACAATCTATGTGTAAATGTGACTCCTTTGCCTATGGTTACACACACCACTAGAAACTCTTTTAAAACTTGGATTGTCGTGGAGTGGTTCAAGACCAGTTCTGATGTCACTCGCCACTGATGATCTTGTCCAGTGCTGAAACGGATCGGGAGAGTCTTTGCACAGCAAGTCTGCAGGTCAAAATGTTGTGAATGAGTGAGGTGGTTTGCTAGGCTGCATTCTGGCCACCACAGAGATGTCATTGGGAAAAATGTGGCTGTGACCTTGTGTGGCTGGGTGGCAGCGTTGTGGGGTGCGCCTGGGTCACTGGTTGGGTTGCTTGGTGGGTTTGTGGTTTCAGGGCTTATTTTCATCCAGGTCTGTCCAGATTAATGACCCTGAACATATTTCCTGACCTGACACACCAAATATAGGATACCTCTCGCTGTGGGCTACTATTCACCTGTCACTTCTCGCTCTACTGGTGACCTAAAAAATATTCTGTGGGAAATTACCCCTGGGTGTGTGTGTGTGTGTGCGCGACCGTGACTGATGCGCTCCCTGTGTGAGTGTGCGCGTGGCTGTGCGGTGCTGTGCGGATCAGTGGTGTAGCGGTTAGCGCGCTGCGCTATGAACCCGGCGACCAGAGTTTGATTCCAGCCAACGGCCAACTTCAGTGACGACTCTGAACCAGTCTTATGCGACTCAGCCTCAAATGACTACCTGGTGCAGTGTGTAAGCATCGCTACTGCGGAGACAAAGACAGCCGTGCGTGGTACTAGCCACCCACCCCCTCGTGTGCCGTTCAAGCCTTCATTGGTAATAATCGCTAACAGCACTTGCCCCAATAGTCTGCTAAGGCTACACCGGTGGGGGTTCTTTGTCTTTGCAGTGCTGTGACCTGGGCTACCACGCGTGCCTCGCCCGCGCCCTCAAGACGTACGTTTCGGCCGAGCTGGGCCTGGAGGCATCGCGACACGCGGGTCTGGGCGCCGTGGAGCGCGCGGTGGAGGCCCTCGATCCGCGCAGCGACAAGGCTCGCCTCATGGAGAGCTACGACACCCTCTTCTGCCGCCCGTTGCGTTTCGACTTCCAGCCGCACATGGGGGACGAGGTGAGGCCAGCGGAAATCGCCGGCGTCGTATCGTTTCGTGGGGGGGAGGGGGTGTTTAGTTATATTTGATTTCTTTATTTGTTTCTGCTCGCATTGTTGCGTTGTGATTTGTTCAGTAGTGCTGTTGTCATTCTTGGTTCTTTCGGTAAAGTCACGTAGAAGGGAAATAATGAAATAATAAAAATCTAACATTAAAATTCTCACCACGTTTCGATTGCAACACAAGCAATCATCATCAAGTGTGAAAACTACAGCAAGAATTTTTTTGCTAATTTTAGCTAAAATTTTCTTGCTGTAGCTAATTTTAGCTAAAATGTTCTTGCAGTAGCTACTTTTAGCTAAAAATTTCTTGCTGTAGTTTTCACACCTGATGATGATTTGCTTGTGTTGCAATCGAAACTTCGTGAGAATTTTTATTGTTTTATTTTATTATTTCCTTCTACGTGACTTTACCGAAAGAACCAAGAATATGAATCCCTGCAGTCATGAAAGCTTTAAATCGAAAAAAAATGTGTTGTACTGTACGTCTGTGCTCCCACATAAATGCTTGCCCGCCTTCACAAACCGACGCAGACCAGAATGGTTAAGTACGGTCAAATAACCCCCATGACCCACGCGGCGTGGGGCAGCCCTCTACCAGTGGATTGACAGACGGTTTGTGCCTGTACATGCATCGCACGTGCACGCAGATATCCATGTATAATTATCATTTGGTTCACCATGGACTTGTACCTTGTAGTTGTTTCTCAGGGTCTCATTTGCCAATGATACTCGCTGACTCGGCAAGCCTTCAACCATATACAACGTTTTATGGTTTATTCTTCGTTTTCATTCTTATCTTTATTGTCGCTCTCATCACGGCCGTTGCCGCTATTTTCGCCGTGTTCTCGCCCCGAGCTTCAGAACCCAAGAAAATCCACATATGGTGCTAATTGTGTGATCGGCTGGGGTTCAGACAGTGTGAAGCAACCTCGTTTTTGATGTAAAACCAAATTCGTAAAATAGCATTTTATTGGACAATTGGTACCAGTCCTGCTCGATTTCCCTCCAAGTTCACTCCTCCGCATATCCTCAACATTCAATCTGCAATCTTGGCAATGGGCATTTTTGTTTTAAACTCCTTCCTCTATTCCATTTAGCAGTTATTTAACTGGTGTTTTACACATATAAGACAGCTTCCCCATAGAGCTGTAACAGACTTTTGGGGCAAGTACTGTTCGCGAGCACCTATGAAGGCCGGCACGGCACATGACAGGGTGGGTGGCCAGCACCACGCCCGACCGCCTTTGTCTCCCTAGTGGCGATGTTTATACCACACCAGGTACTCATTTGAGGCTGAGTTGACCTAGCAGAGGCCCAGGACTGGTAGAGATAATAAGCACTGGTGTTGGCCGTGAGCAGGAATCGAACCCAGGTCTCTGGGTTTGTAACCGCTGCACTATCGCTTACACACAACAAAATGTGTTCATTGCCTGATAATTTTTTTGGTCACAAGGCATATTCAAGTTAAAACATTACACACGGTGTGCAAGGACGCAATAAACTCGTAACCTTTGCTATGAATGCTTCCTTGCAATAAAAACTCGTAATGTATTTATTCAAGAACATCTCTGTGCGTCTTGATACTGTACCCAGGTCTCAGCGTTGCCAGCTCTCAGTGCTCTGATCTCTGAATCGCCTGGCCACCTCCAAGCCCATAGCTTCATATGTTTGTTTTATTTACAGAGAAAAACACTTGTTAGAGTATTGATTTAATAAACTACTATTTGTAGTCTTAGGTTTTTTCCGGTAAAGTCAAGAATTACTATTTGTAGTTGTGTGTATCACACGGTACAGCCTATTCAACCTTTAGCTCTTGCACGTCACAATGTACATGTACGGCATTTTTTTGTCATTACACTTTTTTGGGTCATGGGAGTTGCGTGACCTTTCTATGCCACGCATATCAATGAATGCAGATTGGTGAAAGCAGGTAACATAGATGTGGAAACAATACGGTACAGCAATGAATTTTTGCTGCATTTTCCCTCGACTACCTACCACACAGCTCCACCACACAGCCCTGCTGTGCACACTGTAGGCTCAAACCTCTGCTTAGCTTCCGAGATCTGACAGGATTGGGCAGGTAATTTGATCGTAGGCTCTTATTATTAATAATAAAATAAAAATGATGTGAATAAATGAATGTGTGTGTTACGTTGTGCAGACGAGTCAGATATGCGCTCAGTCGCCTCTGCAGTTTGAGCTCCTGCAGCGGTGTCAGCAGCTCAAGTGCCGCCTGGCGACGCTCCAGATCGAGAAGGAGGAGGTGAGCGTTTATCTGGGAGAGCTGCGCTTAGTCAAGTTCTCACGTGTGTGTGTGTGTGAGGAGTGGTGGTGTAGCGGTTAGCGCACTGCGCTACGAACCCAGCGACCCGAGTTCAACTCCCGCTCACGGCCAACACCAGTGACGATTATTTAAACCGGTCCTGGGCCTCCCCTAGGCTGACTCGGCCTCAAATGAGTTCCTGGTGCAGTGTGTAAACATCGCCACTGGGGAGACAAAGGCGGTCGGGCATAGTGCTGGCCACCCACCCCCTCGTGTACCGGTGCCATTCTTCATAGGTGCTCGCTAACAGTACTTGCCCCTACAGTCTGTTAAGCTATACGGAAGATCTTTGTCTCTGTGGAACGTGGAACAGCACTGCAAGCGTCTGCGTGCCCTGGTCTACCTCAACTTTAAGACACGGGGAGGGGGGGGGGTGTGTCTCGTTAATTTGTGTGCGAGACGCTTTGATGATTTGTCGGTTCATCTCACACAAGCAGCATTCCCTCCCTACGAATTACGTTTCCTCCAGTAAAAAAATATAGTTTTACTTTTTGGGTCCAAATTTTGTTTGCTCTGCAGAGAAAAAAATTGGACCGCTCGTCTTAAAAAGCGTTTCACGAATCGTTTTTCAGACTTGTAGATTTGGCCAGTTTTAAAATGTACGTGGACACATGAAGAAGGAAACACGTATATACTCCACCACACAAGCAGATCCGCAACTGCTTTTTGTACTGCTTCCTACTTTCACATTGTTCACCTGCAGATCTGTGTCTGTTTTACACAGGCTGCATCTCTGTGTGATCCATCAACCCCACATCCAAGTCATTGTATTCCACGTGTACATCGGCACTCGTGGCATAGAGCATCATCTGCGATCCCCACCTATGGTTTAAGGAATATATTTTTCCCCAATTTTATCCTGATTCTGCTATCCATTCAGATTCCTCCAGAGCAGTGTGGCCCACGGACGCAGATATCATAGAGCTACCTCTGAGATCCCTTTGTGACAACATGGTCCACAGAGTAGGAGGCACAATTTTCCCACCCACTATGCTATATGAGAGTAATGTCTGTAAAATGACATTTAAGTGCATCTTTTTTTTATTTTTCATAGCTGGAATTTATCAAAATTAAGTGCAGATGGAAAATGTATGTGGTGCGTGTTTTTTTGTTGTTGTTGGACTCATTAATGAGACCATGAACTCACCACACTTAAAAACTGTCGCTAATCGTAGGGTGCTCCTTGGATTGTAACCCAACATTTCAGTGGTGCCAAGTCGTCCAACAGTGGTGCCAACTCCAACGATTTAGAAAATCTGACACCTCTTGTAGCTGCGCTTATAGCCGTAAGTCCCAGAAAAGGCGTAATCACCACTGCCTGGATCTAAACGAATGTGCCTGTTTTTGTTATTGATTGGGTCTCGTCGTGCAGTGTGAATCGGCTCAGATCAAGAAGACGCAGGAGGCCACGCTGCAGGCCCTGATGGACATGCTCACGGCCGAGGACTACGACGTATCGGAGGCCTTCAAGCACGGCCAGTCGACAGAGTCGCTGCGTGCCCCCGCGCCCTCCGAGGCCTACATGTGCAAGTACAACGTGGCCAAGCGTCGCGCCAACCAGCAGGAGACGGAGTCCTTCTACTTCTCTGTGAGCGATAGGGGCAAGCGTAGTTAATGGCCAAAAGTGAAGCATGATGATTAAAAGTAATGATGATGATATAAATTACAACTTCCATAGTGCCGTAACATGGTAATACACTTGCATTGTTAATCGAGGCGGCTGCTGGATTCGAACCGTGAACCTCTGCAACAAGTGGCGAATGTGCTACCTTGAGACAATGTCGCCGTCCAACTCTTGTTAATTTAATATCATCAGCCATCTAGATTTGAAGTTTTCGTGACCGCAGGGATCCATACTCTTTGGTTCTTTCGGTAAATTCACGTAGGTATATAATTAAATACAAAAAATATTTTGCCCACTTCAGCAATTGTTTCTTGCTGTGGTTGTCCCACCTGATGACGGACGCTTGTGTTGCGCCCGAAACGTCGTGATTTAATTTATTTTATACCTACGTGACTTTACCGAAAGAACCAAAGAGTATCATCAGCCATATTTCGCTGCTGAATGGAAGCCTACCTACGACATCACCTCCCCTCAAGATCCCTCCATGTCACAATCCATCTCACTCCTGCACACAATCTAACCTCATTGATCCATCTCCATGGTGATTGCCCTGTCCGGGCATGTTACTTCCTTGAGCTGACATTGCATCACCAGTCTCATCCGTCTTTGGTTCTAGCAATACCATTTTTCCCACGTTAAATGTTGTCTCTAATTTGAGTTTTATTCTCTTTTCCAAGATTTACTCCTTCTGCCTTTCAGTGCATTCATGGACCTCTATTAAAGAGAGTGATCGTTTCTCTTCATAGATCGGCAGGTCGTGTGGGGTGGGGTAAAACTGTGGGTAATCCCCTGCCTTCCAAGATGTCTGGCCAGCGTAGAAAAATATGCCAAAATACCCTCTCGAGAGAGGCCCTACAGCTCCATTTAGTGGAGGCCCTTAGGCTAGCAGTGGCATGTGTGAGCAATTCTAGGGCTACACCGTTATGTTTTTTTACCTAATAAAAGTGAGTGATGTGGTTAAGACACAGAAAATGCAATGTGCTACCTTGAGACAATGTCGCCGTCCAGCGCTTGTTTCATTTAATATCATCAGCCATATTTCGCTGCTGTATATGTGAAGCTTTACCCCCTTATTGTGATTGCATTTCCGTTCGAAGCCATTGTGCCACACGTGGCTGCAACTGTAGTCTGTGCACTTCACAACCTGTCTGACCTTTGACCCAGAATTCCTGGGATAGCGACTTGTGCGGGCAGTAGCTCCATCATCTGTCACCATCGTTGCACGTGTAATTTTTTTCCAACGTCTTCCCTGTGTCATTTCTTCCTAAAGGTTTAATTGATTAAATGCCCCGAGGAAAATATGGTAATGAGAGGCTAAATAACCTAATTAACAGTTTTTTACATGTAAAAAAGGCTGGATATATTTTTTTATTACATTCACCATCATCAAACGTAGATGTGAAATAACTTGTTATATCTCGATTTAAAGCTTTCGTGACTGCAGGGATTCATCTTCTTGGTTCTTTCGGTAAAGTCACCTGAAGACGGCTGCTTGCGTTGTAGCCGAAACGTCGTGAGAATTATTTTATTTTATTATGTTTTATTTTTATTATTTTATTACTTCCCTTCTACGTGACTTTACCGAAAGAACCAAGAAGAACATGTTATATCGTTTAGTGTTGGACTGCTCGATATAAAGCATCTATTTGGATCTCTCAGATAATTGCAACCCTTTGTTAGAATGGCTCATGGAAGATAATATCACAGAGATGACCATGAGAGGCTTTCTGTATATTGATAAATAGTAGAGAGAGTAACATTTATGAAACTAATATTTTTCATTCCCACTGCTGGAATTTTGTCAAAATAAGTGCAGAACCAAACTTAATTTGATAAGGATCCCTGCAGTCACGAAAACGTTCAAATCTAGATTTAATTTTATAGCGTTTTATATGTGCAGTCATTCGTGACTGGGCTGAAATAATGGAGTTGGTACACTTGAAAACCAAGTTCATTTGCAGGTGGCTGAAATGTATAGTCAAACCCAGCTTCGTGCTCTGACCTTTGTACCACCCTGGCATCTTAAGGACATCTATACATCGTCACTGATCATCACTGTTTGGTTTTACTCAAGTTGCCCTAAGTGATTGTGAAATGTATTATCTTCAGTCCAGAGCATAACACAGATTACTGGCCACTTAACCACGCATAATTACATTGTTGCTGATAGCTGCTTTACTTTACAGCAGCTGAATTGCCGCTGCAGAATTGGCCCTCAATTGTTAGCAAGTCAACCAACCCTTTTAGCATTAAGTTCTGTCTTAATTACTTAAACATCATTGTAACGATAATGGCCTCTTATAGCTGTGTTAAATGTTAGACACCCGGCAAAGGACAGCCTCAGCTGTCTCATCGTTCTCTTGCATTATTAATGCTTGCTTTTACACAACTCTTATGGTTATTGAAAGTGCACTTGAGCATAGCTGTTTTCATTGTGTTCGCTTGGTCTGGTTTCACACGTTGCACATATTTTTAAGACTGCTAAGTGATGGAGCCACATGGCCTTGAAATCAAAATGCATGTTTGTTGACGGCCAGAGCGTCGTTAACGCTCGTTTCTTCTGTGCCACTAGAAATTCAAAGAGTACATGGACAGGAGCAGCCTCATCAACAAGCTGCAAACGAAGCATGACCTACTGCAGAAAGGACTGGATGAAAGTGAGCTTACGCTATCAAAAATAATATTAAAGACAGCAGTGAACTTGCAGCGTAGAACGTTCGTTTTTTTTTTTTTACCCAGGGCTCAATGTAAAGCAGTTAACTATTGCTTGTGCTCACATTGTGATGCTATTTGTGTGTCCTGTGTGTCTGTGTGTGTTGTAGGTGAGAAGGCAGAATGTATGAACACTGGGTAAGGTGGCGTTTGTTTACAGTTTCAGCTTTTGAGTATTGGTTCATATACATTTCAGTTCATGTTTTTTTTGGTAGAATAATAATGTTTGAAATATTTGTCAGTGCTTTTGCTTTTAAATATGCACTACTGACTGGAATTAATGCAATATATGTTCAGTTGGTGTAATGTTTGTTGTGTTTTTAAGTCGGAACAAGTTAATCCATAAGTGAGGGTAGACTCTAGTTTATGTTATCTAAAAGTAGGCTATCTTGTATTTTGTGCAGTCAAAGCATTTTAAAGATGAGATAGTTTGCATATAGTTCTTAGATTGTTTTAAAATGTGGATTTTGTCATTTCTCAGCCACTTTGTTTGCTATAGTTATACATTTAAGTTCCTTGTATCTTGTTCTCAATTTGCAGATCATCCATTCTGTATGCATATATACACCATGTATTTAATCAATTTTTGTTAAAACACAGTTGAACCTTTGTGTCCACCTTTTCAGGCCAACTTCTGCCTCCAACACAGTGCAGAAATTCAGGAAGCCTAGGCCGCGCTCAGTGTTTAACGTAAAACTGTTTAACGGTGATTTGGAAACGTACATACAGGTACTGCCGAGCCAGTGCTGATCACCCCATGCTTCCTTTCTGGCGCCGAGTGCAAAAAAATCTGCCTTAATAAAAAAAACCCTAGCGGCTGGGCTGCGCTCGCTGCTGCATGAACGCTGTTGTGCTGCTGATGATGATGGAGCCGCTCGACTCTCCTTGCGAACCTCTCACGAGATCTGTCGCCGCTTCACGAGCATTCGCAGTTCCTCTGCACTGGTGGCCGCTTGTCGTTTGGGGCTTTGGTCGCGCGCCGCCGCCCGCTCCACAAAGCTCTTGCGTGATTTTTATTTCGTCTATTTTATTCCCCCACCCCCCTCCGTCCCGCTTTTGCCGTCTTGCTCTAACCCTGTGGCTTGCAGCGGGAAGCGGAGTTTTCGCTCCAGGCAACAGGTACCATCGCCCCGCGCAGTCCCCTGTCTGCACGGAGTTTGTTTGCGACGCTCTGTGTGCGTCCGTACCGCAGCGACCATCACCCACAGCAAATCGAGGCCATGGTGGCAGTTTGTTTTGTCGAGCAGACTTGTTTGTTAAATGCTTTTTTTTCAAGGTCCATTACTGTATATGCAAATTCAATAATTGCCAGACGACTCGGCCCATCTGTCGTTTCCTGCGCTCGCTACTCTGTTTCCCATGGGGTCCGCATATCCCCCGTTGCTCCCACAAATGCTCCACTCTAATCCTCTGAACGCCTAGTAGCCTAATTGATCTAGCACTTTTTTTATCTAAGAGTAAACTTTTATCTGGAAATAACTCCAAAGCAATTTTTTTATTGTTGTCAACAGATTCCATAATTTAGCCACAGTGACTGTTTGCAAAATGTAATACTTTTATATGTGAATTAAATAAAAAATGTAGCTTCAGAAATCCCCTGTAATGGTTTCCAGCTCTACTTTAGAAGTGTCTTTTTGTGCCCAATTTGGTAGTGTCCACAAGCCCAATGAGGCTAGACCTTCCCCAGTATTTAAAGCAAATATTTTTAGAAATCCATCCACCATGGCTTCATTTGAAGGTGAAAGGTTGCTCGTGATAACGGTCCATTAAACCTACACAGCTCTCCCAGACAACAAAGTGGGTGTTCCGTTTGCTTTTAACAACATGCCATGGTCAACAACAGTCATTTTCCATTCTGGCCATGCAAGGTACTTATTCTATAAGGTTGCAGAGATGCATGGACATAACCTCCATGTAACCGTTGACTCACGCAACCAATCTCTAAATAATAGATGTGGCACAAGTGTAGCAAATTTGCCCCATGGCCAACAATTTAACATGGAAAACTATCGTACCTTCTATACAGGATATCCACGAATATCATCCATTATTAAAGCATGATAATTGGGCAGAATTTTTAACTGCATGAATGTTAAGGCTATGTGATAGATGAAGTGCCAAAAACAAAGCTTCAATGATCTTCAACAAGACATAACAGAAAAATGAAATCACATGTATTCTTTTGTTGTTGTAACTTGCTGACCCGCCCCTACTGACATCTGTGAAAAAGAGCTTTCATAGCTCATTGGATTCCTCCATATTCTTGGTTCTTTCGGTAAAGTCACGTAGATAGAAAACAAAAATCTAAATTAAAAGAAAAAAGCACCTGGCACTCTCTCGTACCTCATTAAGGTGTGCGTCGCAAATGCCATGGTCGACATGTAGATTTTTTGAAGAATGAGACTCATATGGAATCTGCATTCTACCATGTAATTTTATATACCCAGCTCAAACTGCATTTGTGAATATACTATTGGATTAAGGCCTCCCCACTCTGTGGATCTTGGGGTTTATTTTACCATACTTCAACAAAGCTGGTCAGTTGGGGTGAAGATGGGGAGCATAGCATGGAAGCAAATAATTTCAGCTCAAAAGTGGATGTTGCTCCACTGGCCTCTGTAGCAGAACGCTGCATCTGCCTGTACATCCTGGTGTGCATGGTGGGTCACCCTTCCAAGCACTATCCAGGCTCAAACCCACTTAGATTTTGACATCTTGACCACATCGGGAGCATTCTTAGTTGAATTATAATTCTTTGGTAATGGATGATACCTCTATGGACATGCTGTATATATGAATTACAATTAAAATGACTGAATATTTGAACAATGCCATCAAGTGGCCATGTAAGTCCTGGTGAGCGTCGGCCATTTCAGCTGCACATGTTTTTGTATTCCTACGTGTGTTTATCATTTGGCTGCAATGAGGAACCATCTCCCCCCCCCCGCTCCCCCGCAGCCGGGATGATAGCGTGTAAGGGGGACACACTACGCTCACTCAAATGGAGAGGGGACTTCTGCAATCCATCCTGTGTTTCACCACGCCCTTGGGCAGCAGATAAGACACTTCCCTTGTGCATGGGAGAGCTGCCATCGCTTAAGAGAGCGGGCTTGCTGCTGTGGTCTCAACGGCCGTGTTGAATCTGCAGCGACAGCCACGAGATTTAGCGAAGATGTTTTGCCTTTGAGTCTGTGCTTTCTTTGTTCAATTGTTGTGTGCGCGTGCGCTTACTTGCTATGCTTTTTGGCTTGTTTCAAACTTTTAACCTTGATTTAACGTTATCGTTGATTTAAAGGTTGCGCATTGATTTTAATTTCGGTATATGAATACAGCACCAAAAATGCTATAACTAATTATTCTGGGAGTATAAGTTTTTAATTCATACATTTAATTGCGTAAAAATTTGCTTGGAGCTAATGTAAAAAAATGTGTTTGTATTTAATATGTAATCAATTTGCATGTGTGATAATTTAGCATTTGTTTTATAACTGTAGTTAATATACTTGATAGCCCTTCATCAATACACTGATGAATTAAGGCCCTTCCCTGTGTAATGTGGTTCATGGATATATATATTTTTTACCATACTTCACCATGCTGGTCAGTGCAGCTTGGTGAAGTGAAGGCCATGGACCACTTTTTTATCCACTTGCCACTGATTTTAGCTGTGGCCAATAATCGAAACTCTGGGCGCCAGGGTCAGCGCAACACGCTAACCACAGCACCAATACTTCCCCTGCCCCACCACCCTCTATCGAGTAGTATTTACCATCTTCTTGGTTCTTTCGGTAAAGTCACGTAGAATGGAGATAATAAAATAATAAAATAATTCTCACGTTTCGGCCACAACGCAAGCAGCCGTCCTGTCTACTCGACAGACCTGTTTCTTCACCTGAGGACGGCTGCTTGCGTTGTGGCCGAAACGTCGTGAGAATTATTTTATTATGTTTTATTTTTATTATTCTATTATTTCCATTCTATGTGACTTTACCGAAAGAACCAAGAAGATGAATCCCTGCAGTCACGAAAGCTTTAAATCGAAATAGTATTTACCAATTAAACACAAACTGACGTAATGGTGCAAGCACGGATGCGCGCTCGCCTGCTGTGTTACAGGATTCAGGCCAGGCGATCCCCATCGTTGTGGAAAGCTGCATCCGCTTCATTAACCTTTACGGTATGATGGCCTCAAATCGCCAACAAACCGTGCACCACAGCCTCCCACCGCACATTCAATCATGGCGCGTGAACCTACCAGAGGTGAAACTACCAGAGGTGAATTGCCAAATGACCCCCCCCCCCAATCGCAGCTACTTCCTGCATCGGAGGTGCGAGCGTGAGCTGGATTGTCCAGACGTTTAGCGTGAAAACGCACAGCGCAGAAGTCTTTCGTACGAGTGCGCACATGGCAAGCTGCATTGAGTGTTTTTTTTTTGTTACAATCATTCTTTAAGTATTTTAATGCTGCAGCACCAAGAATTATGAGACAAAAGTTGTTTTAAAAATAAATTTGTTAGGCATTACTCCACAATAAGATATACTCTGACCTTAAGGCGTAAAAAAGGACAATTCGACATTCCAGAGCATGGGAGACAAACATTTATTACGGTTAAATCTGAATTTATAATATTTAAAATCACTGATAAATTGGGTTATAGGTCAGTCGTTCTGAAGGTTCCAATCCAATGCTTTTCAGCACCATTTGTTTTTAACACGTAAAAAGTACGTCCATTTCGACTACCTTGTGTCTCATCGTCAGGTGCGCGCAAATAGTACTTGCCACAAAAGTATGTTAAGGCAAAACGGGAGATATTTGTTTTTGTGGAATGTGTAGGAGGTGCATATTAAGGGTGAAATGATTGCCCTTTCCCCCCAGCAGTTTGATGACTTATCGCTTTTTCAGGGTCAGGATTTGATCCGATCATTGATTCTGTTTGTTTTGCGGTCAATCATAGCACCTCTAGCGGCTGCAGGGGTGACATGAACCCATTACAGGATATACAAATCGTAAAACATTGATTCTTACACGCACACACTATTCAATTCACGTTTCTTCGCCTTAAAATGCAATGTTAATCGATGCGTCATTACATCCTCAAAGAAAAGAGTTGTATTGCGTGCTTCATGTCAGTTGCACTTTGGCACTTAACTCTGCTTCTCGTCCCTATAGGATTACAGCATCAAGGGATATTTAGAGTACCTGGCTCTCAAGTGGAAGTGAACGAGATAAAGGCATCATTTGAAAGCGGTAAAGACGTGAATTTTATCCGAAATGACTTCAAGTATCCCTCGTGAATGCTTTTGTCAGAACATTTGTAACTAAGCATTAATAATTGCAAAATGGATAAATGCACTTTATTTTGGATTTCACCTGTTGCTGGCTAAAAACATTAAGCGATAGCTTTTATTAAATCACAGTTGCTGAGCACAGGCCCAAACCACTCACCAGCCAGCCGCAAACCACACTATTGATGGGATAATAGAGAAGTCTTACTAACGTTTACTTGTACGAGGTTATACAGATGTGGAAACAAATAGATTATTTTTTCCCCTCCACATTTGGCATCAACATGCGTTCAGAGTATTTGTTTGCAATACATTACCACGTGGTGATAAGCTACTTTGTTGAGCTATCATTTGTGGCCAGGTCGCTTCCAAAAAAAGTGCTACATCGCTCAGTGGGCCTTACCTGGTAAAATAAAAATAGTTTAGAGTTGAATTGAATACATAATATAGGTTTTTGGGTCAGATCGCGTTTTACGTTTCGCTGATAATTACAATCAGCTTCATCGGGCAAGAATGGTGAAGCTCTCCTGTTGCTTCCGGTCTTAAATAGAGCAGCCTCAGGGTGACGTCTCATTTAATTCAATTCAATCTGGTGCAGTGATTCGAGGCAAGGAAGGGGGAGGGTATTGTAATTATATAGATTGGTAATCATTCAATTGTTATTCATTGGTATTTGTTTCCCTTATAAGGAATTGTAATTGTATTTATTTGATAATACGCTTCCAGGCCGCACTAAGCCTGTAGCTGTCAGAATAGTTTATAATATAAAAAAATTTACCCGTAAAAACAAAGTTTTTCACTATAAATCCTTTATATGCGTGGCGGCTAGAGTCCTCTCGTCCACTGGCTTGAGATGGCTGCCACCTATGGGTCAGATGATTGTCTGCCAACATTAACCAATTGGTAATTAAATATTTAAAAAAATTCCCTAAAGAGTGTAAAATTTTGGAAAAAAAATTTCACGAAAATTAATTGTCACGCACAACGGGTGTGTGTGGAAAATGTCAGCTCGATTGGATCACTGGAAGTGTGTTAAAAAACGACCGAAAGATTTGCACGGTTGTAAGCAAGCACGCAAGCAAGCAAACTTAATATAAAGGATTTTAAAAAGCCCTTTTATGCACTGGAGAGAATGTCTTTGGGCCAAACCTGCTGCAAGACAATGCTTGGAATATTTCTGGTTGAACATAATCCTGGAAATGTGACTTTGACACGTTACTGTGGTATATTAAAAAAATATCTATTTTGATAGGTTCGTCCTGTTTATAAGGGCATGCAGCCAGCATTCACTAATGCCTTTTTCATGCAGTAATTCCAAGTAATCATTAATTCATTATGCAGTTTGTGTTGCACTACTTTCATCACAATTAGCATTTTGATCGAATGTTATAAAGATAGTGTTGACAGTAACCTGTTAAAATGTGTCGGCATCGCATAAACGCGAGCACTTATTCAGCACTACAACCTTCAGAGTGTTAAAATATTGGCAAAAAATCAACGAAGCGTCATGCCTTGGGTGTCTTAAGTCAGACAGTCCTGTTTAATCAGCACGGGTGGTGTTTGTGTGGCTCCTGTGCTGTTACCGTGCACAAAAATAACGATCGTTAGCAAATGTTGTTAAATATACTGAAGCTTTTGAAGAGAAAAGGGTGAGCGAGAGAGAGAGGGGAGGGGAAAAAAGAGATCCGCATTTCAGAGATTCCGATTTATGGTGGTGGTAAATTTTAAAAGTGAATGTTACTCTAAAAAAAATTACAATATGTGAGTAGTCGTCTATCAATCTTGCAAATCCATAAAACGCGAGGTCACAAATAAGCCCACATCTATCGAATCACTGGTCCAGAGAAAATTGAGTTCACTCCAGGTCCTTGTCTCCATCGACTCTCCCTCCCACACCGCCGCGGGGAGGGCCGGGGAGAGTGCTGCTGGGGACAGTCGAGGGCAGAAAATGCTGACGCTCATACAGTCAACGATTTGCGGTCAGATAGTAAAGTGTTACAAATGAGGTCAAGTGAATGGCTCCGTGCAGCACAAGCCAAGAGAGAAGCTTCGTTCGGTTACTTAGTTTGATGATTGGAGAATAGTAGTGCCCTCATTAAAAAAAAAATCTAGATTGAAAAATAATTTCTTTAGAACTGCTTTTTGTGTTTAGTTTGTCCTTCCCCCGCACCTCCGATTAGCACGGTTGACTATGTACGGTTCAAAAGAAGTTATCCATACATTTATAAGTGGTCGGGGAAAAGATGGTGGTCTCCATCTCTCTCCAGGAACGCCTCATTGAGTCTCAAGATGTTTTTTTTAGGAGAGTCTAGGATTGGGATGTTTGGCCATTTCATCCGTGAGTGCTAGACATGTGTGGGAGAACTTGAGTACTCAGAATAAGCTTACCACACACAGTTGGATACATACAGTGCGAAAGAAGTTCAGCATACATGCATAAATATTATTGAGTAACACTCAAAGCTTCACACAGATTTATTGGCCACTTCGCAGCTTAACCTTACAAAACCTGGTGTCCCCTCCAAAGTACTTAACCAGGCTGAACTCTGCTTCACTTCCCATATCTGGTCATGGGGCACATTCATTGTGAATTGGTCATAACCCAAGGATTATTATCCTGTTGTTGCTACTTGATGATGGCGATTATTAGAGATGGGAAAAAATTATTTATGCCCCACGTGACACTCAATGTGACACATGCATTACTCGTATACCTCAATTCCCACAGTTTAATGTCTACTTGGAGTCAATTAACATGAGCAATTGTCCTAGCTCTAGTTATGATAAATGCATTCCGGTTCACAGTTTCATAATTATTGGCAGTCAGTGCCTTTCTAGCAACGTATATTGAGTCCCTATGGCGTTGCACCAGCTACTGAGAGAAGAGTGTAACTGTGCGTCTTAGAGCCTCTCTCTGTCACCAGAGTACGTATGGCACACGTGACAGTCTAGGTGAGCCCAAGAGGACACGTGACCTGCATAGGATAAGGGCGGGGGCCAGAAGGGGACCAAAGGGATACGTGATACTGGTAGTAACCACCTGGTGACACCAGCCCACAGGGGATTATTCTGTCCGTCCGTCGTGCATCCAAAAATGGGAAGGGTGGGGCAGGGTGGAGAGGGGAGGGTGGGGAGGGGCTGGGTGGGGAGGGAGGGGCTGGGTGGAGAGGGGCTGGGTGGGGAGGGGGTGGGGAGGGGCTGGGTGGGGAGGGTGGGGCTGGGTGGGGAGGGGCTGGTCACCCCGTGGTGCCCTTATAAAACTCAACGTTTAACCTACTCAAGCCGGCTTGTGCCCGCCCTCACAGTCGGGCATATTTGCGGAATACACCACGCCGCCGTTGACCCTGGCCATTGACCGAGCAACCCAACGTTACTACCAGCTCCCTCCGCAGCAGGAATGTGTTATAAGGACCCAGAACCTTCTGGGAAGATCCCGAAGGGGGCGTGGCCGAGGCCGGAGCGAGGCCACGCTCAGGAGGATAAAGGGTCTGTCCCGGGAGCGTTCTTGGCTGTCTTCTGGAATCAAACGGCCGTGCTACGCTCATCGGGCTCGGTCGTCACATTCAACATCATGGGTCAGGCAGTACTTCACTGACCTGACCCGTTTATATAGTGACCTTGTTGAGGTCTAGCTCCGTGGTAGTTACCACGTAGTTGTCCCGAGTGTTACGTAGTTTATGTAGTTTACCCTGTTGGGGTGTGTAATAAACGTGTGGCCTCCAAGTACAAGTGTCTGCCTCCGTGGAAACCCACTACACCATTATTAAGCCGATCTCTTTTGCAATGCGATAATTGGCACAATTACAGAGGAAATGGAACACCCAACCGACAATTATAGGCACCAGGATGGTGTAGTGATAGTACTTGTGCCTCACCGCAAGAAGTGTGTGTCTAATTCCTGACTCAGGTGCCTTCCGATGTGGAGTTTATCTTGTCCACCTGTGTTCTCCATGAGTTTCTCCAGTTTCCTCCCATAGCTTTAACCAAAAAAATGCCACACAATGAAACCGGTATTGGCCAAACTTCCCAATGCTGAAAATGTACCTGCAAGTTGTATCCCTTACTCAAAACTTGGCAGGAGCCTTCTGAAAATAGAGGTTTAATACTCAATGAGACTTTGCTGATGATTACTTCGGGTGTAATAACCACAATACAACGTTCTGTCTGCTTCAAAGTGGACGTTAAAGATCCCCTGATGTCCTTCACAAGAGTGCCATCGTGTGCCAGCGTCGATGATCAATATTTGCTATTAAAACACATTCCTGCGGAGGGAGCTGGTAGGAACGTTGGGTTTGCTCGGTCAATGACCAGGGTCAATGGCGGCGTGGTGTATTCCGCAAATATGCCCGACTGTGAGGGCGGGCACAAGCCGGCTTGAGTAGGTTAAACGTTGAGTTTTATAAGGGCACCACGGGGTGACCAGCCCCTCCCCACCCAGCCCCTCCCCACCCACCCCTCCCCACCCAGCCCCTCCCCACCCAGCCCCTCCCTCCCCCCTCCCTGCACGATGGACACAATAATCCCCTGTGGGCTGGTGTAACCAGGAGGTTCCTACCAGTAAAAACATTTCGTGCAAATATTCAATTGGGATTATTCAGAGCATTCATCTCACCCCCCACTGGCAGACCAATGCCCCAAGTGACTTTTGCAAATGAGACTATCCTGGTCTCTTGAGTTCTCACCTGGTTACACAAAATATACTTTCCTGACTAAGCAAGCATAATAAAATCAAACATTAATTTGCAAAAAAAATTTTTTAACGTTCCATTGCAAAACTGGAGTCCGGAGGCTGAACCCGTACGATGTTCCACGAGCCGTATTCTGTTGCCTTTGCAGGAGACGATCCATTGGAGGACGAACAGAGCAGTCGCGACATCAACTCCGTTGCCGGGGTGCTCAAGCTCTACTTCCGCGGCATGAAGACGCCGCTTTTCCCGAAGGAGAAGTTCCACGACCTCATCTCCTGCGTCCGTACGTGACCCTGGCAATTAACGCACCCACGCGATGAACCACCCATGACTCGGCCACGTAGTGACTCGTCCACACGGAGTTAATTGCACGAATCGCACACGCCCGTCGCCCTACTCTTGCGAGTCGCCCGCACAGTGAGTCAACCGCCTCTGCGAGTCGCATTAATCACCGTCAACCCGTCAAACCGGACAGCAAGTCACCCGCACAGAAAATCGCCAAACCTGCAAGTTGGCTGCACACAAGGCCCACAAGTTTTTCTAGTATCTTTAAAAATATGATTTTGTATCTGTCTAAAGAGTAGCAGTGGCCTTGAATTATTTTGGGTGGAATTTGTTTTGTTTTTAGCAGGAGACCGTAATGAGCATGGACGTCTCATGCAATCTCATAACATCACTCCAATCGGTCAATCTGCTTCCCGCAGACGCCACCAGAAAGTCAATAACTCTCACACGAAGCCATTAACACAGCAAGGTTAAAGTAAGGTTGTGATAGTGGTAATATGTGCAACGGAACGATAAATGGCAAATGACACAAAGGACAAGAGGTTTTATGAGCCTGAGCTGGCATATCTATATTACCTAGCACAAGGACTGACATCTGAATGATGTAAATTTGAAGTTTTCGTGACTGCAGGGATCCATAAATAAATTATTTTATTTTAAAATCAATTATTTTATTTTATACCTACGTGACTTTACCAAAAGAACCAAAGAGTATTTGAATGATGGTTATTTTTGGTTTTTAAACACTCACCTGCTTTTAACACTGATTATTATTATTGGGATAAATCTGTAGTTTTGTACATTACATCAATCATAAAGAAGCAACACCGGGTTTTTTCGATTTTATTTTAGCTGTGTGTATATGTGTACAGGCATTTTTGTCAATCCACTGCTGGATGAGGGCCTGTCTGTATTTTGCGGGGTTGTGTAGGTTATATGACCATACTTGGCCACAATTACCGATGCAGGTTAGTGAAGGCAGTCAGATATAGACATGGGAGTGTCGAAATACATTACAATTATGGATCTTTCTGTACTGCCCTCTGCTGCCCACAACGTAGCTTCGCGGCATATAACATGTACTGTGGTCGCCTTTCCAAGCTCTAGCCAGGCTGAAGCCAGCTTAGCTTGTGGGATATGATGAGAGCCGGTGCATTCTGGATTATTTGATTGGGGGAATTGGTGAACGATGCAGCGTGGAGAACAATTGTGCACACCCCTAACCCAGCAACCGGGAGGCAGCGTTGGTGAATGGCGATTAGGTTATGTGTGCGAGGTAGGCACCTGCAGGGCAGTGAGGTGCCTGTAAGAGACGTGACATCAAGTTAGTTTGCTGCATCATATATGACAAGATTGAGTGTTGTCCCAATCTGTGGACGTGTTTTCTCTTCAGGCAATTTAGATTAAATGCTCAAAGCAGAACTGGCCAAATATTCCTATCAGGACCCTCCTGAAATTTGCCTTGAGAGTCGGTGATGAACAATTTATAACTGTTATTTGGGATAAAATTAAATTGCTGGGCTGGTGTTGCAAATGGGCCCTGTGGAGTTGAAGGGAACCCCCCCTTATCTCAGCGTCATTCTGTCCCTGTTGGCAATTCCTCACCCAAATCCACCCTGCACATATCGTCGCCAACTTATCATACAGCCCTGTGTCGCTCTCGATTGATGGTCCTCCATTGTAAAGTTTATTAATTCTATTGCCGGGGGCAAATTAATTGGCCCTTAAGCGATGCTGACTGGCTTATGCAAAAGAGCGATGTAATTTTAACCATTGTAAGCTGGCTTCTAATAGCAATGGTAATGCAGTGTGACATCCTTTTGGCAAGCACTGCCAGTTTGTTTTAATTCTCAAATCTGTTTACAGGATCGTTTGTTCTCTTATATCCTAACATTGCATACAACAACATTAACTTGGAACACATAGTGAAACCTCCTCTGGTTTGTGTTATTTCCTTTAAATAATGCATCAGTTTATCAGTTTTATTTAATTGTTTACCGTAGTTTTTGTTATGGGATAATGATAGATGACCTTTTTTGTGACCAATTAAGGGCCAATTGACAGCAGATGTCTCTTTTTTTATGGAGACCTGCATTTAAATGGGTGTAGAAAACAACAAACTCATTCCAGTGTGTAACAAGTAACCTGCAACGTTTTTCCATTGCATTTTATGATACATATCACTTGGTAACTTAACATAATTATGCAAACCAGAAGACATTCTCGAAACACTTGGCGTGTGTGGAAGTGGCTTGACTTCCCACAGTTACCCAATGATGTTCATAGCTTACTTTGGAAGTCTCATAGGCAGATACATTGTTCAAGGTCACTCTGAATCAGTGGCATCAGGTAAATTTAAATACCAGTTTGTGTGGCATGTGTGTCAGTTATTTGTCATTTTGCTTCTGTCCCCATTTTCTGCAACTGCCTTCTCCTGTCCCCAACATCGCTACGTACGGCGCGAAAGAAGTTGAACATACCCCTGTTTTCTCTCTACAATGAAAATGCCCAACCGTTTTTGGACAGCGTGTTGAGACGCGGCGGTATGCAACCGCTGTATAAATCAGCATTGTACTTGTGATGCAGCGCTCATTCCGTCAAGCTGCACGTTTCGCAGTGTCATTTGACGATTGCGTTGCCGCCTTTGCCGACTGCAGAAATCGAAAGCTCGTCGGAGCGAGCTGCCGGGATCCGCAAAGTCATTCAGACCCTGCCGCCTCCCGTCGTCGTGGTCATGAGATACCTATTCGCATTTCTCAACCAGTGAGTAGAGCAGCTCTGCGACTGCACGCACAACAACAACAACAACAACCGCCATTCGCCACGAAATGGCGGTGATGTCATCACGGCGCTTGTGCCAGGCTCTGCGCAACTTTAAGGCCACGTCAAGTGTCGAACGCCCGCTGGCAGGAGGTCCTGGGACAGACCCCCAGGTGCCATGGGTTGACTGGGATGACTGGCCGATGCACCCACCTGTGCCACCAACTGTGCCAGCTTACTGTGTTTTAGCCACCCGGCGCTCCGCTCGTTGTTGTGCACACACACACACACACACACCTGCCTGTTTTTTTCTATTTTCCCAGTAATTTTTTCCAAAGTTGCATTTTATTTGTAATATCGGCATCGCGTCTGACAAGAAATTTCCATTCGGAGCTGTAAGTCTCACAGCTGGAATTATCCACGTGAAATGAAAAGCTAAGAGAGCCAAATTTAATGTGGAGGACCTTCGTGTAGTCATTGGTAATTGGGCTAAGACCATCAGCTCGCTACACTTGAGAACGTGATTAAATGACGTGTTTCTGCCAGGATTCGATCCCAGATTCCCAGTGAATTCCTGAGCCATCCGGCCCATTCTTCACTCTGTTGAGAAAGCAATGAAATCGCGTGGAGATTGTGTGCGAGGTAGTCGCCTCGAGGACGGTGAGGTTGTGGTGCCTCTAGGCGACATCATATCAAGTAGGTTTGTCACTTATCTGTGCAGACCTTTTAAGAGTTATCTCCATATCTTAATATGTTCTTTTATCCAGGTGTAGTGACAGACTGGAGAGACACTATATTAGGAGGCACTCAGTTTATTGATAGCCTTTGCCGGCGCTGAGAATACTTACAGTAAGGTCAGGACAGCAACGGCTGCCTGACCCACAACGCTGAGGCTAGAGTAAGACGATCTTGCTGATGACGAAGACTTGACGGGACTTGACGGGACTTGACGGGCTCCAGGGGTCCACTCCAACCACGGCCCCGAGTCCTCCCCGGGGGGTCCCCCTTATATCCCCCAGCGCAGCCTCGCACCCCCTTGGCTCCTCCGCCCCCCTTCTAGAAACCCCTAGAAGGTTCACGGGCTTCTCCCGTACCCCCTCCGTCCCCTTCTCCCCACATCCCTTCCTCCCGTCTACGCCCTCACCTCTGGCGGACAGGGTTGGCATGGCAGCCGAGCTCCTTTTTGCCAGCAGCCAGCGCTGCATGCCGTAGTGACTTATTCCATATCACTAAATTGGTACTCTGGTTTCCTCCCTAACCTGTGGTGAATTAATAATTTTAGCTGTGGGGTATGATCGACTGTAATGGCTCAAAAGTATGCACCTGTCTCCAAATATAAGCAATACACTTATTCTGTGTAACAGATATCGTTGCACAGCATGTGAGCAATGCAACAGAGTAACATTATAAGCTTGGCCCACTGTGTAAATTCAGCATAACATCCTCACAAGCAACCGCGCACGCACAGCTGTGCGTTATTTGAATTGAACGAGTCAGCGATGTGCATGATGCAAACCTTGTAGGCCTTTTAATGGAATCGCTAAATCCCCTCCACTTTTATTTCCCCCACCCGCACTGCGGTCCACAGCCTCTCCCACTACAGCGACGAGAACATGATGGATCCCTACAACCTGGCCGTGTGCTTTGGCCCCACGCTCATGCAAGCGCCCGACGACCAAGACTTGGTGTCGTCTCAGACGCACGTCAACGAGGTCATGAAGAGCGTCATCCAGCAGCACGAGTTCATCTTCCCCGGGCAGCGCGACCTCCCGGGTCCCATCTACGAGAAGTGCATGACGGGCGAAGATTACTGGTGGGTGAGCTGGCAATGTGCGACGCCTCTTGGCTGGGGCTTTTTTAGTTGTATGTATATTATACATTATATGTCAATTGTATTTGAAATGTACAACGTGAAATATTGGGGGGGGGGGGGGGGACACTTTAACATGAGAAAATTGGCTGTTGCAAATAGCGTTCAGTTTGCCGGAACGGGGTAAGAAAACCTACGGCTGAATTTGTGTGCCGCTGCCCAATGCCGCCTGCCCACGTACTGCGGTGGCCTAAATAGTAAAGCTGCCAAATTTCTGGGAGGCTTAACCAGACACGAGGCGAGCTGGCATCCCCTCCATCTGTGTGAGCCCTGCCTCCTGCTACAAAGCGAGGCTCACGGCTCACTCAATCACTCGCCCAGCGTACACAGAGTGGCCTCGCTCTTTCTGACGCTGGACGCACCTGCTGCGTCTACCCCACCTACTCCACCGCGCAGGAAAGCCCCCCACTCCCAGCTCACATCATGAATCGAGCTAAAGACCACAACATTTTAAATTGGAACAAAATCCTGTTATTTGCAGTTGCTTTGTAACACCATACCAGGGTGCTTGCTAGCTCTACCTATGTGTATAACGGTTGTCCTTGTGTGCATGTGCCAGTGATGGGCTGCCCTGTGGCTCCACGCTGCCGGAGGAGGTGGACGTTGACACTGGCACAGAGCCTCGCTCCAGCGATGATGGTAAAAACTTCTCACGTGGGGACACTTAGCTCGGCAAAAAAAAAAACCACGCCGCTTCATTCCTCAAGCGTACCTTTTTACTAAAATTGGACTCTTGAGGATTTGTTTTTCTTTCCTGCATGAAAAAAATTGTGGCGATGAAAGGAGTCTCACATAAAATATATAAATTAAATATAAATGATTGGTGCCAAAATCAAACGAGGCGCTTGTGACGGTAAGCTTTGGGGTTATAAATCTGCACTGTTGTGCGTTGTAGATTTATAACCCTCAAGAACACGCACAAACTGGTATTAAAAACGAGGCGTGTGTGCAGAACGCTCGCCTGCTTAACTTCGCACGGCATGCGCTCGCTCACGCAGACGCACGCACGCAACCTACCTTCCTGCGCGTGCGTGTGTGAGCCTCCTACATCTTTCACAGTCACCCGTTTATTGTCTCGCGCAAATTCTGTACTGCTGGTATTCAATTGGCTGTGGCACAGGGCAATTTTTGACACAACGTTGATTGCCCATAACTTTAGTCTTAATGTTCTACTTCCTCAACCCGTTTAATTTCGCTGCCTTTTCCCCAGTGTCTGGAGGCAATTCACATTCCTGGCCGTCTCCGGGTGTGTGTTGTGACTGCCCTCGGCTCTATTGCTGCATGAGCCTGTCCGCCTGGCTTCTGGGAATGTGCCGGGAGGCCAATAAACGACGCTGTTGTTAATTGTTTTATTTCTGGAATGCCAAAACATACGTGATTGAAAAACAGCTGAATAGGGCATTGTAATAATTAAATTATGTCGGTGGCAGCATATGGAACTTATTAATTACACTGAATTTTAAGCTGGCTGCATTGAATGTCGCATATACATGCGAGTGTTTTGCTCATGGGGATTATGTTGTAATACATTTTACACGTGGTTATATATGGATGGAGCGGTGGCTTATTGCTTTGCGCGCACTGCACTTTGAACCTGACTTCCAAAGTTCGATTTCCTGCAAATCAGTGGCGAGTGATTGCTGAACACGTCCTGCCCACTACCCCCACTTTTCATGTTTGGATAGTCCACACATAGGGCAACCGCTGCTGATTGCCCACGTAACGGTAGTTCTATAGATATAAAAGGGAAATTTGTGAATGTCTGTCTGTTCGAAATGTTTAGCATACTTCCCAACATGCAACAAACTTTAAATTTGGCATGTGGGTAGTTTCCAGATTGTACACAATGCAAAACGTTTTAAAATAGACTTTAGTATTTTGGGGGGAGGGGGGGGGTGCAATAATGCATATATTTTGCACGACAAGTGAGCGGTGACATCTGTCATGTCACCCGCATGCGGCAGCGTTACGCAGTGTGCATGCTGGCGTCACGCATCCCCCCCAAGCCCACCCTCCGCTTAGGCCGTGTATCCCGCACAAATGCGCGGCTGGGGGGGGGGGGGGGAGAATATTGAATATAATATATTGCACAAGTGAGCGGTTTTATACTGTACACAGTTTTAAAAGTAGAGTCAGCAGATACTACTATGGAGTTAGTAGTTACTACTATAGTCAGTAGATACTACGATTGAGTCAATAGATACCACTATAGATTCAGTAGGTACTACTATAGTCATTAGATACTGATGCAGAGTCAGTAGTTATTACCGTAGAGACAGATACTACTATAGAGTCACTATATACTACTCACTCTATTGTTTGTAGGGTGTTTAGGTATATATGCCTACGCGGGGGTAAAAAAAAAATAGATGGTGGCGGGGCGGTCGACAATTTTCGGAAACCTTTTAGATCAACTATTTACACCCCAGTTTTTTTACTCATAATTTTGTTGACTGACAAATGGACAGACAAAACCGCACGCCGGGCTTTCACAATAGCTTAGTATTTGTGTATGTACATGTTATGTTTTTAAGTTTTGAAATATATTTCCCGCTAGTCAATGTATTAACCTCAGATATGAAAGGTTGGTGTCAACCCCCAACTGAGATTTGGACCAACAAACCGAACTTTTGTGTGAGCTGCACGCTCAAATTGCTGCTTGTAAATTGTGTGGTTGATTGAGGCAGAGAGCATCAATGTAGGACTCGTAAAAGTGCAGTACAGTCATGGATGTTGCTGTACATACATCTTCTGCCCACAACCTCGCTATGCAAGCCCTGTGACTCTATATATGGTCATTTTGGTTACCCATCCAAGCACTCTCTACACCCAACCCAGCTTAGCTTCTGAGATCTAATGAGATCGGGCACGTTCTATGTGATTTCTTCACAGGCACTAACAAATAATAATGATTGATTACAAAAAACGAAATAAACTTCTGCACCTAAAGAACCACAGGGTCGTGGTTTTGCAGTCTTGTTGTGTAAACTGCGTCGTATGTACCGCACTGACCTCCCACTCTGCCCTCCTTGACCCCGCAGAGTCTGAGCCGATCGAGGCTATTGCCAAGTTTGACTATGTGGGGCGATCGGCGCGCGAGCTCAGCTTCAAGAAGGGCTCGTCGCTGCTCCTGTACCAGCGCGCGTCCGAAGACTGGTGGGAGGGGCGGCACAACGGCGTGGACGGCCTCATCCCACACCAGTACATCGTGGTGCAGGACACGTGAGTCGGATGCGCGCCGCACGCGCGCTGGCAAGACACGACCACGGTCAAAATCGCCCAACCATTCCTGCACGTTGCTCTAAAATCGATAAGATATTGCACTCGTGAACGAAAATCACGATTGTCAGCTGCTGTTGTTTTAACGCTGTGGTGGTCTCGTCCGTGTTGGCCACAGTGAAGACACGCTGTCCGACAGCTTGAGCCAGAAGGGAGACAGCGAGGCGAGCAGCGGCCCCCTCCTGGATGAGAAGACGTCCTCCAAGCACGACATTCACTCCCCCACCGAGCAGCTGCACGAGCCGCAGTTTGAACGGCGAGTGCTAAAGGACGTGGCACGACACTAGCACAGCATATACACAACTCATACCATACACTTACTCTCAGCACACACACATCTGTATAAAGACAAAGATCCCACCTATAGTTTTAACAAACTCTTGGGGAAATTGCTGTTAGAGAGCACCCATGAAGACCGGCGTGGCAGACGAGGGGGTGGGCGGGCAGCACGTCCGGCTGCTTTTGTCCCCCGAGTGGCGATGTTTACACATCGCACCAGGTACCCATTTGAGGCCGAGTCCACCTAGGGGAGGCCCAGGACCGGTTCAGGTAATCGTCATTGGTGTTGGCCGTGAGCGGGAAACGATCTCGGTTCGCTGGGCTCGTAGTGCAGTGTGCTAACCGCTACACTACCGCTCCCCACACACGTGCACAGTACACACTCAGTATGCACAACATCGATAAACAGCCACATACAACACACTCTCGGCACACACCACACAGGTCCGCACAAGACACAGGCACATACATCTGCACATCGTAATCACTATGTGCAACACAAATAAGCATGAACACCAAACACTCAACATACACCAGAACCCCAGCATCAGTTGCCTATTACCAGTAAGTACTTTTAATGTGGCTTCATGGTGCTGCTGTGATGTAATGGTTAGCACTTTTGTTTTGCAATCTAGAATTTGTGGGAGATCAAACAATGGTGCAATTATAATTGTTTTTTTACCCTTTTATCTGGCAACAAAACTGACACCTTTTTTACAAGGAGTCATGTTTGCATTGACCACAATACCTGCAGTCGTAATGCAAACAAAAACATAACTTTGATAATGTATGCACTGTCCTTGAAATTGATTGGTCCACACCCGAGACAGCTTTCCTTAGAGCCTAGTCTCACATGATGTTGGACCAGATGATGCCAAAAGGCGCACAACTCAAAGACAATGCACCATCAGAGTATGAGAGCTCGGGGTAAGCATTTACACCATTGGAACCTCATTTGCCAGTAGCAAAATGATAAATTGTTTTTTTACCCTTTTATCTGGCAACAAAGATAAAAGGGTAAAAAAATAATTATCATATTTTGCTACTGGCAAATGAGGTTCCTATGGTGGAATGGTGCAATTCTCTTAAATCCCTCCCACTTCTGTCCACCTGTCAGTATCTTATGTTATCTAGAGTTGTATAGCACCTTGATCCAGCCGCTTTACAACAATTATAGAGATGGTACATTCAGTGAAAGGTGGCTTCACCACAGTCAATCGGCAGGTTGTATGTGGTGGGTTAAAATGTGGGTATTCCCCAAGTTTTCCAACATGTCTGGCCACTGTCTAAGAGTAGACCCAAATACCTTCCGAGAGCAGGCTCTCTAGGGCTGCCTCTAGTAGAGGCCCTTCTTCCAGCAGTGGCGCGGTCAAGAAATTACAGAGCTGCACCTTTACCTTCCGTATGCTGCTTTCTGCAGGCATCGGTTGCGCGCGGAGGGCGCGGCGCTGAACATGCGCGACCCGGCCCGGCGTAGCAGCGACGGCCGCAGCCCCGTGCGTGGCCCGCCCCCTCCGTCCGCGGACGCCACCCCGTCACGGCCGCCCTCCTCCGCGGCGAGCCCTCACCACCACCCCTCGCACCTGCCCCACCACCAGCACCACCTGCAGCAGCCGAGGGTGGGCAGCGTGCGGGCGGCCGTGGCGGCGGCCACGCAGGCGCAAGGCAGCCCGGAGCGGAGGAGGTTGGGCAGCACGGGTAGCGGTGGTGGTGGCGGTGGCGGCGGCGGCAGTGGCGTTGTGGGTGGTGGATTCCCGCAGAGATTGGCCGCGCCGCCCGAAAGCCCCACGGGGAGAAGTTCAACGTCATCGAGTCGACACAGCAGCCTCGACGAGCCCAAGATCACTCACGCCGAGGTGAGACATGCTGGCAGCGTGCTGTGGCTCAGTCGGGCGATGGCTACGGTAGAAACTCAAAACACCTGCCCAGGTCCATTGCCCAGGTGACCAACACGTGCTGTTGACTGACCCGTCCTGATTATTTGACCAGTTTGGGTACCAGTTATACATTGGGGGAATTGAGCGAAACGCTAGGAAATGTAACGCAGTGTGTTTAGTGTATTATTTCTGACCTTTATAAATTGTCAGCATTATTAAACTTGCAACTATAATTTCCTACATTTACTAATTTATTCAGCTATTTATTGAATTTGCTTTCCAAAACTTAATAAGCCAATATCACTCAATCCTGAGTTTACCTGGTGAAAGTCAGTTCTTAAGTAGAACTTGATGTGACGTGGATTCAGCTTCAGTCATTGGTGGCACAGCGTTATCGGGTGTTAACCGCACCCCCCACAATGTTTGCTTTCCGTTTCCTGTGCCGCAGGAGATGGACGACTCTGTGAACTCGGCGCTCAGCGACCTCCGTGAGCTGCAGAGGCAGAGCTCGGCACGGCACACGCCAGATGTGGTACTGGACACGTTGGATACTCTGAAACCACCGCCAGGCCCCGCGGCACCCATCCCTGGCAGCCCCTCGCACCGCCTCGGCGTTCCCGCAGCCCCGCCGGGGCCATCCGTACGCCGCAGCGCGAGCAGCGCCAGCGAGATCATGACCACCTTCCGCCCGCTCCTGGAAGCAAAACTGAGCTCGCAGTTGAAGTCTCAACAGCAGCAACAGCAGCAGCAGCTGGGAGCAAGGCCGAGGCAGGGAGGCGGGGCTGCAGGGCAGCCAAGGCCAGCGGCGCCTGGCACGCCCGACAAGTCGTGCACTATGTGAGGCGCGCCGATTGTCTCATGCGCGCCTCTAATCGGTGCATTGGTACGTGCAGCCACCGCCGGCGGATAGCCATGGAGTTGTCGGTGCATCATGTACTATTGTAACAACGTGCCGTGTTGTTGATATAGGTGCCGCTCACCACCGGTGAAAAGCACATTGTTCCTTCCTGTACGGCTTCACTTGATGCGTCCTCTGTTTCCTGTCATTGTCACCGCCTCCTCCTGCCTTTTCCGTAGTCGTAAATCCCAGTGTATTCCTTTCAGTCAGTCCTTAAAAACCGCACCCATGGGACCATATTATACTAAATCAAGGTGAACTAAAATATCACGAATATTCTCTTCAGTTTTGAGTGAAATATCCCACTGGAACATAAAATTACAATCCACCAATTTGGATGTACATTTGAGGATTAAATGAGCACAATATTATTAATGCATAACATTGCCAAAATACCCGTACTACATGGTTGCATCTGGTTGCCAATTCTGCTAAAGGGTCTGCATTGAGCCACACGTTGTCACATGTGGATTGCGCACGTATGGACCCCGCTTCAGCTTGCAATCTCGCTCCACATAATGTGGCCCTAATAGGTCACACATTGATAAGACTCGCGAAAAAAGCCGAATACACATTGTGAGCTGTTTGCCAGAGTCCAAGTTTTTGTTTTGCAAGATCCTTAGTGAAGTTGTGGCTTTCGTTTAATAGCTTTGCAAAATCACACGGGAACTTCGTGTTCTCTTGCGATAGGAAACGAAAAGTTGTTAAGCACTTGATGGATATGACCCTTGTCGTCCACAGAGAGATAGGGTTGCTCTTTAAAGCTTTGTCTACCTTTTCACACTTGTGCTTGTTGGTTTTCCGTCTACCTGGCTTGTATGTGGAGCTTAAAATACTCGTAATGCAGTATTTCTTAGACATTTTAAATGTTTACAGAACGGAATATTTACCTATAAAAGACATTGCATTGTTTGCTAGAATTATCCTATCGTCACTTATGAAAAACGTTATTGTGACCATCATAGATGTATTTAAATGTTCATTCTCTTAATGTTTATGTATAGCAGTAAATAGTATCAAACACCTGACTTAAGAATAAACAATATTATCCAGGTGAAGGCTTCTCCACTTAACATACCATCTTAAAAATATCTTAAAGAAAACCATTCACATCCTGCACGTTTACATTTCGAGAATCGAGACAAATGTACCGACAATATTTTTGTGGAAAAATTAAATGCACTTAATAATCCACTCCGTTTAAACCTGCCTTGTGCGACAGTACTCTTGTTCGATTATAACCAATTTTTTGTATTTAATTAACATTTAATAAACACATTTCGTGGTAGAAATAAGCATTGTCAATTATTAAGGTGATTGGGTTGGGGGGGTGGGGTAAATACCAGTTATTTTATTATTTAAAGACATTTTCATTACGGAGGTTGCCACATCAAAAAATAATTTTCGTTATAATAATTTTTTTATTTAGCCAGTACATTCTCAAGACTTGGATTTCAGAAGGTCCTTGCTTTGGCACGTTTGACCAAGTTAAAGATTGACGTGGTTGTTCGTCTGCATATGGCCAAGCGTGCCGTCGGAAGGTGGGGGGGGGCGGACCTGCAGCTGGACTGCAATATTGAGAGCTGTAACCACGAGCAATTCCAGTTGGGCGAGTGGCTCGGCTTGCAATTGCATCGGTTGACCACGGAAAAACACCACTAGGCTCACTGATACGTCACAGTCATGCAGAAACATCACAGCCTGAGCCTGTCTGTTGAAGTTAATGGCGTTTGTACTGTATAGTGTATCGCACACTTTGTTGAAACGTTGTTTAAACTGAGCGATGACCAGTTTTAGTACCATTAGGACACAGCGGTTGTGTTCAGCCACAGAAATGCTATTTTGTTTTGAATATAATTTGTTAATTTTTTTCTTGCATGTTTGTATTGTTTATCAGAATATGGAGGGTGCGAACTCTGTACGTTTGTATTGAATCGTTAATTTCAAACTTTCTGTAAGTTACAAATGTGCTTTTGTGCGAGAGCATTTGGAAAGCCGACACATTGCCAATTTGTTTCGTTACCCTATGCTATTATTGACTACTGGCCTCTATCAAACGCTGTAAGATTCAATCGCACGTGCCTACACCTTACACTTTATGCAGCGAGGCTATGGAATTATAGCGTGATGGTGTACATTTTCAAATCGTACTATCGTACCGCACTGCCTGTTCTAACGTTGACATTAAATGATGGATAGGTTAAACTACTGATTGTTTACTGCAGTATCAAGTCCAGTGCTATCTCCACCGTAAAACCCAACTTGTTGACTTTAAAACCCTCACTATTTACGTAGTTAATGCTAGTACTTTCTACCAAAGCTCCACGTAATAAATTATCGTCATCTATATTTGTGGGGGAGGGGTTTGGCGAGTGCGTTTCACCTGCTTCTCCATCATTTTGACGTACAAAACAATGGACACACGGCGTGCCCGCAAATGCGGTTGTGCGTGTTGAAGTCTTAAAGAGTATCATCATTACTGGAGCTCAAGTTTCAAGCCATTCCCACCGCAATGCGTGTCGCCAACAGAGTGCGGGAGCCGTAGTCAGCGAAAGCACCAGGGCATTGCCCCCGTGGGTCCGTTGCTCGCTGGGACAAGCGGTGAGCCACAGATGTTTCATCGTATGCACAGAGATGTAAAATTAATTTTCGCGACAGGGGGTGGAGTGTGGGGGGGGGGTATTTATGAACCTCTGCGGCGGAAGTTTCTCTTCCGACACCACTCGCCTTTGAGCACTGAGACTGTCGATGCTAAATGTTGGCACAATGGGACCAGAAATAATCGATTGTTCGTGCCAAGAGGAACAAGAAAAACAGAGGGACCATAGAAATGTACACCGGTTTTGCTTACCTTTTGTAAGGCAAATGATTCGAAGATTCTTAAGAATGTCGAATGTTAAATAATTCTAAATGTACAATATATCGTAACTGAAGCAATTTAATGGAGGTGTACCCATAGATATTCCGTTTGCATCACGATGTATTAAGTGCATATACTTCGGGCATTTGGTGTTACTATTGTATCAATGTAGCCAACAGTTTCGGTGCAACACGATCCTACTGTAGGAATTCTTGGTTAAATATTAAGCCCTCGCCTTGTCTGCAGGTGTTGTTCGCTGTGGGGAGGGGCCTGCAATGTGGCTGTGTGTATGGTACCTGCGTGAACTAGACTTGGTCAAGTGGAAGCCCACGTGTTTTTTGCAATTGAAATATCATTACCGATGTCTCGGGCTTAAGCAGAGGGGGGCATTGAAAAAAAACATGCATTTCAGGGTGTAAAAACGTTTGCATCCAAGCTTGCATACAAAATGATTGTCCCGCATTGCCAGTGTGTACAGACATTATGGCATGTTAAATGTACCATTTCCACAGGCAGCCGATTTCATTGTAGGATTTTAGTCATGTATGCCTCTACCATGCCCTTTCCACTTTCACGGCTGAAAATGCACCCCCCCCCACCCGAAATACCTGTTGTGGTGCTCGAGTGTGTGAAGAGTTGAACATGATCAACATCTGTAGCTGGAACATACGCCAACGTCTGACAAAGGGCACTGTTTTGTAAACCAATATGATATACCCAAACACCCCACGATTCTTAGCCATGCGCTTTGTAAAAGCGTATGTGGTTGAATATAAGGTATAAGCTGTATATATGTTTAGTTACACTTGGTTTACCTTTGGCTACGGTGAAAAGGCATGACTTCAGATGGTTTCTGTAAAGTATTATTTTCTTTGTTGGTCATCAAGAGTACGTGCAGTGCTTAAGATGTCACAAATCTGTGTTGAGTGTTACGTTCTAATGATTTTTTGCAGCTAGCCATTTAACCTGGGGGTTTTTTTGTTCTGTTTTCTTTATTCATGGAGATGTTTGTTCATTATTAATGATAGCAGTCAATCACAGTAGCAGAAATGTCCTTTCCATTGTTAATAATGGATGCTGTGTTGGTGTTGCAAGTGCTGTGGTTGCGGTTTGGTAAATCGAGACGGGTGACGATTAGCAGAGTGACCAGCATTCCCTAATTAGACGTGCGACATAGCAAGCCAAATTGGCTTGCTATGTGTAATTATTTCTGCATGGGTGGGTTAGAAACTGTGTTTATGCACTGTCTGATACATACACTGAGTGCAAACATCACCAACACAAACCTTTGCATCGTATGGCAACAGTGTAAATAAAATAATGCAATACTACTTCCTTTGTTTTGAATTTGCATTTCGTATGAAGCGAGTTGGATGCTGCTGTGGGTGTAATCGACAGCACACTGGAATTGATCCTGAGATTTATGGTTTAATCTACCCGGCATGGCAAGTTGAAACGATGGGTAAGGTTTGTAATCACCCACGCCCCGCTCCGTCCACCCAGGCGTACACTGGTCACGGCCACTTGATCGGTAGGTTGTGCGTGGTGGGATAAAGTGTGGGTGCTCTTAGCTTCCAAGATGCCTGGCCAGCATGGCAAAGTAGGCCAAAACACCCTCTGGAGGGGTGCTCGTGCAGAGGCCATCTCTGCGAGCAATACATTGCAGGGCATCACCCTTTACCTGTAATTAATGCAGTTAATACATATCGGGGTCAAACTTGGAATATTTGTATTTCAGCATACAATTCTAAGTGTGCAACAATGCAATGAGAAAACTCTTTTACAAGACCACCCATCGTCCTTCAGTGCCTACAAGAGTGGGCAGGGCTCAACCAAACTCACTTTTTATCTGCAGTGCAGAGCCTGGCTTGAGCCAAAAAAAATTTCTAATTGTGAGCTTCCTTTCTTCATCTTCACAATGGGATGGGCCTGCCCTTATGCAAAGCACTTGATCTCATAAAAATGTGGTGCCTCAAGCCTTGGGAAGTTCACAATATTCCTCGTCGTACCCATAATATTATGGGTCTTGCCCCCAGACATTTAACTGACCAGAAGAGAATGGCTCAAGCATCAGCCTGCTCCGAAATGGAGAGCAGGGTCCTGACCCCCTGTCGCAACTCCCCCCCCCCCCCAAGCACCAGCCACGAGATGGCTGTCTGGGTAACATCGCACACCTTAATCTGGCACTGAAGCGTCGATAAAATGCTTGGCTGCTACAGACGTAGCCTTCAGCAGGATGGTACTTTCTGCTGTTTTCCCAAATATCTGGCAACCTGCTGGTTGCTACCAGGCCATAAAATAATGTAATTCTTCCGCAAAAAAAGATTTTTGTACGACCTTGGCAGCACCCACAGATACTTACCACCTCTCCATCTCAACAGCATGAAAATGTGTGGGGAAGTTTCCTCTGCACACACCGATAGTCCAGCATGCTGGGCACCTAACCTTACAGTGGATAGGCTGGTTCTGCTCGACTACTGCTTGCTTTAAAGCATTCAGGTAGATACAAGGGAAGGTCTGTATATGTGTGTATAAGCATTGTTTGTCTTGCTACATTAGCTCAGTTGAACTGTCCACTGCAATAGGGATAGAAGGGAATGATTGGCCATCCTGAGCAAACTGGTTGAATATACTTGGCTTGGTTGAATATACTTGTTGGCAAAATCTGTAGGTACTACCAAATCCTAACAATCCATTGTTACGTAATATCTACATTATCCAAAATGGGTTGACCACGTACAATACTTGCGTGCACCTTAAAGGGAACTGCATAGACATGAATGAGAGTGCATTCTAGAGTGCAAGAAACGCCACCGATATTTTATTAAGCACCACTTTTTGCATGTAGCTTTTATATCTTTCTCACATACGTTTGAACGTCTGACGGTCTTTACAAATCCTGGGTTTGCTTTAATAGCCAACAATATTTGGGGCTGCTAAATCAAATTGCATCCGACGAAACACACAAGCACCTTGCATGCACGCACACTTTGCTATAGTTGGTTCGCCATGTGATTCCCCTTAAGGCTGGACAGCATGCTCTGCTTTCCTCGGAAGTAATCAAATCAGCTGGTCTGATTAGAATGGCACAAGGCATGGAGTTGCCAGATTGGTCCGAGCTCAAGACTGACATTGGCTCTTACTTTGGTTGTCTTATCTTGTCCTTCCGCGCACCTTCGATTAACACGGTTGGCTATGGTGCGAGAGAAGTTCAACGTACACCCAACAATAACTTTGCAGATCACCGCATGGAGACCATAAACCACATCAATTTACAGTTGTATGGCACTTTTCATTGCACGCTTCATCCCTCTGGCACATTCACATTGTTTTCGGCAAGTTTCTATTTGTGCAAGCTTCTTCAAGTGGGCACTACCAAGCTGTGACTTACTGTATAAGGGCACCCGTGCAAGTCCGGTTACTCAAACAACTCGCATGGCACTGACGTGGGGAGGTCTTCATCCAGTAGAGGTTAAACCATGGCTGAGAAGAAGGATAATGATGATATGAACCCTTACATGAACACAGTCTTCCAAGGGAGCTTCCCTTGAAGGCACCGACCACCCAGTCTTCACCCTGCTTGGCTATCAACGTTGGTCTCGGTCAAACAACTTAGGTCGGGGCAGGCCCACCTTTTCCAGTGCAAGGGCCACCTTTCCCCAAATCCACGGCCAGATCATCACTTTGAATCTGGCTCGGCCACTTAGATGAGTCTAGCTCTTGTCAAAGAGGGTTCAGTCAAAGCCGGCCTACACCTTCTACTGCAGCTTGAGGCTGGCGAGGTGGTCGGTCAGTCCTGACGCGGCTGTCTGGCTTGACCACCTGAATGTGAAATTGTAGGCGTTGCTCTGCATCGACATTGGCCATACGAAAGAAGAAGTGGAGCTCCGTTAAAAGGTCAGCGTCGGGGTGGGAGGTGGTGAGCGTGGGAGCTACCTCTCCTCCACGCCTGGACTACCTACGCCTTGGAGCCCGGCTTGAGGCTGGCGAAAGGCTTGCTCTGCTTGAGCGCGGCGGCGGTCTCAAGCAGGAACGCGTGTACGCCGGAGTCCTTCTCGCTCCGGCGGCTCTCGTAGACGACGGCGATGGTGAAGCGCGGCTCGGGACGTGCCAGGTAGTAGGTGCTCTGCGCCTTCTCGTCGTAGGCGTGCACCACGCGCTCCGCGCACGCCAGCTCGGAGGAGCGCTCGGCCAGCACCATGGACAGCGCCGACCAGTGCATGGCCGTGCGCTCGATGGGCAGCGACAGCACCGGCACGAAGCCCTCGGCCGGAACCTTGAGCCCCTCTGGGTACGACCCGGGGTAGTGGTAGCCGTGACCCTGCGCAGCACGTGGAGTCGGGCAGGTAAGGTGACGTAGCAAGTCTGAATGTTTACACACAGAGAAGCTTTGTCTTACAGGATTACTAGTTTTGGGATATTTGTACCATTTCATGCTTTTTTTATGCATGGGAGAATGTGCACCATGCACAACACTCATACGTTACATAGGTAAGTTTGGCAGATGCTTAAAACTACTAATGTACAGCTCTTTGCCATTCCATTACTGGATGAAGGTTTCTCACCCAAGTCGTGTTGGGAGTTAGTTGACCATACTTCACCAAGATGGATAATGGAGGTTGAAGAAAGGGCATAGGACAAGGTGTACTATCACTGACCACTTGTGTTCACTGTAGAAATCGAACTCGGGTTGCTAGGTTCAGAGCACAGAGCACTAAACACTGCACCAACACTCTACCCTAAGACAGCTATAAGCCTGTCTGAAAACTAACTTCATTCACAACAGTCCATTTGCCAGTACCAAGTACGACGCTATAGCCAATAGTTTTTTTCTTGCTGTGCTCCTCACATTTACAATACCTGATTCATACGCGACAGCTGATTTAGGTTGGGCAGAACAGCAAGGCCCCTGATACTGAGATAATTCGTAAAAAATGTCAGCCAGCGTGAACTCATAATCCTTCTTGGATAAAAAATGTAAATAAGGAGTCATCTGCTGAGCTCCAATTGGCGGTAACTAGGCAGTAGTTGTTCAATAGATGGGCTAGAAATTGGCGCTACTCCCACCACGAACTCAACGACACCTAGAGAGCTGAGAATTGTCGCCCCCTTTGACACAAATCATGGTCGTGAAACGACGATCGTGAAACCACAATCACCTTGAAGCTGTCCTCCAGGCCGCGCGTGTCAAAGATGAGAGACACGTTGGCAGCATCCGTCTTCTTGATGAAGCTCGACACTTTGCCAAAGAAGTCGGGGCTTGTTTTCGCCGTGAGCGACTTCATCTCGCCGCCCGCTTGCCGACTCAGCGCTTCGTGGAAGTAGAAGCTGAACTTGGCCAGCAGGAACGTCTTGTACTTCACCTGTGCGGCGGTGAAAAAAAAATATAGAACGTATACGCTGGCATGTTTTTTCCATGATCATTTCACCAAGTCTCAAGACGCTTATTTAACAAAAAGGGTCCCAAGGTGTGTTTTTGGCTTATCCGACTAATTATAAACCACTGGATAATTTATATGCATATGAGGAGCGGGCGTAACGCTTAAATGGGTTCACAAATTCACTTGATGCTCGTACCGTCTCCTCGAGACCTCGTCATCTAGCAGGTTTGTAAATTTAAAAACAAATCTGAGCCACCATCCCTCGACTCCAACTCCCTGGCCTGTGAGCATTCACCAGCACAACCAGATGTTGCCCACTTTAGTCTGGGTGGACTGGCACGGCAAGTGCTGTTTGCAAGTATTGACAGGATGACGAAACCTGCCCTTCTTGAAGGGTGGTTACTGGATCACACGAATATAATTGCTTTCTACTCCTAACATGCTGGGCAGCAAGTGGGTGTTTGCAGTAGGAAGCATAGCAGACATTTGTATGACATTTTTTTCATAATACCCAGACATGCATGATTTGTGAGCATTGACAGCACAAAGCACAAGGGATTGTGGCCAGTGGTCCAGACTACCGTAAGAGTGGAATCCAGAGGAGGGAACGTGCCCCAGAGAACTTCCACTGTGGAGATGCAGCGATAAAAATCGGCTCGCGTGCAGGTGCTCGATGTATTGGTATATCACGGGACTTTGAGATATGGTGGCATCTTGGGGAGACCTTCATCCAGAAACAAATTGATTACGGCTGAAAATAACGATGACGAAGGAAAATATCGAAATCTCCAAATGCAGCGAGGATTTCTAATTGAGTTTGTTGTCCTTCCCCCGCACCTCCACTTAGAACGGTTGGCTACGTACGGTGCGAAAGAAGTACAACATACATCAGAATCAGAATAATTATACTGGAGGAATCTAATAATTTACAAAGCTCTTTTTTACACATGTCCAGTGGGGGCATGTCAGAACGTCACAACAAATAATACGAAAACACGACGGGAGTGCAAATGATAGGCAAGGTAAACGAATCACTTAACAAATACATACGTACGTAACCAAGAACAACACACTCTTACGAGGCCACCCCCAGAGAACACGCACCATCCACTGGTGCAGGTGTGGCGTGGGAGCAACGCGCTGGGCAGCGCCGCCGAACAGCGGCTTGCGCTGCGGCGGCGCCGCGGCGCCATCGCGCGCTCGCTCCGAACCGCGGGACGCCCACGCCGCTAGCTTGGCGTGAGCCGCGTGCAGCTCCAGCAGCGCCGGCAGGAAGAGCCACGAGGAGACGTCGCGCTGGGCACGCAGCAGGTGACCCAGCGCCTCCGTCTCGTGCTGGAAGCTGCTGCTCAAGGCGCTGAGCACCGGGTGGTGAACCCTGAGCGCGCAGTCAACGGCCGATGGCAGTTAGGTCACTTTTGGGGAAACAAACAACTACGGGCGCCACTCGCCGCTGAGCGTCGGCGCCGCCTTAAACCTTTCCCGTTCCGATGATGTACGTGAACGTCATCGGAAACGTGTACGTCAACGGTACGTAACCGTAAAAAAATTATTTCATTTTGACTTTAAACTTTCGTGACTGCAGGAATTTATATTCTTTGGTTCTTTCGGTAAAAGAGAGAAAAATACTAATAATAAATAAAGTGAATAAAAATAAGAAACATAAAAAACAAAACAACACTCATGTAGACTGTAGCCTGGTTCTTAATCGGAGTGAGTGTACTGGCAGTCTATAATGTAGACTGTAGCCTGGTTTTAAGCTGGTGAGTGTACTGGCAGTCTATAATGTAGACTGTAGTATGGTTCTTAACCTGAGGGAGCATACTGGCAGTCTATAATGTAGACTTATTCTTGGTTCTTTCAGTAATTTAAATATAATTTTAAAAATGATATAAATAAAAAACAAAAACCACGACGATTCGATCGCAACACAAGCGGTCGTCACCAGGAAAAGGGATGAGTACAATGTCTATAAAAACAACAGCGCTACGCCTCTCTACATCAAAAATTCCGCTAACTGCTTGCGTGTTCCGAGATTGAGCGGTGAACGGTACACACCCTGCAACTTGCAGACGTCTCCGAACAGGAAAAGGTTTGGGCCAGCATGGCACACAACAAGGTAGTATGCCCAGGAGCAGCACTGGCTACCTGTGTCTCCGTAGCACTTGTATTCAACACGCATAATATAAACACAAACTATGCCTGAACATACCATAGGCTGTTCCTCTGACAATAACTAATTCACAACTTTTTAGCGATATCCTCAAAGAACATTACGATTCAAAAGTGTATGCTGTATGGTGATGTGACTTTTGCCCAACAGAGTATGTGCTCATGTCATAAAAACGTAATTTCCATTCTTTGAAATGGGAAGTATTTCTAGAATCCATACTTTCTTCTTTGGAACACTTTTCCGTCTAGATTTTTTGTATCTATCTCCCCACAAATGTCTGCCATCCAGCTCATCTGACAACTGTCAACAAAATCCAAAGTAATATTTTCTTGCGAGTGGGCAGAAAATACAATTATCTGAACAATGAGGTTGTTTAGGTTGGCAAGTGTGTTTCCTGGACACCCCCTGAAAAGACTATTCCATCTCATTCATACCGTGTTCAACCACCATGATACTGTCATGTATCCAAAACCCTTCTCTTGCGACCTGAATCCTTGCACTGCAACATTTGGAATTCTCTCCTAACGTCTTTTTTTCCATAAACTCTTCTGACTTTGCTCATTTCAAGACACGTACGGTATATTAACTCCCATCCATTACACCTTCAACAGTGCCGTTTTACTGCTGGCCAACTGGCATTTTGAGTCTTCATTCGACAACTGCGATTAAACATAACATGAGCGCGGGGGGGAGGGGGGGTGTAAAGTGACCACGACACCTGGAGGAGAATTTCTGCGTGACGGCTCCAAGCGAGGCTAGCAGCTCGCCGGGCGTAGCGTGGCGTCCCAGGCTCAGACCGTGCAGCTTCTCATAGAGGTCGGCCATCTCCTGCCTCGATTGCACCAGGTGGCCCAGCTGCTCGGCCAGGTGACCCAGGATATCCTCCGAGTGCACGGCCGCGTTGCCGCCGCCGCTGCCGGCAGCCGCCTGCGCGCCCGAGCCCGTGACGCGACGCAGCTCGGAACACAAGGAGCCGTACATGCTGCGCAGTGTGTCCTTGCGCGAGAAGAAAGATTGTCCGCCTGTACATAGCGGTAGGCGGCACCGGCATCGAGAAGGTTGGTGCTAACCGGGGTTAATTAAACACCACCGCCGGCTTCTTTGCGCAGGCCTGATCAGATTCGATGGACAAGGCTCGAGATGTTAGGGGTAATGCAAGGGGTTTAGTTGTGGAATGCTAGAAATCACAATGCGTGGCTGAAGGTAAAGGTAGTCTTCGACATGGATTAATTCAAATATTACTGATGAGGACATTGGGAAAGCAAAATTAAAAATTTTTACAATTGTATCGGTGTCTTAATTTTTAGTTTTGTACATCATAACTTGTTTATACAACAAGTGGTGTTTAATTATCCTTCATGCAGATGGCAGGCATATGAACACAACGCTACACAGTAAGTTAAATGCAAAGATTATAATATTTCCAGTTCCCAAGGCTATGTACCATCACATCATTAGTAGCTCATGCTTTTGTTTGAAAACAATAATGCACCTATAATAATTGTTTGAAATGTAGGCTGAAAAGTTGCAGCATTGTGTTGCTCACCGCTAGAAAAGCCACCCAAATTGATAGCCCTGAAGAGCATTGCGACTGAAGCTGAAAAGAGGAAAGGGGCTATATTAGCATTATCTAAGATGTCTTGAATTTTGCAAGAGTATCAAATAATTTTAAATAGTCGTTTCTGCAATTTAAGTAGGAATTGTCGCATTACCACAAAAGCCTCCGCCTTGATTTTAGTTGTGCTTTCAAAACCTAGTTATTTTAAAGTGTGTTATCCTATTATCACTGAGATTATCTGACCAAACTGCCTAAACCAATCTCTTTCATGTAATAAGCAAAAATTCGAAACTATACTTAAGTTTGCTATTGCTCCGATCAATAATATAATAAAGCTGGCTCCACCTGCAGTCCCAATGTTGCATTTGTGATGCCAAGTGTTATTTTGCTATATTGAACTGATGGTGATGTAACATAATGCTCTGTGATATCATTTTTAATTAGAATATATAGTATGAAATGCTTGTAAATGAGCCATATTAAAAATATGATCATTAATACCATGGTGTTTTTGTATAAAACATTTAAGCATTGTTGTTTACATTGCTGGAGAGAAGAAATTTAATTTGCTTATGTCCAACCCATTGCAAGCTATTAATAGCAACTCATTAGTAAAAAAAGGGGTGCGATCAATGGGCAAATCGCTCCAAAGCGCTTTTCTATTGAACGATCTGTTAGCCCAGAGCACATTGCAACAGGAGCTAAATGTCCGATTCCCTGCCCTTCTGATCGTTAGGCAGGAGGGTCAAAATTCAGCCATTCGGAGGCACCGTACCTTCCTGCACTGGAGAATATGCAGAAGACAATGTGCGCGCCACTCATTGTGGCCATAGCATGTGCATGACATCACTCGTCGTAGCAATGCTCTCAGCATCCCTAACGCACCGTTCAATAGAAGCTAAATTCCACCTTGTAGCGCCCACGACAGAGCGCTCTGCCCGTTGAGTGCACCCCAGGATGAATTAAACCATCGCAAAAAGAGCCAGCCTGACTCTTACGAAGCTCAAGTGAATAATAAACAGAGAATGAGATATTCATCCAAATACGCTCAATATTTCAGCAGCAACTCTAGAAGGAAAGAAGAAAGTTGTGGCTGGCTCATTCCGCTCGGCCAGGGTGGAGTTTAATTCAAACTCCGGCAACGAACACCGAAAGTTGAAACCAGCATAAGCAGTAGGTCAGTTTGAATCACAGTATCGGTATTTTACAGATACCGATATTCGTTTGTTTTCGGAATTGATTACTAACCTTCAAACCAGCGAAGAAGCAAAAAAGGGACATCTCCCTCTACACACCGTCACACAAGTCATCACACACAGGGTATTAACAGGGATACTACCACATCGGAGTAGAATATTGACCAATTAGTCTGGTTATTAAGTTATAAAGTGAATTACAACCGCAGACCTTTTGTCAATCGACTGCTGGTTGAGGGTCTCACCCACAACCTCGTGGGTTGTGGGGGAATATTTGACCATACTTCACCGCGCTGGTCGTTGCGGGCTGAAGGCGGGGAGCAGACATGGGATCTACGGACGAAATGCGCCTTACAAATGTAAATGAATATCCATAGCACATCGCAGCAATGGATTTTGCTGCACTTCTTGCTCTTCCACAGGACACAGGGTAGCCCTGCAGCCATCTGTTTTGGGCGTGATTGTTGCCCATCCAGGTCTTTTACACAGGCTCAACCCCAGCTTAGCTCTGCCGAAATCGGCCGCATTCCAGTTCATTTGATCAGTAAAATAATACTCAGTCATTATTCTGTTTCTACTTGATTAAGGACGCATCTCCTTGCAGTTTAAACCATGTATTATAATAGTAAAAAGTAAAAAGTGGGCATGCAAGTTTTCAATCACGTTAACAATGATTAAGATGCGAAAAGAGGCGTTACTTATCATTGAAATCTGATTTGAGCAATATGAACATTTTACTGTAGATGAATAACTGAAGCAGGTTTTAACTGCCAAAGCACATCCCATATAGTGTAACGCCTGAGATATTTCAGAAGAGATTGCAAGGTCAACATTCAACACAGCAAACACTTAAACGTTTTTTACACACGTGCACAGCCATGCATTTCGCCCATATTAAAGGTCAGGTAAACTAAACTACTGATTCCAAAGAACACAGGATGAGATGTTATTATCCTTTGTGCAAACACTTCCAAGAGTTCATGAACAGTGAGCCTGGTGAAATTTGGGGAGCGCATCGTCAGTAGTGAACCTTTGGGTCCTAGGGTGTTTCGGCCTTTCATACTATACACCCTCCCCAAAGGCGGCCAGCGACAGGGTGATCAATCCTACGCTTGCGTCCCATTCCCAATTAGTCATAGGAGTTGCCTTGTTGTTGGTAGCCAACATCCCATGGGACTATGCATGGCAGGGGCGTCCTCCTCCCTGAGTCAAGCATTGTTGACTGCATACCTCCTGGCCCTCTCACTTTGGGGCCCAGCTGGGGTCTTTCCTCTTCATTACTGCTACTGCCTTTTTGATTTATTTACACGCTTTTATTTAACTCACTCCGTCTATTGTCGTATCCTTAAAAAATATTGCAACTAAATTTTTACCTACTTCCCAATGTGCTATCGACTGCAAACTTGGTATACTTATGTCATACTGATGACAATACTATATTCCATCATTAAAAATATATATTTTTAAACAATCTAATTGTCCACGCTCAACTCACGTTGCCTGTCAATCACCACGGTCCCTTACATTATGGTAAGCTGCGGGGCCCACTTCCTGGAGTCGTGGAGTTCTGCCATTAGGGTACATTTCATTAAATCGTGTTTTTTAAAAGTATTTTTAAATATTTTATTAACTACTTATCCTGGCCCTACCACTACTGATACTTCCACTAAAGTACAGTACTTCAAATCTTTAATTGACAAGAAAACCCATAACAGAAACGTTAATGCAGGCTGGAAACAAATAGAATTAACACCACACACAGCTCTCAGCATTATCCAAACAGCTGATCTCTTTGTGTTGGTTGTTTAATCGACATGATGCCCACACATTCGGTCCTTCTGAGATTGTGGTCCGGATAGGCTGGGAGCTCTTTTACATGTAATTATGCACCAGATTATTTGGCAATTGGCAAGGTTTGTCACGTAAACAAAATATGCCAGTTTTTTCGGTAAAGTCACGTAGAGTCTTGAATAGCTCTCTTCACACGCTACAGTAATTTTACTGGAGCAGTTACACCTGACGACGGAAGCTTGTGTTGCTTCCGAAACGTGATTTAATTTAGTTATTTTCATTTATTATCATTTCATTATTGTTATTATTTTACCTACGTGACTTTACCGAAAAAAACCTAAGAGTATGAATCCTTGCAGTCACGAAAGCTTCAAATCTAGAATTCATGCCAGCCAATTCGGTGTGTTGGAGAGTAAACCCACAACAACATTTACGTTTTCGCCGGCAATTACAACAACCAGCCTCATCAGGCAACACCCAGTCTTGTGGAGAAATCATCCTCGCGTTTCGATCTTAAAGTATTACTACTCCTACTGCTGCTGCACCTGGCTTCTGACCCAGAAAGGTCATGGAGTGATAGGCCCTCTCGGTGGCTGCAAGGTGTGCCAGGGCCGACAGAAGGGACGCCCACGCCACGCCACCGCCACCACCTCTGCTGCTACTCTCCTTCTCTCTCTCGATGTAGTCCTTGGCTCGGTCGCACGCGAAGCCTCCGACGTGAGAGAAGAACGCCTGCAGCACCTGCATCTCCGGCCCGTTCGACGTATCCTCCATGACGACGCGTTCCTACTTGCAGATTTCGCGGCCACGGATTCTTGTAAGCACGAGACCCACCCCACCCACCGTCCTTTCACGCGTCTATTGGTTCAGAACTCGACCCGTGATCCTCACTCAACTCCACGGTTGATCCAAGCCCTGCCACGAAATGATTCTACTTAGAATTCAATAACAACCCTGACCCGATATCTCAGAACCTGGCCCAGATTCGTGTCCCGAGGAGCTCCGGCACTGGCTGCACCGGGTCCCCGGTCTCAAGCCGGCACCCCCAGCCGCTCTATCAACCCTAACCCTGGTTCTAACCCTAACCCTGGATCTGACCCTTACTCTGACCCTGATCCCAACTTTAATTCAATCTCTCTACCCCCCGATTCTAAACCCTGAACTTCGGAAACCGGTTTCAGACTCCGACCCCTACCCCACGTCGGCGGTCTCCCCTCCGCGGGAAAAGTCGCTCCGATCCCGGCACGCATCCTAGGCTAGCACCGATGCTCCAACCGAGGCCTGCGCCGCGGAGTACGAGTTCATAACATTCACGGGATTTTTGAGCTGCAACACATGCATCGGTGGCGAATACGGACAAGCTCGCACGATCGGCAATCTAATTTTGCCCGTGAATTGTTTAATTTTAATTTCGCAAATTAAACAAAAGTTGGAAGGCGCCCGGCCCGGTGGACACGCGCATTGCGCGTGACGCGGCGGCCTTTGACCTCCGATATTGATAAACAAAAATGTGTTAATAAACAACAAATAAAACCACAACAATTTTATATTCAAACATGCGGTTGTTGTTATTGTTGTTATTCGTAATCGAATGTACGTGGGCTGTGTGTTTTTTGGGCAATGGTGAAGTGAAATGTTGCAAACACGGGGTGAGAGGTTGGGGGTGAGGGGTTACCACACACGTGGTCGTGCTGGTGCTGGTGGTGGTCGTGAGTTCGGTGGTGGTGAGTTTGGTGGTGGTGAGTTTGGTTGTGGTGCTGGTGGTGAGTTTGGTGGTGGTGCTGCTGGTGGTGGTGAGTTTGGTGGTGCTGGTGGTGGTGGTGGTCGTGAGTTCGGTGGTGGTGAGTTTGGTGGTGGTGAGTTTGGTGCTGGTGGTGGTGCTGGTGCTGGTGGTGGTGGTGAGTTCGGTGGTGGTGAGTTTGGTGGTGGTGAGTTTGGTGGTGGTGCTGGTGGTGAGTTTGGTGGTGCTGGTGGTGGTGGTCGTGAGTTTGGTGGTGGTGCTGGTGGTGGTGAGTTTGGTGGTGGTGGTGCTGTTGGTGGTGGTGAGTTCGGTGGTGGTGAGTTTGGTGGTGGTGGTGGTGGTGCTGGTGGTGGTGGTGAGTTCGGTGGTGGTGAGTTTGGTGGTGGTGAGTTTGGTGGTGGCGCTGCTGGTGGTGCTGATGAGTTTGGTGTGGTGGTGCTGGTGGTGAGTTTGGTGGTGCTGGTGGTGGTGGTCGTGAGTTTGGTGGTGGTGCTGGTGGTGGTGAGTTTGGTGGTGGTGAGTTTGGTGGTGGTGGTGCTGTTGGTGGTGGTGAGTTTGTGGTGAGTTTGGTGGTGGTGAGTTTGGTGGTGGCGCTGCTGGTGGTGCTGGTGAGTTTGGTGTGGTGGTGCTGGTGGTGAGTTTGGTGGTGCTGGTGGTGGTGGTCGTGAGTTTGGTGGTGGTGCTGGTGGTGGTGAGTTTGGTGGTGGTGAGTTTGGTGGTGGTGGTGCTGTTGGTGGTGGTGAGTTTGGTGGTGGTGAGTTTGGTGGTGCTGGTGGTCGTGAGTTTGGTGGTGGTGAGTTTGGTGGTCGTGGTGCTGTTGGTGGTGAGTTTGGTGGTGGTGAGTTTGGTGGTGCTGGTGGTGCTGGTGGTGGTGGTCGTGAGTTTGGTGGTGGTGCTGGTGGTGGTCATGCTGGTGAGAGTTTGCCTCTTTAGGACTTCAAAAAGCTCCAACCCACAAATTCCTCCTCGTGTTGTGGTTGTTGTTGTTTGACTTGCGTCCCACTGGGATTGTTGCACATAGCGTTGGTGTACGGTGCTTTTTCTGCAATATTTTGCTGTCTTTTCTTGGATTTTCTGTTTGCACATAGTCACATATTCACTTTAAGATGTTTTCTTGTTCATGATTTTTGTTTGTTGCGGTTGCACCCGATTCAAGAGCCGAATGGCTCACAGGGCTATACCTAATAAATGAACTTGAACTTGAATGCGCCATCCCCTCATCACATTACACATTTGTAGTCATTGCCGGCACAGACGATCGCGAGCACTTCCCTGCGAACTGGGGGCCTCGTTCTGCCTCCCAGGTGCCGCGTGTGGATTCGTCGACTTCCCGCTGGTGTATAAATAACATCGGCAGCGGGGGATACAAAGACGGTGGGGCGTGGAGCTGGCTACACCGTATACGTCTGACCACACGCTGGTTGGTCAGGGAGTAAGCAGCATAGAAGTGAGTGCACGGTATAGTACAACGATCGATTTTGCTCCACTGCTCCACGCGATGCCAGTCAAAGCTGTCAACCCATCCGGTTCACTCCACGTTTCTTGAACAGGGAAATTGAGTCTGCAGATCCATACGGCGTACGGCTGTTTCAATACGGCCAATTTGTTATTGGCTATTTGCGTTTCTCCCTTGCGATGGGACTTTGTGGGATGAACGTTGAGATTTGTAATGGTACGGAGTGATCGATAAGGTCTCTGAATTGGTCTGTGATAAGGTAACGACACGGATAAGGGGTTGACGGCTGTGTCTTGAGTCACAACCTGATCACCCATCTAAGCGATAGGCAGGCACCGCACTGGGTTAGCTTCCGATGTCAGATGAGATCAAATGCATTCCGGGCTACAGTATTTGGTTATAGGCTTGTAAATATATTTCATTGTAACGCTATTTAAAAAAAAACTAAATTTTTCTGACAAAAATCCACACCTATACGTAGAAAAATAGAACGTGTTGATATGGTCGAACCTTTTGGTCAATGTGCTTCCGTGAAGATGAGTTCCATTCTTATCAGCCACGTTTAGAACATTTCAGTGTTTAGAGTGCACGCTATGACCACGCAGTATTTAGCTTTCACATGAATACAAAGGGTCTCATTGTCCTTAATTGTGTATTGTTTATTCATGTGTCTTCATTAACTGATGCGTTGTAATGATTTCTACACCTGGTCCACATTGCTGTCCCAAAATGCAATGAAATATTGTGCTGCATTTTTTCATTGTTTTTTATGGGTTTTTTTTGTAATGAAGCTTTGTTTAAATTACGTGGCAATAAAAACAATTTCACACAACAACATAATTCCTGCTTAAAGGAAGGGACAACCCAAAAACAACGATAGCTCTTGGTTGATATCACCAAAGTTACATGACCCAGACTAGATTTTAAGCTTTCGTGACTGCAAGGATTCACATTCTTAGGTTTTTTCGGTAAAGTCACGTAGGTAAAAAATTTTAATTAATAAAAGTAAAATAAAAATCACGACGTTTCGGAGGCAACACAAACTTCCGTCTTCAGGTGGAACCATCACAGCACGATAGCTGTATCAAGTGAGAGAAATTCCAAGAAAACAATCCTTGTATATATACTGGTTGAGGGTGGGAGAAGCCAAGGTAGGCCCTCAATATTATTTTTGTGAGGTTCGGTGCGGCTGAAGCACGCTGCTAGGAATGAGCCTTTGTTGTGTAGAATGGTTGACTGAAAAAACCTAAGAATATGACCCAGACTGACCACCAGATTGAGGCTTGGTGAATGAGATAAAAAATACTTAAAAGTTACCTTGAATCCTGCCGAAGCGCGGTGAGTTGATAAAAGATGTATTGCCATGACTGCATGCCTCAAAGCCACGTTTAACGGCTTTTGCCTCATTAACGATGGTGCAATCACACGTCAGCCAGCCCAGGACGCACAGCCTTAGCCGTGTATCTGCAAAATAAAGAGAGATTCGTTTTGCTGGGCTGCCATTTGCCACGTAAGCAACGCTGAAGTGCTGTGGACTGTCTAATGAGCATTGACTCAACACTGCTAATTGTTGTAATCTTCCTTCTCAGGGAAAAGGATAACATGGACGGCGAACAGTCAAGCAGTGAACCCAGTGCAGAAGTTCCTGCAGGAGATGCTGTGCAGGTACCCACTTTTCTCCGTTTTATTCGATGGTCAGAGTCCCGTGTGCGTAGTCTGCATTTGCAGGCAGGCGACTGCATTGGCATGGAGGCTAGAGGTCCGCTATATATCTCTCCTTTCCTTCTTGCCGTCTGCAGGTAACCATCGGCGCTACAGTGCCCACTGGGTTCGAGGGGACGGCCGCTGACGAGGTGAGCGAGAAGATCGGCGTGGAGGCGCTGGTCAGCAAGGACCGTGGGCGGATCACGTTCGTGGTGCCCAGCTCCGAGCTGCGAGAGGTAGAGTGCGCGCCAGCCAGGCCTTGGGGAGATGGACCGTCACCACTGAGCAGTCCCACAAATGAATAATTATTGTAATAAGTTTGCACTTGTATGGGCGCCGTTCACAATAATGTCTCTAGGTGCCGTGCATGGAGTGAACAGAGATGATAAAGAAGGAACCAGGTGGCGGTATAAGAGCCGGAGAGGAACAAAAACCGCACCTCCAATTAGCACGGTTGGCCACGTACGGTGCGAAAGTAATTCAACATAATGACCGATTTAAATTAAAATGTTTTTAAATATGTGTCTTTAGTCGGGACGGAAAGATGTCAACACTGTCCGAGAGTCTGATCTCCAACGTTTGGGAGCTCCGCGACCAGGGGGTCACCAGTAAGGAGTACCACAACATCCATCGGCCGATCTTAAAGACCTTGAATTGGGCAAAGCTTGGGTCCAAAGTTTTTCAAATCGTCCTAATAATATATCGCCGTCATTAGCCGGGAACTATCCACTACTGTATAAAGGTCTTGTCAAGCCATCGCCATGGTCCGGTAATACAACGATACATCTATCTCCTGCACACCAGCTGATGTCCTCACTGAATGTCCACGGTGGGCATACTGTCAGAACGTGTTTACTCCAAAACGGTGTTCATATTGATGATAATTATAGGTTTATAAAATATATGTTATTGATTAAGTCATTCAATGGTATGGCACAAACACGAAACTGAAATCACCATCACCACCCCAGCATGGATTAATAAGTCCATTTAAGTACGTCCAACATCATGGTAAATATGACCATTTATTCCTAATCGTTTGACATACTATGACGAAGTAAAACACCACTTCATGGTTTTATCAATGATTACCACATCTTTAAAGACCCTCAAATCGTACGTCCAAAATCGTGTTTCTGCCCATAACCGGGATGACGTAGGGAGGCCTTCACGCGGAATTTAATTCACAAAGAGCTGTAAATTATTTTAAAAAATTATTACATTTTGTGTCCAAATCTAAATACTGCACTATAATTCACTGCAATAGGCCTGTAATGCTACAAAATCCTATGGAGTGTTGCAAGTTCTTATCAAAGTAGTTGAGCATACAGACTGCTAATTTAATGAGTTGTCCTGTGATTGCTTTGCAGGTGCATCAACTGCGCTCAGTTGACAATCTCTTCGTGGTGGTGGAACAGTTCCAGGGCTACCAGTTTAAAGAGAACAAGGTAAGGTCTAAAATTAATCAATCGTGTCGCGTGTATCCGCACCTCCGATTAGCATGGTTGGCTACGTACGATTCGAAAGAAGTCCAACATACATACATATGTGCGTGTTATTATATTTTTATTTACGTGAAGATATTTTTGTTATTTTAGGCTTTTATTTCAGCAGCCAATGGCAGCCTTTTTCCCACAGTCTTTGCAAGCTATATTGAGGATTTTGTGTCTGTGTGTATTTGTATGAATCTGAATCGAGTGCCTCTTTTCCACTCTACAATTGAGCCGTAACAGCGTTGTTCTGAGCCAGTCTGGTGCAGCTCAGCATGCACCAAGTTATTTTCCAGAATCTCAATGTTTATTTATACTGGAGGAATCCGATGAGCTGTAAAGCTCTTTTTTTCCACTGCGCAACCCGAGCTATGTCACTGATGTTAATAATTTTCAAATTGCAATTATGATTATTCCAGTCTCTGGCCCAGCTAGGCCGTGAGCCAGATTAGGATTCAGATTCTTGTGAGGCCAGAGTTTCACAGTTTAGTTCTGGTTCAGCTCGGCAAATAATCAGCGGAAAGCCACCTGTAGTATCACGAGGGCCTGCGCTGGAGGGGCTTGGATGTTTCTGTGCGCTCGTAAAAAGTCTCCACGCACTGCAGGAGGAGGCCTTGGCAGACTTTACCGCGCTCCCGAGCAAGCTGTCATGGGACATCCCCCTGGGCCTCTGGAGGCAAAACAACAACATCAAGCGCAAGAAGACGCGTGGACAACAACGTGGGCAACCGCAAGGGCAGCAGCGGGGCAGCGTTGCAATGGGTAGCGCAGCACCAGGGGCGACGGGCAGCGTGGAAGATGGCGTCCATCGTCTCAAAGTTCACGACGACTCAGACGCTACTAGCCGTGATGAGCAAGGTGCAGCGGCATTATCTCGGTTTAATCCACTCTCTTAAGTGTGACTTGGAGTGGATGTTTTGTGGATACGATTTTAATTGTCGTGTAGACCTTCGGTTTTAACGCTGTGTCTTATATAGCGTGTGAAGTAATCCCCATGCCATCACTCATGGTCATGCGATTCGAGGACTTCCTCTCGGATGTGTTCTCTTCTTTGACTGCTGCTCCATCGTTAGTCTCGACCACTGGCCGTGCTGCCGTTAAATACACCTCATTCCATCACAACTTCACTGCTAAACTAGGCGTCATCTGGTCGAACACCATATGAAACTAGGCTCTAAAGAAAGCTGTCTCTTGTGTGGACCAATCAGTTTAAAAGACAATGCATAAATTATCAGAGTATTGTTTTTTGTTTGCATTTGACTGCGAGTATTGTGGTTAATGTAAGCATGATTCCTTGCAAAAGGGGAAAAACCCTATTAGTATATTTTGGTACTGGCAAAGGAGGTCCCATGATGTAGCTTCACTGCTTTTGCAATTTGTTGAACTCTTGCTCTAGTCGCTGAACGTCCCTCTTATTCACCGTCCCATCTTAGATGCAGCAGCAGCAGCAGCATCAACCACGACCGCACAAGAGGAGGAGGAGGACGTCGTGGAGGCCGGAGACACCGAGAGCCCTGCCTCAGGAGAAGATGTTGCGGCAACGGAGGAGTCGGAGGAGCTTCCGGGAGGGGATGGCGGGAGGACGTTGCGATTTCGCGTGACCTGCAATCGCGCGGGCGACGGACACAGCTTCACATCCATGGAGGCGGCACGTGAGTTCGGTGGAGCGGTGCAGGATCACTTCGGCTGGAAGGCGGACATGAAGAACTTTGACGTGGAGGCAAGTGGAATCATCTTTCTGCATCTCCATGTGTTTGCCATGTGTGGTATAGTCACAGTTGTTTGTGAGCATCCCTCGGTGAGCGTTTGGTCGATGAACTCGGCCTTTGGCTGCAGGTGCTGGTGAACATCCACGACCAGGAGATGTGCGTGGGCATTGCCCTCACGGAGGAGAGCCTCCATCGGAGAAACATCACGCACTTCGGACCCACCACCCTGCGCTCTACCCTGGCCTACGGCATGCTCAGGCAATGCACACACCACGAGCCTAGTCCCGCGTCTCATGAAAGCGCCGGTAAATCTGTTGACCACTGAGCCACAGCACCTCCACCCCCCACCCCCTAACCACTTTATAACACGGGGCAAAGATCTACATTACCAGAGTTCCAAAGAGATTCTTCATCTCATGTGGTAACACACTTGGAATTAAATTGGGAATTCGACTTCTTAAATTTTATTTTGGTAGACATGTGACAACCACTCTTTGCAGGGTATGTGAAAGCTGTACCCACCCCGTATCTGGATAAAGATGCCTATTGAAGTGACATCAGAAGTACTTCTGTGATGCCATCTTACTGATCCATTCTCTGCTCGCTGAAAGAGTTCCAATGCAGTTTTTGTTTTCATTTCATAACATGAGAATATATTTAGGAAACAGTTTATCTGCTTGACTTAAAGCTTTCGTGACTGCAGGAATTAATATTCTTTGGGTTTTTCGGTAAAGTCACAGAGAGAGAGGGTGGCCATCTAAAGAGAGTGCGGAGCCGAGCAGTCATAACTAATAAAGAAAGGACGCAAGACTCAACGTGTCGTGGAAGTCGTTTATTACAGTAGTGTAATAAAGGACTTGTTCACTGGGTCTGTCTCCGTTGTCCTTTATTTGGGTTCTTTACACTTGTCCCACATGGCCCTCGCTCAGAGCCTCCCCACTTGGCAGCTCGACAGCTGCCGTCGCTCCCGTAGCCTTTCTCCACTCCGATGCAGCTCCGCTGCAGGTTCCCTTGTGCAGTCCTCCGGCTGCTCTCACTGCAGCTCCACCGCTGCTCCCCGTTCCTCCGTGCTCGGTCACCGCTGGCCGACGGTGCCGAGTCTTACTGTGTGTGTGGCGATCTCGCCACCCTCCAACCTCCGCCCTGCGTGGCCTCTCTCTGTCTCTATTCCCAACTCTCCCCCGTCTCTTCCAGTATCTCTCCCTTAAGACCTCACCCCTCTCTCTCACGTGACCTAACCCTTCCCCCCGTGACGTCATATCCGCGAAGCCGTTTACGCCCGCATTACAGTAGTATAAACGAATGTTCTTGTTACCTGATGCGTTTGTTATTTTACAGACTTTGCAGCCCGCAGCCTGGTGATATAATCATTGACCCGATGTGCGGTACAGGAGCCATACCTGTGGAGGTACGATCGCACGCCATCACCGAGCGTAGAAACTACTTGGAATCTGTTCCCTTAATAACCGTTCAGTGCAGTGACACACAACGCCACTCGTGCCCGCAAGCGAGATCGCATCACTCCTATCCTCCGATTCCTCTTTGACTCACAATGTAATCTTGGGGCAATTACAACGGTCACCCTTTGCATTTTCTATCGTTGTCCTTCCCTGCACCCCCAATTGGCTTTATACGGTTTGAAAGAAGTTCAACACACACACACACACCTCGCCCACTTCATCTCTCTCAAGTTTTATATAGACTCCTCTTTGTGAAACCCACTGCCAACCTCCCTATTGTGATAGGTCGCTCCTCTCGTGCCGCCCTGCTGTCTGGAAGTAGCTCCCCGAGTCGTGCTATCCTTCCGACTCCCTCCCCTGGTTTAGAGCCTTCCTTGTCCCTCCTCTCCCTTTGACTGCCTTTGACTCGTCACTTCTCTAATAACACTTTCCCCTCTATTTCTTACCTACCCTCCCACCTCCCCCCTTTACTGCCCTCCGCGTCATCGCCCTTCTCCTAGTGCCAGTGCCATAGCTATCGAGTGTCCAGGCAGTGCAACTGCACCGGGGTTCTCAGACAAGAGCGGTCCAGACCCTGGGCTACGAAGAGAGGGGGGGCGGACGTTGATTGGAGTGGGTGTGGGGGGGGAGGTTTAATTCCTTTCGCCAGTGCCCGTGCCATCCACACTCGTCCGCTTACTAGCACATGCCCCCCCCCCCTCCCACTACATACAGCGCGCAAACACTTTGACACGTTATAAACCCACGTCGTATTGTGTAATGATGTTCACGTTGGTGGCCGCGAGCGAGTCACCGAGGAGAGTGTACGCGCGTGACGCCGCAGTGTGGCATGGAGTGGCCCCGGAGTTTCCACATCGGCGGCGACAGCTTTCCGATGGCCACCAACCGCTCCGTCAACAACGTCAACCACCTCAACAGCAAGCGGAACAGCGGGTGAGTTCACTTCTCTGCGGAGAATACCGCCACCTTGGCCAGTCCAAAGAGTTTTGGTGCCAATTGCCGTGTGGTTAATGGATGTGCTTTTAACGTGTGTGGAGGGAAAATGGGAACGAATGGAGTTGACGTCAGAGATAAGGCTCGGCCTCCTGATTTGCCACAGCAGCGTTTTCTAGAACACCCCGCATTTTTGCAGTACAATTCTTTGCATTTGTATGTTTGTTGAACTTCTTTCACACCGTACGTAGCCAACCGTGCTAATCGGAGGTCACTATTGAAAATTTCCCACCGGATATTAAGATCAGGTTTGCTACCTGCATGCTAGGGAAAAGCCAAATACAGCACTTTGGGAATGCTACGATGTGCTCTGGGGCAAAGGCCCTCCCTATCCCCGAGTCCCGGCGGTCACGTTCGGTTTGGTGCAGCCACTCAGGCCTGTGGCTGACCCATCAGCCCCTCTGCTGCTCCACCCACAAGGTTCTCCGGTCACTCGTGCAAATTCGTCTGTCCTCGTCTCTCGAACTCTCACCTGGTCGAGCAGGATGAACGTGTGCTCCGGGTCGTCTGCGCTCGCACGGAGAACCTGGTGGGCAGGGTCCACCAAGGGGAGGCACGCACCCCAAGTGGGGTAGTTTTATTTTCTTAGGTTTTTTCGGTAAAGTCACGTAGGTAAAAAATTAAAATTAATAAAAGTAAAATAAAAATAAAATAAAAATCACGACGTTTCGGGGGCAACACAAGCTTCCGTCTTCAGGTGGAACCGTCACTTGATACAGCTATCGTGCTGTGACGGTTCCAGTTGATACAGCTATCGTGCTGTGACGGTTCCACCTGAAGACGGAAGCTTGTGTTGCCTCCGAAATGTCGTGATTTTTATTTTTATTTTACTTTTATTAATTTAAATTTTTTACCTACGTGACTTTACCGAAAAAACCTAAGAATATGAATCCTTGCAGTCACGAAAGCTTCAAATCTAGAAGTAGTTTTATTTATTTTTCAAATCACCACGAGCATGGTGCACAGCCCCGAGATCGACGCAGCCGGGCTTGGTGAAGAGGGGTGGGATTGGGCTCTCTGCCCCACCCAGGTGGGGAGCCTCTAGCAGAGAAGTGAAACTTTCTATGGGGGGGGAAGGTAAGGGAGAAGATAACTAACATACAAGGGAAGATGGGGGAAAGGAAAGAGGGGGGAGGGGATGACCCAAGTGCCTTAGTTGACGTTCCTATGCAGGTAGAGCGTCAGCTGAGAGAGGTTATGGTTGGACGCAAGGTCATCCCATCAGTACCCATGTTTCTACGCGTGTTATACATTGCAACGACCATTTAAATCACGTGCCTTTCAGGGGAAGAAGCCTTCCCGTCGACATCGTGCAGTGGGACGTGTGCCGCCTGCCGCTCAAAACGGCCTCCGTGGACGCTTGTGTCACCGACATGCCGTTCGGAAAGAGGTACGAGGGGGAGGGGATGGGGGTGGGATCGAGTGGCCACGGGGCCTCAGTGAGTTGTCGCTGTTGTAACGTTCTGACCCGACTCGACTGCACAGTTGCGAAAAATAGCTTTCTAGCTTCTAAATTTGAAGCTTTCGTGACTGCAAGGATTCATACTCTTAGGTTTTTTCGGTAAAGTCACGTAGGTAAATAATAATAAAATAATAATAAATGAAAATAACTAAATTAAATCACGACGTTTCGGAAGCAACACAAGCCTCCGTCATCAGGTGTAACTGCTCCAGTAAAATTACTGTAGCGTGTGAAGAGAGCTATTCGAGACTCTACGTGACTTTACCGAAAAAACTTAAGAGTTTGGCTGGCATATTTTGATAAAGTCATGTAGGTAAAAAATAAATAATAAAAATAAGCAGTATAAATATTCTGATTCTGAGATTTAGTCAACTCCGTTGTTTTCAATCGGGCTGCTGTGTTTGCGCGCACGTACACTCTGGTTGATTTGTTTTTTTGCGTGCTTACCACGAGTGCGCTTGGGTGGCCTCGTTCGCTGCGCTTGAGCAGTCTCGTTTAGGATGAGGTTTTACGCGAATTCATCATGGAGATGGTGGTCACTTTTTTCACGTGAAAATAAACCGTTTATTTTAACCAAATTTTTTGAAAATAAAGACATTAACTACCACCTTGCGGTAGATAAAAAATGAAAATTTTCGATAAATATAGATTTTTTATATTATGCAAAAGGTTTTAGTCTAATATAAATGACCAAATCGCATTGAAAGCACCCAGTCTTGTCAGATCTCTGAAGGTAAGCAGCGATAAGACTGGTGACTGCTTAGATGGGAGACCGCCAGGGAACACCACGTGGTGTAGGCTCATGGTGCTCATGGCTGTCGAAGTAGCCAGGCAATGGCTATGGTGCAATCGGTTTAATCCACCTTTGAATACCGTAACATCTCCTCGTGTGGAGGTTATCTTTCCTTTGGATAATCCAGTTTGCTGGCACAATCCAATTGCTCATCAATCCTGATAAATAGTCTCAAGTAAATAAAGGGCATTGTTATTAATATAGAAATTGTTTCACTCAATTATTTTGTTTTACTTTCGTATAAAAAATGGCTCATTTATCTCACATGTGATGACTCAGAATGGCCAATTTGACTGTTACCTCACTTAGCCATTCATCAGCCACCAGGAGCAACTTAGTTGTAGCCAGATGTGGTGGCACACGTGCCTTTAATCCAGCGCTGTGAAGGCAAGGGTTTGGCGCGTGACTCGCACACTTGAAACTCTCACGCTTTCAGCAATGTGGCTTGGAGACAGCGCAGTAGAAACTGCTTGTAATCCCACATGCACAGATGTTTGTTATCACCTTGCGTGCGTGGATTTTCTCCGGGTACTCTTGTTTTTTTCCAGATCATAAAAAAAAACTTAAATGGAACCTTCTTCTTGGTTCTTTCGGTAAAGTCACGTAGAATGGAAATAATAAAATAATAAAAAATAAACATTATAAAAGAATTCTCACGACGTTTCGGCCACAACGCAGGCAGCCGCCCTCAGATGGAGAGCAGGTCTGTCGACAAGACAGAGTCTGAATGACTCTGTCGTAAATGGAACCATCCAAAACATTCCAATAAAAAATCCTTCTTGAGACTCTTTCGTGGCTATTATTGGACAAAATGAAAATAAATCGCGAACTTTTATCACCGCGAAATTCACAATCGCCCTCCCTGTGCCTGGCTTGTAGGATGGGATCGCGTCGGAGGAACTGGGACCTGTACCCGGCGTGCTTGCTGGAGCTGGCTCGCGTGTGCAGGCCTGGCACGGGGCGCGCCGCCCTCCTTACGCAAGACAAGAAATGCATGTCCAAGGTAACCTGCCTGGGCCGCCACCCAAATCATGCCCTGTGACAGACACTTCCAAGGGGATGGTGAACCATTTTTGCTGACCAACCAATGCTCTTTTCAGAGTCAAATGTGCACATGTATTCACATCGGGTGCCCATTTCAAGTGATGTGGTGGACTATCAAGTCTGTACTTGCTTTTTACCCGGATAATCAAAGCCCTTCTTTACTCTTAAAGCAGAGTTCAGCTTAATTTTTGAGTGGGCCATGAAATGAAATGTGCGTGTACCTGGCAGGCCACGCCAGTATCACGGGAAGAGACGTAATGACGTCGCGTGGAATCTTGGCGTTGTGAGTCCTATTCGGTCTTTGGTACAGAAAACAGTCTGCCCACCTCCCTCCCCCCCTTTTTAAAGTCTCGTTTCTCATGAACAAAGCTTTTACCTTGTACAGCACCGGACACACAGCCGAAGAATATGTCTAAGAAAGCACTCGTTCTCCCTGCTGAAAACAACTCCCTCACCCCCCCCACCCACCCTCGGTGTCCCACAGGTGCTGATGCAGATGGGTCACCTGTGGCGGAAGGCGAACACGGTGTGGGTGAATGTGGGCGGCCTGCACGCCGGAGTGTTCCTGCTGAGACGCACGGCCGCCCCGTACGACGGCCCCGGCCCAGGGCACCGCGAGCGTGTCGCCCCGTACGCCGAGCGCGCCGCCACCGCCGCCAGCGACAGATCCGGCGCTCGTGACGACGGTGCGGGAATCGGGGCCACGGGAGGCGATGCTTGATTATTTATTTGTGTGGACAGTCATCGTCGTGGTCCCCCTCCCCCCAGTAACTTTCTGCAAGCTTTCGATTTAAAGCTTTCGTGACTGCAGGGATTCATCATCTTGGTTCTTTCGGTAAATGATTTTATTATGTTTTATTATTTTATTATTTCCCTTCTACGTGACTTTACCGAAAGAACCAAGATTATTTCTGCAAGCTGTTTACAATGTCTGAAATGCCTTAGCCGCTCCGATGCGTTTTCGGAGTTGTACCACTTGTCGTTCGGCACGATGCCCCAGAGCTTCCGGAAGGAAAGCTTCCTGAAAAAGCTACCGGCGCGTGGAGCGAAACGTCGGACATCGTACCAAACAACACGCGGCACGACCCGAAAACATTGAAGAGCTATACAGCACAGGCGTGAATAAAACTAAGCAGTCGTGTCTGAAATGCCTTATTTGTTTTGTTCAGGAATTAGACTTTCGTGGTACTGGAATTACAAACAGAATGTGTGTAGAGATACATCTCATGCATGCACGCATGTACAGCACTTTTTGCTCCATTAGGGGCTACAAACGCTGTGTGGGTCGTGCAAGTTATTTGACCATACTGCACCACGCTCGTCACTGCACGTTGGTGAAGGCCCACAGCATAGATCAGATCTCGTAGAGTAAAGAAACATTTTGCTGCGCTCCTGTCTGCTGACAACTTAGCCTGGATGTAGCATGGCTGTGTTTTTGTACCATATTTTGCCACGATTTGCCAATTTATAATTGATCCTTTGCAATGCAAATGTATTGATGAAGTGGTACTTTTTTGTAATTTTTGCATGCATTCTGTGGCTTTTTTCCATTACCACGAAAATGTATCTCCAGTTTGTATGACGTTTCGTGTTATATTGTTAACATTTGGAAACTTGAGATTAACATTTTACTTTAAACAGAAATTAGAACAGAACCGGTGGATAGAACGATGCCAGTTTTTTTTCCATCAGGGTTACTTTAACATCTTTTATATTGGTTTGCGAATACTGACGATACTAACTATCCAAAAGTGCGCGAAAACCTGTAACAATGCGGCTGCACTTGCAGAATTAATATTGCAAATCTGTAGAGCAGATTGCCGTGTACTCATTCGGAGAAATTGTCCAACGGGGAAACACTTGCTGCTTTTTTTATAAAATGGTTTCAATATTTCTCTTTGTAGACTAACAAACGTACGTTTTCCCATTTATATATTTTTCTGGAATAAGTGCCGTTCATTGAAAAAAATATTGGGAAACACAAAACATCTACCTAAAATGTCTCACATTAGACTTATTAATTTGTTTTTCAAGGGTATGCATTCAGATTTATGTTAATAACAAGGCATACGTTATTTATTTTACGAGGTACGGCTCACTGAGCTATGTAGCTCTTTTCAGAATCAACTTGGCCACAAATATGTAAATTTATAGCAGCCAAATACTCTAAATGTATGTTTCTAAATGTGGATGGAAAAACCGGAGGACCTGGAGAAAAATCCACGCGTCCACGGGGAGAACATACAAACTCCAAATATACAGGCGTCAGGGTCAGAATCGAACCCACGACCTCCTGTATACGTTTCACTGGATGCATGTATCCTACTTGGAATTCCACGTGGCTGAGTGTAATGGGGGAAACCTTGTAGAGACGTTTAACTCTTGGACAAGCGGTAGGGAAGAGAAGAGGAGCAGAGGGAGGCTGCTTGACTTGGATCGCATTGCGAATGTAGCCGGGAACACGGCGTGTACCAAGGCTCTGTAGCAAAGCCAAAATCACGCACTAGAGGAGCTTCATCAACCGGGCTCGCGACTGCTCGGTAATGAGTAAAACGGCAGAGAAGAGAGAATCCCGGTGATTGAGATGCTCGTGTGCCTATCGCACAATGACAGGACATCGGTATTAATTGTGGTGTGCGTGACTGCGGAACGCATGGTGGTGTGTCTTTGATGAGCAGTACCCCCGTTCTCAACTCTGTTCCCAACGACATGAAGCGGATGCAATAATACAGCGACTTTGTTGAATGCAAACTGATTGTCCCGGAGACGTGGGACAGCGAAGAATTATATTTTTTGCGCTGCTATTTAAAAAAAAAGTAAGTTAATGTTCGGTTTAGAGTTTTGTAAAGTTTCAAAATCATATTGAAAACTCGTTTTTATTGTATTTGATGCTCGCGGGTGTTTTTTTTTGCTTGCGAGCAACACTTAATATGGATACAGTGGTCCTCAAAATAAGATGGGGGGCAGACATGCCGTGCCCAGCATTTAACGGTGGATGGGGGGGGGGGCACAGCGGGGTTATTACGGTCGGAGGTGTGGAGCTGAACATTGAAAAGAAATTTTAAAAATGAAAGCCACACTCTGAAACAGGGCTTGGCAACAATTTGTTTTCTTGAATTTGCTAAACGAAAAAAAGAATCGCTCAATACCTCAAGAGCCGCAGTGCACTGTGGTCAATACGAGACTGGTAGTCCTGAATACATTTCCCCGCACATTAGTTTGGCGGCGTTACGAGGACAGTGTACAGGGTGGTGCAGATGTCTTGTGACCTCCAATTTATTGACCCTTAACATTTTTCCCTTTGCATAATAATTTCTGTTTTAAATAAAATCTTACTTTGAAAAAAATGACGTTTTAGAGATTTAAATGGGGGTCACAAAATATCTGGACCAGCCTCGATATCTCTTGTTTACTTTCCTGTTCAACAGACAACGTAAGAGTTTAACATTTCATGTTGGATTTTTTTTTATCGTTCACAGATATATGCAGTTTCTTAACAACACATACTAGATGATTTCACTGCTTTGCCAGTGTACGTTTTGCCATCACGTTATAATTGTTTATCCGCTACATTTCTGATGAAGAGTAAAATATTGTTCTGCTGACTTTAGCACGTATCTTGTTTTTAGTTTTTTTGGTTTGCGTCGGTCGGAGCTGCCCCCCGAATTTATTTTGCGTGTTACCACTTTCACATTGTTGCATGGCGAACAGCATTATTTTGTAATCTGCTGCAGCGATGCTAATTCTATGCTCCATGAGACTTACATAAACAACACCTGGGCTCTAAAGATGTGTCCGATCATGCATTAAAATGTATACGTATGCTCATAATATCATATCTGGCTTCTGAGAATAATTTCTTTGTTGATGTTTGTAATGGGCTCATGTAAACCCCTGCAGCTCCTAGAAGCTGCCTCCTTTCACGGCAATATTTAAACAACGATTCTATATCTTCTTGGTTCTTTCGGTAAAGTCACGTAGAATGGAAATAATAAAAAATAAAAACATAAAATAATTCTCACGACGTTTCGGCCACAACGCAAGCAGCCGTCCTCAGGTGAAGAACAGGTCTGTCAGAAAGACAGCGTCTGAATGAACACCACCCGGCTTGGCAGCGTATGTTTAGGCTGGGTTGGAGGGGGAAGAGCGCCTTGACAAAGGAATTGCATATCAAGAGAATTCTATAATTGCCAGGAGCTCACCACAACGTGGCATGGATCATGCTTGACGGAACATGGAGTGGAGCATTTGTGTGCCGTGCTAGGAACACGCCACAATATGGTATGGCTCAAGCATGATGTAATCGGTTACCACTGCTCCAATTATCCTACTTAATGCTGATGATACACGGGGGTCTGAAAAGCCGAAACAGTACCAGTGTCTCCCAAACTCCAGGCCTCGCGACCCACCACGCGACAATTTACGTTCAAATTAAGTCCTTCCACGCTACACGCGCCGGATGATTGTTAAATACGTTTCACGTGACGCGCTAAACAATGAACCCGATCTGCGTCACGTGCAACACGTGCGCCCACGCGCGCACTGAGCTATCAATATTAACCTTTATCAGCCGTGAACGCAGACCGCGTTAATTGCTAAGCGCGTCAGGTGGGACGTGATTAACAATCATAGGGCGCGAGTAGCGGTGGAGGGACTTGATTTGAATGGGGAGACAAGATTTATCAACGTGGAAAGACGTTGGAGTTTGGGAAACCGTGTCCTAAACTGCGGGTAGATGGACTGAAGAATACCGAGGGAAGGTTATGGTGAAAATGAAGTTAGCTACAAATCGTTGAGAATGGTGGCGTTCTGTTCAGCAGTCGGCCACAATCAAGCAACCGTCTTCACCAATCGCAGTAGTCCTCACCACAAATGATAGAACTGGCTTATGTGGAAAAGTATAGCAGCCAAATATTATAATCGCGTGTTGAATCTAAATGTGGAGTGATAAACCCAGACGGTCCCGATAAAAATCCACTCGACCACGGAGAGAGAGAGACACGCAAACTCCAATGATGCAGGCGTCAGGGTCGGGATCGAACCCACGACCATCCCATTTACCGGGCGAGGTAGTTAACGTCACAGTGGCAGCTTGCTGTGCAGCCATAAACTTTAGTCGTGTACGGTTTGAATTTATAACGACTGTACTTGCTTTTGCCGTGTACCTGCAGTTAAATTTATTTCTGCGTAACTAATTCCCGTGATGTTTTATCAGCGTGCAATTAAGCTCAGCGTGCATGCAAATGCCTCATTGTCAGTGTGGTGATAGCTGGGATTGGGAGCGGTGGTGCAGTGGTGAGCACACTGCGCTGCGAACCCAGTGAACGAGAGTTCAATTCCATCTCTCGACCTGCATCAGTGGCGAATATTTGGGTTTCCCCGAGGTCGACTCGGCCTCAAATGTGTACCTGGTGCGGTGTCTTAAAACACCAACGCTCGAGAGACATGTGACGTTTTGGCCTTCAGAGGTACTCGCTAAAAGCACGTGTCCCCAATAGCCTGTTAAAGGCTACATGGGGCAATGTTGTCTTTGTAATGGGAGGGTAGGTGCTATGCATGGAGCCAACAATGTAGGGGTGGGCTCTAACTCTTGGATGCCAGGTGTGGTTGGGTGTGCGTCTGGAACTCCTGGATTCACTCTCTCCGTCATATCTCAGCGCCGATCGCTGTGAAATATTCCTCGGCAGCAGCACAGGACCTCCATCGTGGTGGGATGCACGGCTTGAGGAGGAGCGTGTCGTGCGTCGGAGGTTTTGACAGCGACGGTGAGTGAGTGCCTGCGTGGGTGAGAGAGCACGTGGGTGAGTGTGTGAGCGCGTGGGTCGGTGCGTGGGTGAGAGAGCACGTGGGTGAGTGGGTGAGTGTGTGAGCGCGTGGGTCGGTGCGTGGGTGAGAGAGCACGTGGGTGAGTGGGTGAGTGTGTGAGCGCGTGGGTCGGTGCGTGGGTGAGAGAGCACGTGGGTGAGTGGGTGAGTGTGTGAGCGCGTGGGTCGGTGCGTGGGTGAGAGAGCACGTGGGTGAGTGGGTGAGTGTGTGAGCGCGTGGGTCGGTGCGTGGGTGAGAGCACGTGGGTGAGTGGGTGAGTGTGTGAGCGCGTGGGTCGGTGCGTGGGTGAGAGAGCACGTGGGTGAGTGTGTGAGCGCGTGGGTCGGTGCGTGGGTGAGAGAGCACGTGGGTGAGTGGGTGAGTGTGTGAGCACGTGGGTCGGTGCGTGGGTGAGAGAGCACGTGGGTGAGTGGGTGAGTGTGTGAGCGCGTGGGTCGGTGCGTGGGTGAGTTGAGTGATTCGTAGATGACCAAAGTTTGTGGTTGAGGTTTTGTTGAAGCCATTGTGCGCCACCACTGTTGATGACAACGTTGTGGATCACGTTGCTGTTGATTATAATGATGAGCATCCTTGTGACCTTGATCCCATTGCTGCTACTGCCGATGATGATGCGCCTGTTCCTGTTAACGATGAGCACGGTTGGCTACGTACGGCGCGAAAAAAGTTAAACACATCATTATCCTGCTGCTGCTACTGATGAAGATTGTGGTGTTGCTGTTGATGGTGATGATCCTGCTGTTGCTGCTTATTATGATGATGATCCCGTTGCTGTTGATGATGGTTCTGTTGCTGCTGCTGTTGATAGTTCCAGCTGCTGCCGATGTTGACAATGATTCTGTTGAGACTACTTGGCTGCATTAATTGCGAGGTTCACATTTGTAACGGAGCACTTTCAAAGACGTCGGTGGGTGGATGAAAGTTGAAAATTTGCGAAACTTCCAAGCCAGGTGGTCTGTGGTCACGAGATGGCAGTGTAGCAAGTAGGCTGATGAACCCAGCCATGCGGCCCTCTTAGAGTTACATCCTCGAATGCGTGAGTCCTCTTGAAGCTGAATGAGGTGTTCCTTGATGCGGTCATTGCTGGTTCCAAACGGTCCAAAGTGGCCTGCTTCTCTCAACGTTGCGGTCCATATGGTGGCTCTTCAATCGTGGCCACGGGTCCCGAAATGGTAGTTGAGTGGATGGATGATCGGGTCGTTTTCAAACCCGCCATGGTTGCACAAGGCATGCTTTGGTTGTGTTCCCCTCGGCCTGGTTTTGTGGTGAGATACATTTTTGTATGTGTGGAGACGGCGAATAAACTATTGCCCATTGCAGTGGTGTTAACGGTGCACGGAGTGACCAACAGTACATTCTTGACATCGCTCATCGAATTGTGCGCGATTGCTATAAATGTTTTTTTTTCCAATTCTCATGTTGTTTTGTATGTCGTGGGTTTACATGACTTCGATAGAGACTAGAGGCCGGTACATTAAGCACATTTTTTGTTATCGATTTTTTAAACATTTAATTGCAACTCTAAATTGTGACATTTCATCAATTTTCTGGGGGACTGGGGTGAATTATTGCACCCCGACTGGGATTACTGGGGCGCAGGAGTGACACCACAATTGACTGCGACCAGAAATGGTTGATTGCAGGAGGATCCAGCAATGACTTGTCACAGTACTGAATTGTGTGACTATTGTGCAGCGATTTGCAAGTTCCTTCACGTGTCTAACCTGGACCACGCTCTAGGCTGCCTGCAGGGAAGAGGGGTGTGTGTGTGTGAATATTACAATTATTGGGTTCAAGCGGATGCTTTGACGACAGAAATCTGTGCAACGGTAGTGATCGGCACAAGAAGATGTGACAATGAGCCTGTGTCAAACGCATCTTCTGTGTTGATGAGGTCATTTCATGTCCGGTGCCCTCTGTATCAGGGCTTCCCAAATGTCAGTTCTCCTCACCCCACGATGGTCTGACCCTTAACATGTTCGCCAATCTTAGGGAGTTAAAAAAAATGTGAGCGTGGTGTCACACGTGTAATCCATAGTACACGATCCATATCTACACACACGGCCAAACTCCAATGTAAGTCAGAACAGCTAGAAAAATATAAACCAGACTTTTATTTTACCAGTTAAGGCACACTGAGCTGTGCAGCTCTTTTTAAGAAACAACCAAGCCACAAATGATATCTCAACGGGAGTGGCTTACCATGGGCAAATTTATAGCTGTCAAATACTCTAAACGCATGTTTCTAAATGTGGAGGTAAAAACTGGAGGACCCGGAGAAAAATCCCACACAACCACGGGGAGAACACGCAAACTTCAAATATACAGACGTCAGGGTCCCGGGATGGAACCCATGACCTCGTGTATACTGGGCGAGGAATTTAAACATCTCACCACCGCGGCACCCCTTAGGTGTGGCATTTCAGTGGAGCACATTTGTATACAAATGTTTTCTCCTGGGTGCTGCCTTTTCTTCCCACGTGGTAAAATTATTTTTTTTAAACATCTGGTCAAAAATCATAAAGCAGGATCCTTCTGAAAAAGATTTCAGAAGTTCAGTGATGCCTATGCTGGATATATCAATAAATTATCATTGGCAATTCACATGCAAATAAAAGCATGTAGTGTGTTCGTTATATGCATCCGATAAGTGAAAATACAAAACCCGTACTCAGGACTGACATTGTAGAATGCTGTAAGCTGGAATTGTTTTTACAGTTTGCCATGCAACATCATGTGGAACATACGATGATCAACTTCAAAGGTAAAGCTCAAATATTCGTAAAAAAACAGTTCTTTTAAGGAATGTAAGATGTTTTCGTTAAATTTTAAAGCGTGCACACGTGCTCCTTACGCTGATGCATGTGGTGCGTCTGTGAAATAGGCTGTTAAGGGGGCTCCACGTGTCTTATCAAAGGGCTGTTTTAAAAAGTAAGCGTCACCATCGTCGGGTTTGTAGCTGTCTTGCATTAGAGTCATTGCAGCCCTAACCAGGTACAGGCGGATGCTCTGGAAATATTCCACTCTGTCCATTTGGACACCACGGCGGCGATATGTTAATTATTCTTAGGTTTTTTTCGGTAAAGTCACGTAGGTAAAAAAATAAAATTTAAATTAATATAAGTAAAATAAAATAAAAATCACGACGTTTCGGACGCAACACAAGCTTCCGTCTTCAGGTGGTACCGTCACAGCACGCTTGCTGTATATCGTAAATGAGAAATTGCAAGAGATAAGAATATGAATCCTTGCAGTCACGAAAGCTTCAAATCTAGATATGTTAATTGCCTTGCCTGGTATGCAGGAGGGCCGTGGGTTCGATCCCGACCCTGACGCCTGCTGCTGTATATTTAGAGGTTGCATTTTCTCCCCGTGGTCGCGTGGATTTTTCTACGGGTCCTCCGGTTTTTCCCATCCACATTTAAGAAAAACTCGCTGAGAGTATGCGGCTGTTTTCAATATCTACAAAAGCCACTTCGTTGAGCTATCATTTGTGTTAGCCAGGTCGCTTCTGAAAAATAACTATATAGTTCAGTGGGCCTTACCTGGTACAATTAAAATAGTTTATCGTTTTTATTTTGCACATCAATACTGTGTAATGGCAGCAACAAAGAAATTCACCAACTCGCAACCAATGTTGTTGAGTGACTAAAAAAACCTGTACATTGTACAACTTGTGTCGCTCTTATCAAATTAAACAGTTGCTTTTCTCTGTAACATGCCTTCGGAAAGAAGTAGTTTTTGATGAATATTCTTAGGTTTTTTCGGTAAAGTCACGTAGGTAAAAAATTAAAATTAATAAAAGTAAAATAAAAAAAAATCACGACATTTTGGAGGCAACACAAGCTTCCGTCTTCAGGTGGAACCGTCACAGCCACGACAGCTGTATCAAATACTTGATACATTTGATTTTACTTTGATTAATTTTATTTTTTTTACCTACGTGACTTTACCCGAAAAAACCTAAGAATATGAATCCTTGCAAGTCACGAAAGCTTCAAATCTAGAATTTTTTATGAATGTTTAGGGGGGGGGGGGGGGGGGAAATGTTGTCCTCTCTTGGTATGTGTAGATTGTCGTCTAATGCAACATTTGAGAGACTTCGATCTATAAAACGGGGATCTGTTAACACGTGTTGTGTGCTGCTCATTAGCACGGAATAATGTTTCATTTAGCTGCCCTTTTTTCACGTTTAGGCTGCTGTTGAAATCAGTTTTATTATTATATATTTAACCTTTTGAAAAGTCTCCTGTGAATGACTTCAAAATATGGAAATTGGTGGCAATGTACAATATTGTTCCATGGTCATTAAATAATTTTCAGTTATAGATGCTTTGTTGCTATTCGCAAAGCCACTAACCAACCCATGTGTTCATCTTCTTGGTTTTTTCGGTAAAGTCACGTAGAAGGGAAGTAATAAAATAATACAAATAAAACATAATAAAATAATTCTCACGACGTTTCGGCTACAACGCAAGCAGCCGTCTTCAGGTGAAGAAGACGTTTCGGCTACAACGCAAGCAGCCGTCTTCTTCACCTGAAGACGGCTGCTTGCGTTGTAGCCGAAACGTCGTGAGAATTATTTTATTGTTTTTTTATTATTTTATTACTTCCCTTCTACGTGACTTTACCGAAAAAACCAAGAAGATGAATCCCTGCAGTCACGAAAGCTTTAAATCGAAACCCATGTGTTGTGATTAATGTTTTACTGCGAATGATTACTTTGTCATAAGGGATGGACGGTTCCGCAGTGGATAGCGCACTGGCCTGTAAAAATTCCATCACCCGAGTTCGATACTCGGCCATGGGTGACATCAGTCCTGTGACATTCCCTTACCCACCCTCGTTGACCAGAATGGTGAAGTATGGTCAAACAAACACCCCCGACTGACGTGGCATGGGGAGGCCTTGAGTCAGCAGTCGATTAACAAACGACTGTAAA